TGGGTGGCACGAAGTGCACGTCATCGCATCGCGGACAGTGCGCCATGAGCGGTGGCTTGGGGTGGCTTGGGGTGGGTGGGCACGTACCGGGTGGGTGAGTGCGTGGAGAAGGGGTTCGAGGATGCCGGCGTCGAAGGCTTCGTGGAGGCGCGGGTGCTGCCCTCGGACCAGATTGCACAGGGCAAAGGCCGCCGTTTGCACGACTGCGGGGTGCTGCACGCCCATGGTCAGCGCGTTGCCCACAGCGGCAGCGGCGGGCACGAACACTGATTCGGGGGCGTGGACGTGGGCGTGGGTGCACACCTTGGAGTGGAGGAGGTGGATCATGGGCGGCAGGGCGCCCTGGGCTCGCAGCATGTCCCGGCACTCCACGCTGTCGCCCGCCATGTTGGCAATGGCCCATGCCGCCTGCTCTTGCATCGCCTGACTCCCCGCACACCGCCCCAGCCACCACCGCCCACCGCCATAGCCGATGTTTGTAGGTAAGCCGATCATCAATCAGGCTGAAGGCAACGTGCGCATGTCGGGGGTGTCAGACGCGTGCGAGGCAACGTGCGCACGCGCGGACGGGAGAATCGCATACGGGATCACCGCTCGTGAGGAAGTTGATGAGGAAGGGCGCGGCCTTGAGGGTCTCCAGCGTCTGCTCGTGCGAGCCCGTGGCCACGTTGGTGAGGCACCACGCAGCCGACAGCTGGTTGGGAGCTGACGGCTCGGTCAGGAACCTCTGCCGCCCGCCCACGTGCACACGACACACACCAGCCACCACCAGCCACCACGCCAAGTCAATTGCTGGCAGGAGAGAGAGAGAGAGAGAGCGGCTTGGGCATCTCAAGGAGGGGCCGCACGATGAGGAGGGGCACCGCCCCCAGCTGGAACAGGAGGTCGAGCGGAGGGTCGGGAGAGCTGAGCAGGCGCCGCATCTGCTGGAGGGCGGCATCGCGCAGGGCGGGCTGCGGGGCCTGCAGCTGTGCCACGACCTGGGCCAGCTGACCCTCCGTCCAGGCGGCCCCTTCTGCCGCTTGACCTCCTCCTTCGTGCTTGAAGCGCTTGGCCGAGATGGCTTTGTCGCGGCTGGCCTTGCGGATCTGCACCGACTGCTCTCGCCGCCTAGAGGTCGCCTCCTCTTTGTCTACGCCCACGAGCTTCTTGAACGCTTTCTTGCGGTCGGCGTGCACTCCCTCCGGGTGACCAGCATCTTCCCCCGCCTCCATCGCGGTGTGTTCTGCTTTTCTTTTCTTTTCTTTTCCATCTTATTTTTCGGTGGTTCGTTTCTTGACACTTTTTTCTGCATCATTTCTTTCTGGTGGTTTCTGGAATGTGAGGCAGCCCGAGTTGGCCCGTGGGCGGCGGGAGGGGATTGGCTGGTCGGGTTTTTCACACCATATTTTGGGGTTGCTCTTTTGGGCCTCTCTTCCTTTTCACCTCGCGAGGAGACCACCAGACACTTGCCTCATCCATCCATTTGCACCCGAACCTGTCTCCATAATCGACGGAGCGGACAAATCATAATGGCGGACTTTGCCTTCACGGCAGATGAGCTGAGCCAGCTGTTCGACGATAGGCACTTCGCCGAGCTGAAGGCGAAGGGCGGCCTGCAGGCCATCGCCAAGGGCCTGAAGACGAATCTTGAGACCGGCCTCAATGAAGAGCAGCTGAGCGAGGAGGGGAGAGCCGGGCGCGTGCGCGTGTTCGGAGCCAACAAGACTGATCCGCCCCCGCCCAAGACATTGTTTGAATTGATGCTGGAAGCGCTCGAAGATGCCACCCTGAAGATTCTCATCGTTGCCGCGCTGGTGTCCCTTGCGCTGGGCTTCTACGAGAACCCCTCGAGCGGCTGGATCGAAGGAACGGCAATCCTCGTCGCCGTTGTGATCGTCGTGCTTGTGACCTCCCTCAACGACTACTCCAAGGAGCAGCAGTTCAGGCGTCTCTCCCAAGTGGCAGACGACAAGCTCATCAAGGTCATGCGCTGCGGCCAGCAGCAGCAGGTACTCCCCCTAATTGAGTCTCTCTCTCTATAGAGAGAGATCTCCAGAGTTCATTCAGGCTCCTGACCTGTTGGCGGCAACAGGTGTCTGTGTACGATCTCATCGTGGGCGACGTGGTCGAATTGGGCACCGGCGACGAGGTACGTGCCACGTGCCACATCGAGTCCTGGTCGACGACGCCGGTCTCGAGAGATCTTACTTTTTTTTTGGTTTATTTTTGCGCTAGATTCCTGCCGATGGGTTGGTCTTTGCCTCGCACAACATGAAGGTGGATGAGAGCTCCATGACCGGAGAATCAGATGCCATTAAGAAGAACGATGTACGTCCGTGCCTCCTACTTGCCACAACACAAGCGTCGTCTTACCGGGGCCTTTCGCAGAACGAGCCTTTCCTGATCTCTGGCACGCCTGTCACCGAGGGTGTGGGCCGCATGCTCGTGGTTGCCGTCGGCGCGCACTCGCAGAAGGGCAAGATCAAGGCCCTGCTGCAGAAGGAGCAGGAGGTGCCATGCCCCCCCCCCACCATAGCCGCTTACCGCTGCCTTTTTTGAGGCCTCCCCCTTTTCAGTGAAACGAAAAGTGCTGACGCGTTGTGACCTTCTTTTGGCTCTGATTTGGATGACGACGACGACGACGACGACGACGACGGTGCTGCTGCTGCCAGGACACTCCTTTGCAAGAGAAGCTCGAGATTGTGGCCGCTGCCATCGGAAACCTCGGTCTCGTCGTAGCCATCCTCACGCTCACCGTGCTCGTTGGTCAGTTTGGTTGGAGGCTCTACTCCTCAGGCCAGGGCTTCGAGGTAATGCTCCATCCTCCTCACCACCACCCACATTGCTTTGCGCTCATCTCACGCACCACATGATGGTTGGGTTCAATGTGGTACCCACAGCTGCACATGCTCGAAGAGCTCATTGGCTTCGTGATCACCGCCATCACCATCGTCGTCGTTGCCGTGCCTGAAGGCTTGCCTCTTGCCGTCACCATCTCGCTGGCCTACTCCATGATGAAGATGCTCAAGGGTACGATTTCCCTGCGCGAGTCTGCACACGCGGTTGTTTTTAAAGGGTTCAACTGTCCCCCCCCCTTCTCTTTTTCCTCATACATCGCACGGCAACAGACAACAATTTGGTGCGTCACCTGGACGCTTGCGAGACCATGGGCGGAGCCACCAACATCTGCTCCGACAAGACCGGCACCCTCACCGAAAACCGCATGACCGTGACTCACGTTTGGCTCGGCCGCAAGATGGTACCCGCCGCGCTGCCTCGCCCCCACGCCAAATCAATTCGGTTGGTCTTCATTTACCAACCCCCCCCCTCCCTCCTGTGGCGCGTGTGCATTGCTGTCCTCTGTCATGATCATCTCTATACTATCATATGATAGTATGGCAACAGCCTGCCCACCCAGAAGGACCTCGCCGCCGAGGTGCACACGGCGCTCGTGGAGGGCATCTCCATCAACTCGACCGCCTACATCACCAAGAGCAAGGACAAGAACACGGTACGTAACGTACTACAGCGCTCCCCCCCCTTGCGCCGCCCAGCTCCCACTCTCTCCCGCGAGGCATATCCCACTGCTTCCGATCGACTCTCACCCGTCCTCCTGCTCCTGCTCCTGCCCCTGCTCCTCCGCTGGGCATATGACCACCCATATATATATATATCTATCTATATCGCATTATCACCCTGATCGCGGCACGTCAGACCGAGTTTATCGGAAGCAAGACGGAGTGCGCGCTGCTCGGTTTCGTCGAGAAGCTGTCGGGCAACTACGACCAGGTTCGCCAGACGCTCAAGATCAGCCAGCTCTACCCGTTCTCTTCGGAGCGCAAGCGCATGTCCATTCTCCTCGAGGCCGAGGGCAACGTCCACCGCCTCTACACCAAGGTGCGCACACTCGCACTTGTCCTCCCCATCATTGCCTCCCAAACCACACGGCGGTGTCCGCTGACCCCCTCCTCCTCGAATGATGGCTGTGTTCTGCTGCTGCTGCTGTACCTACGTAGGGCGCGTCGGAGATCGTGCTCCAGTACTGCGACAAGATCGTGAGCCCCGAGGGCAAGGTCACGCCCCTGAGCGACGAGGAGAAGGAGGAGATCCGCGTGGACGTGATCGAGAATTTTGCCGCCCAGGGCCTCCGCACCATCTGCCTGGCCTATGGCGACGTTCCGCCCCAGGACAACTCGGAGGAGCCCCCGGAGCAGGGCCTCACCTGCATCGGCATCGTCGGCATCAAGGTCATCCCCCCCCTCCCTCCTCTAAATCCTCTCCCTTGACCACGCTGCACTGCCGCGGGAATCGACACTCACCGTGTTGCGTTCGCGTTGTCGTGCGTGTGCGGTGTGTGTGTTGTATTTGACAGGACCCCGTGCGCAAGGAAGTGCCCGCCGCCGTGGCCGAGTGCAAGAAGGCCGGCATCACCGTCCGCATGGTCACCGGAGACAACATCCTCACCGCCAAGAAGATCGCCGAGGAATGGTACCACGGCACACAAAACCATGACCCTTTCGCTGCACGCTGGGTTGGTTGGGTACGGCTGCTCTGACTCACTATCTACGCACGCGCGCGCGTGGTGGTGGTGGTGGCGTTTGCAGTGGTATCTTCTACGGCGAGGGCATCGCCATGGAGGGCCGCGAGTTCCGTCAGCTCAGCGAGGAAGAGATGGGCAACGTGGTCCCCAAACTGCAGGTCCTCGCTCGCTCCTCCCCCAGCGACAAGTACATCCTCGGTGCGTTGCTACCCTCCCCCCTCCCCCGGGCTGCCTCTCGCCCGCCCGCCCGCCCTCCCGCCCTTCTCCAGGAGGACAGTGGTGTGCTCAAAGACCACATGTGTCGCATGTGATCGACCACCCTTAATGACGATCATCATCATCATCATCATCATCACCATCATCATCACCACCATCGACATCGGTGTGCAGTTTCCTACCTGCGCAAGCTGGGCGAAGTGGTCGCCGTGACCGGCGATGGTACCAACGACGCACCCGCCCTCAAGGAGTCCGACGTCGGTTTCTCCATGGGCATCTCGTACGATCCCCCCCACCACCGCCAGCCACCACGGCACGGCACGGCATGGCATCCTCACACATCCGCGCCCGTGTAATTGATGCAGCGGCACCGATGTGGCCAAGGAGGCCTCGGACATCGTGCTCTTGGACGACAACTTCACCTCGATCGTGGCCGCCGTCATGTGGGGCAGGTACCACCACCAGCTCCCCCCCCCACCCCCACCGCCTTCTTGTTCGTCCGATCTGGGCTATGCCGTGCATGGCATACACGTGCATGGAGGGAGGGGGGAGGGACGAGCGCTGACGTGCAAACCAACCACCACGTGGTGGGTCAGGAATGTGTACGATTCCATCCGCAAGTTCCTGCAGTTCCAGCTGACCGTCAACCTGGTCGCCCTCCTCATCGCGTTCGTGTCGGCCGTCACCACCGGCGAGTCCGTCCTCACCCCCGTCCAGGTTCGCCCCCCTCCAGAAATGCAACTTGTTATTGGGGGGGGGGTAACATTAACGGGCGGACAAACAACTCACACAACCAACCGTGTGTGTTGTCGTGATGTGTCGTGGCTGGTGGTGGCTGGTGGCGTGTCGTGGTGGTGGTGGCTGGTGGCTGGTGCAGCTGCTGTGGGTGAACCTGATCATGGACACCATGGGCGCGCTGGCCCTGGCCACCGAGCAACCGACGAAGGACCTGCTGCACAGGAAGCCCTACGGTCGTCACGACTTTTTGATCACGAAGCAGATGTGGTGCAACATCATCGGGCAGGGCATCTTCCAGGCCATCGTGCTCTTCTTCGTCCTCTACCGCGGTGAGAGCTTCTTTGGCGTGGTCTCCCACTCGCTCGAGCACACCACCATCGTCTTCAACACCTTCGTGCTCTGCCAGGTGGTCAACGAGATCAACTCGCGCAAGATCGACCACCAGCTCAACGTCTTCTCGGGCATCCTCAGCAACCACGTGTTCCTCGGCATTCTCGTCTTCACCCTCCTCTTCCAGTACGTCATCGTCGAGTTCGGCGGCTCCTTCACCGCCACCACCCACCTCACCTCCGGTACCACACGCCTCCCCCCCTACCCCACACTACCCCTCCCCAACAAATCGATAGGTCAGATGGGCGCGTGTGTGTGCTGACGAATGCCATGCGCGCGTGGTGGCCTTTTCCTCCTTGGGGGTGGGGTGGGGTGTGCAGACCAATGGATGAAGTGTGCTGGCGTCGCGCTCCTGGGCTTCCCCGTGGGCGTGGTCATCCGCCTGCTGTCCCGGCCCTTCGTGCAGACCGACCCCGTCACCAAGCAAACGTACGCTTTTTTTGCCCCCCCCCTCCCCTTCTTTAAACCGGACGTCGGCCCACCCCCCCTCCTCCTCTCTCGATCGCCAACCCGCCATCGATGTGTGTAGGGTGGAGGTGGACCCCGCCATCGTCAAGATGATGTGGCAAAAGGTCAAGCGCGCGTCCGTCCACATGGAGATCACCGAGGACGTCGAGAAGAGGCGGGCCAACAAGTTCAAGGGTATGCTGCACACCCGCTCACAACCACAATCGTCCATTGTGGTTTTGGTGGTGGCTGGTGGCTGGTGGCTGGTGGTTCTTTGGGAAATGTGAAATGCGTGCGCGCGTGTGCTGATTGTGTGCGCGCTTTCCAGACGTGGTGCAGCGCAAGATCCAGCTCAACCGCATGCTCAAGGAGGCCAAGGGCAAGGGCGACCTCAAGAAGCACCAGTAAATAACAGCCCCGTGCCAGCACTCGGTTGCCAGGAGGCGCAGAGAGGAGGGACAACAGCGGGGAGGATGGGGGGAGGACGCGCGCGAAACGACGTGCCAAGGCCACGCGGCATGGCCAGCAGTGTAGGTAGTAGTAGTGGTGGTGGTAGTGGTAGGTTCAGCCAGCTTCAACAACAAAGAGCAAGGCGTGGAAAACGGGGGTTGTACGCCCCACCCACCCACCTTCTGTTCCCCTTCTTCCCCTCTGAATGAAAAAAGGCGCCCGAAGTTCTCAGGCCCTCTGCTGCTGGAGGTGGGCGATGGTGCGTTCGAGGGCAAGGCGCAGGTCTGGGGAGAGGGGTCCGCCAGCCTCGGCGAGCAAGTGGTTGTCCGCGAGGCCGGGCGCGTAGTGCAAGTGGTTAGCGGCCAACAGATCTGGTGGGGTCCAGCAGTCCGTCAGTCGCCCGAGTCTCTGCAAGCGGCGTTGGGGGGGGGTGCACGGTACCGAGGCAAATGGCGGCGAGCTTGCGGGCGGAGTGGAGGTCGGCCAGCCGCAGGAAGATCAGAAGGGCGGCCAGGGAGGGACTGCCCGCGGAAGTCTCATCCGGCGAGGTCGCTACCAAGTCGTCGGTGGCGGCCTCCTTGCCCCGACCCGCCTCCTCGCCACCGCCGGTTTCAACCTCCAGCGGAGCGCCGCTGAGGAGCTGGCTCACGAGCTCGTGCTCGCATTGGTCCTTGAGGTCCTCCATCCCGTACTGGGACGCGACCCAACACACATCCGTTTGGGTGAACACCACGCTAGAGAGAGACAAGACATCACAGACCGGAGAAAGAATCCATGTGGTGGTGGTGGTGGTGGTAGTAGTACCTGGTGGGCCACCACAAACACGTCTTGCGCCACGTGCGCGGTTATATCGGCCGTGCCGGTGTAGATGAACTGCGCACACCGCCCCCCCCCAATACATGAGCCGCCAGACATTGTTGTTGAGAACGACTGGCACGGCACGGTACGCTTGTGTACCTGGAGGAGGGCGTAGAAGCCGGCATAGGGCAAATCCCTGATGGGAATTACTTCCGCGCCGCTCTCGGCCATTCCCGACTCAAGCATGGCCCGCAAAACCTGCCCCGCCCGAGAGAGAAGTGTGTGTGTGTTGAGAGAGAGAGAGAGAGAGAGCGCACGAGAGAGCCAGGTGTGTGTGTGTGTGTGTGGGGGGGGAGGGACCACGTACGGGGCAGCGGGCGGCGAGGATGCACCTGTGGGCGCGGATTACCTTGTCCTCCTCCAGCACAAAGGACACGTCCTTGTAGGTCTCCTGCTCCAGCAGCCCTCTTCACGATCGGCCGTCGCCAGTGCACCCCCCCCCCAATCAATGATGATGAGTACCGCACGTGTGTGTGTCTGTGTGTGTGGCGGGGGGTGGTGGAACGGGGCGCGGGCGAGTGGTACCGCAGGTCGGCGGAAAGGGCAGAAAGGGGCGAGGGCGGGGCTCGGCGCGAGAGGGTGGGGAGGAAGAAGGGGGAGAGATCGAGGGCGCACAGGGCATTCTCTTCGGAGCTCACACCCTCCGTTCCACCGAAGATCATCGCCTCCCACCCGTTGGCCGCCCCGCCCTGCATCAGCTCGCACGGCCCCAGACCCACCCCGAGAACCCGCACCCACCTACCTCCCCACCACCAGCCACCAGCCACCACCAGCCACCCGTCATTCATGTATATGCTCGCCGGCGTCTGCGTGGGCTGCAACCATGATGCGACTACTACCACAAATATGGGAGTAGAAAGGCGAGTACCGTCTGAGGCGCATGTCCAGGATGTGCACTTTGTACTCCCGATCGTCGTAGTCTTTGTCGTCTGTCGATATGTGGCAACATGGCGGTGATGGCGACGATGGCAATGATGATGAGAAAATGCGAGGGAGGCGCTCGTAGGCGGCGGCAGCGAAGGAGAAGGAGTGGGATGGGGGCACCTTCGCTCGTGCTCTCGGAATAGAGGGCGCGCACGCGCTCGTTGAAGCCGCCGAGCACCACCGAATAGGAGCCCACGCTGATCAGTGGACGGCGGGCCGAGAAGATCCTGCCACGACACAGGACACACAGGACACACACGACACACATCATTATGCGAGAGAGAGAGAGAGAGAGGAGGGAGAGAGGTGTTCGTGTCGCGTCGCATGAGCGGAGGGGACAAGGCTAATTGGCGAACCGGAAGTCGCGAGGGGCGAGCTGTGCGAGGGATTCGGGTCCGAGGCCGGTGAGCTGCACCCGTTGCCATGCGAGGGGCCGCCCGACCAGGCGCAGCAGGTGCACGTCCCCGAACACGTGCGTGCTGTCGTACCTGCGTTGTTGCGCACAAGGTGGATAATCGGTCAGAAGGGGAGAGAGCGCGCCAAGGACGGCCGCGTTTGTCTCACACTGCCGGTGTGTGTGTGTGCGCGCGCGCGCCGTGTGGAGGGAGAGGGTTCTCACCCGCCAAACACGAGCATTGAATCGCCCAGCAGCCTGGCATACGCACGGGGAAAAGTGAAGGCTCAATCTGCGCACACGGTGCGTCCCAGCAGGAGGGGTGGGTAACGAGGTGCGCGCGTACCTGGCGGAGTGCTGGGATCGGCCGGAGGGTTTGTCGCCGACGCACTTGCAGGTGGTCCACTTCATCTCGTCCCAGTCGAGCATCACCACGTCCTGCGGAGACAGCGCCCTCCTCCTGGATCAGCCCACTAGTGCTCTGGGACCATGCAGGCACGACCGCGCACACACTCGCCTCGGGAACAATGGGATGATGATGATGACGACGATGGTGCGGGAGATCAGACCTGGTAGTAGCGGTAGGGGCCTCCGACGCAGCAGGCACCACCAAAGATGATCATCTTCCAGCTCGCCCTGGCGATGCATCAGATTCAGATGCGAGGGTCACCCCCCGAAAGAAAAAAGAAAGGAAAGGAAAGAACGAAAGCGATTGTGGGGCTCTTGTCGAGCGGGGCTGGTACTGCGAGGCGTCACCATCATCGGCGGGCAGGGGGGCCGCCAGCGCCGAATGGTACGCGCGGTATTGCGGTGCTGTCCCCTGTTACTCGCCGCCCGTTACAGCCACCCGAGAAATGAAGGAATGCAGGAATGAAGGAACGCCGTGCGTGAGGAGACACACCTTGGGGCTGAGTGAGCGCCAGACAAGGGAGTGAACGTCGAGAGCCCACAAGTCGTTCCTGCAGCAAAAGTAGATTGGATGGACGGACGGACGGATGGATGGATGGATGGATTGCCCTATCAGAACGGCAGGAGCTGGTCGGGTGTTGTAGAAATGGGGACCAATCGTACATGTTGCATTCGTGGTCGAATCCGCCGAAGATCACGAGGTCGCTGCTGCCCATCAGACACGCCGAGTGGCCCCACCGGTGCGTGGGCGCGTCGCCCCCCGCGACTGCTTCATGGTCCGCCGTGTGGGAGCTCCACACGCTGCGCGCACGCACACACGCACGCACGCGCACGCACACACGACACGCACACACGACACACACACACACACACACACGGCAAGCACACACGACACACACACACACACACGGCAAGCACACACGACACACACGTCACACGACACACACACGGCAAGCACGCACGCACGATTTCATGTCAGGCCCCGTGTAGAAACTTGACATTGCCGACCACCGCCACCATGGTTGGGGTGCGGGGCGGCGTGCACCGCACCGGGTATCGAGGTCGAAGATCTGCACGTCGAGAGCGCCCGGTCGATAGGGCACCTTCCCGCCCAGCATGAACAGGCGCCTCCCCACGACTGGCAACGCATAGGCGCGCACCAAAATGTTGTGGTGAGGTGGATAATAATTTTGGGAGGGGTCAGCTGGGAGAGGTGGGCGTCCGGGGAGAGGGGGGGGGTACGTGTGAGGGTGTGCCCGTGGCGGCGGGCGGGGAGGTGGTCCTGGGCCGGTTCCACGCATCGCCACTGCACCGGCGCCCGCCTGGTGGCCGCCTCATTGAGAAGTCCCTCTTCCGCCTTTTTTTGGCCATTACACCGCCCCACACGCGCGCAGCTTTCAATGAGTCCATTTATTTACTGTGGTGAGTGGCCTGTTGGGGGACCGTGCGTACGTAGGGAAAGGGCGCTGCATCGTCCGAGGGCATGTTGGTCCTGCGCCGTTTGCTACTACTGCCAGCGAGACGCTGGTCCTCCTTCTCCATCTTCTTCTGCAACTTTTTTATTTTCTTTATTTGTCTTCTCGCGTTTCCGCCGATCGGGCGAAGAAAAGGCGCGGAAAAGGCCAGAAGGAGACGTCGCAGGTTTCTATGAAGAAAGTCCACACGGTCGCGGGTGAGGCTCTTCAGATGAAACGAGGGCCTCTGTGGCAGAGCGAATGAAAGGGAGGGAGGGAGGGAGGGAGAGTAATGAGATAGGGCGGCTTCAAAGCTGCTGGTGGGAATGAAGCAGCTGGTCTGGGGATGGGGCCACAGCATACCTCGGTCCGCGCTGGTGCGGGTTGAAGGGGTCGGGTCCGCCAAAGGGGCCGCCAAACGGTCCGCCGCCGCCACGCGGACCACGTCCACGGCCCGCCGGGGGACCTCCAAAGGGATCACCCCCGGGGCCGAACGGAGAGAAGGGGTCGCCGCCCGGATAGCCCGGCATCCCCGGCGGGTTCCTGGATCAGCGAAGAACCACCACCACCACACACAACACACGTCAGCGATGCCTATCCCCCCACGACCGACGGGCGACCCATGACCCGCACATGGCCACCAGTTCGTGTGGGTACCGATCTCTTTCCCAATCGGGGACGCGCATGTGGTCAGGGTCGGGCTCTCCGAAGATCGGCGGGGCTCCACCTGTACGCACACGCACGTATCGCCTCCTTCAGTTTCCACGCGCACTCGAATAACACGACACACACACACCACACACACACAACAAGCGCGGCAAGATTCTGTACCACCGTACAAGGGGGGCCAACCGGGAGGACCACCAGGTCGCGGCACCCGCAACGGATCATCGTACTGTACGCCCAAGATGAACGCAAGATTAGCTACGATGCTCACGACGCTCACGACACACGTACGTCAGGGCCGGGGAAGCCGCCTCGGCCATAAGCCGGCCGCTCCTGGAGGTCGTCCTTGCTCTTCTTGACGGCACTCGCCACGCCCCTGAGATTCGACGCAACGCATCGCACACGGCATCACGGTAGAGTCAGCGCGACCGGTGCGTCACGAGGGGCGAACACAGGCACGGTGAGGTGGCAACGTACTTGACGCCGAGCAGCTCTGACTCGAGCGAGCAGGCCTTGAGCAGCTGCCACTTGGTGGCGTTGTCTATGCCCTCCATCTTGAAGATTGTGGTCCGCGCCTTCTTCTTTTCCTCTGCCTTCTCCTTGAAGAACTTGAGCTCTTCCGAAGCTGCCGCCACCTCGTCAAAGACTCGGGTGAGCACGAGCGAGCGCTCATCGCTCACGATGCCGCCCCAGGCCTGACCGATCTTGTTCCTGATCTCCCCCACGACGCTCTCTATGAGCTTTATGTAGTTGTCCACGAGGAGGTCGGTGGCGAGGTGGTTCATCTCCTTGTTGACCAAGCGCAGGTTCTTGAGCAGCCTGAGGGTGGACCGCGGGTCGCCGCGCCCCGCTGCGTGGCGCAGCACCTCCAGGGTGAGCTCGTAGGGCATACCCACCAACAGCGCCCCCTGCATCTGGCTCTCACCTTCCCCCTGACGCGAGCGCTTGGCATCCCTCTGCCCTTGCACTTCTACTTCATCTCTTTCCATCTTATTGAATGTGCGCTACGATGTGTGCTCGTGTTGTGCTACTCGCGTTTGTTGGGACTTGCTGACCGGGAGCCACACTACAGCAGCGTGTTTGGTGGCGCGCCCTAAACGCATCTCTCCCGTCACGCTGCGGGGCCTTTTCCCACACCTTTTCCTCTTGAGAGCTCTCGTCAGTTGTTGGGCGGGTTCCTTCTGTTTTTGTTTTTCTTTTAAAAACAGAAGGACAGCAGGAGCTCCACCAGTGCAGGGAGCGAGTAGTAGTGGGGATCATTCAAATGAGCGGGCGGGGCGAAGGGCATCGGACTGGATGGCGCCCGCGCCTCGGCATTGGGGCGCCCTCCGTGTCCCACGGGGGCGGGGGTGCCTCGCCCGTCGGGGGTTCGTCGCCCGTGCGAGGGGGGCGGACTGGCAGTTCGTCGGGGTGGTGTTGCTGTCTCTCCCGCCTCCCCTTCTGGTCGGCATGCTCGCAGAACCCCGGCACCGCCTTCATCGTCTTCCTCGCCTGGGTACTCATCATCATCTCTCATCTTGGGTGTGGGTGGTGGGGGACAAGCACTCGTGGCGTGTAGTTGACGCAAAATGTGGGGACATTGTGGTGTGCTGGCAAGGCGGCAATGGTGCTGCTGGCGACCAGTTGGGGCCTGGCCTACCAGGACGACCTGACCTATCCGCGCACGGGCTCTCACGCCCTACGCGACCGGCTCTGGACCCTCATCCTCACCTTCATGAGTGCCGCCTCCCCCCTCCTCCTCCGCCCATTCGACGCGGTGTGGCCGCGGGTCAGGGCAATGCGACTCACCTTCTGCTCCGTCACTCTGCGCGCAACGTCGCCAGGCGGGCTCTCGGTGCCATTCCTCGTGACGGCGGTCCTGGTCTCGGTCTACTACCGCATCACCCGACCCCTCAGCTTCGTGCGCCCTCCGCGACCTCCTTGCCCAGTCCATGCAAAGCTCACAAAAGCTCACACAATTTGGGGTGCTGTGCTGTGCTGTGCTGTGCTTCTGGGTGCGTGCGCGCAGATCATGGCAGGCCTGGTTCTGTCGCTGCTCGCCAATCTGGTGTCCCTGGTGGCCAACGTGGTGGTGCACATCACGGCCAACGAAAAGATGCGCTTCGTCTGCTACCGGTACACCCCACCCCCCTCTCGTGGACCTGTTGCGTGTCGTGCCACATAGAGGTGCCCGTGGCGCTCCAAACATCGGGTTGGATGGATGGATGGATGGATGGCTGGCTGACTGCATCGGATGGCGGCGGCGGCATGTGGTGGCGGTGGCGCAAACAATCAAGTAGCGGGGTGAGCGACTCGACGTGTGCGTACAGCATCGCCGACGAGATCTACTGCGGAACCAAGCTGCAGGAGCTGTGCACGATGTTCCTGTTGGGCTTTGACGGCGTCGTCTGTTGCCTAGGCAGCATGCTCATCATCCTCGTCTGCACGGTGCGCTCCTACCCACCCATGTGTCTTGTGCAATGCACTTTGCTGGACGTGCCCCTGCCCCTCTCTTTTCTAATCTCTCTGGGTTTGGATCACCTGGTGTGTCGCATGTGTGTCGTGTGCGTGCCGTGTGGCGGTTGCAGATCGGGCACGCCTACAAGCAGCGAAAAAAGATGAAGCGGGTCATCCGCGCACAGGAGGCCGACTTTGACTTCGTGCTGCACGTCAATTCCTGAACCCCGCGGCCGCATCAAGCACCCTTCCGTAAAAATCAGCAGCACGTCGTCGTCGGGGGATGATGTACATAGAAGCCCAGGCCTCGGCGTCGATTCTGTTTTGTACACACATTTTATTTCCACCCGGGTGGGTAGGGTGGTAATTACATACACTGCTGTGCTAGGCCATGCCCAGGAGGTTGCCGTGGTTGCCGCCGTCGATGCTGTAGCCCACGACTTCGATCATTTCCTCCCATCGCACCGGTCCGTTGGCCGATACTGACGCCGGCTGCGCCGTGGCGGGAAAGAAGAACGTGGCGGCGCGGGAGAGGGCGGAGGGAGGAGTGGCGGCTTGCCCGGCTTCGTCGTCATCACTGGCCAGCGCGAGGCGGATGCACCAGAACCCGCGGTAGTTGAAGCTCTGCGTCTCACCCGGCCGTAGCACATACCTGGAGGGGTTGATTGGACCATTGGTGGAGGAGAAGGCGAACCAACAGCGTGAGGCGTGGGCCAAGAGTGCGTGCGTGCGTGCGTGCGTACCGGGCGGTGATGTCCTTGGACTCGCGCATTTGAGACGAGAGAGCAATGGGGCGGGTGGCCGAGCAGTTGCGCAGGGTGATGAACCCGGTGTCGTGGGTCAACACGTACGAGTGGGACGCCGGCCAAATGAGGTAGTAGTCTACACGTCGTCACGACGACAGCGCCACCAACACCATGCCCCAGCAGCAGGTACCCGGCAGCTCGAGGAGTCAGTTGCCGCCACAGCTGAACTAAGCAGAAAAGCTCGCAAGCGTCGCGGTGGGGGTGGGGAGGGGCTGTTTTACCTTTGTCGGCGTAGCAAATCCGGCGGTCGAGCTGGGAGAGCTGGCTGCCGATCACGATCTGCGCGGTGTGGTGGTCCTTCAGGCCCAGCAGGCCCTGCACGGATCGATCGCCGCAGCAACACCTCCTCTGGTCAGTCCACAACTGATGCGGGAAGACCACCACCAGCCACCAGCCACCACCACCAGCAGCAGCAGAGGCGCAACAGGCCCAACGAACCTCGAGGAAGCTGAGGCCGCGTCCCAGGATCTTGCCCACCCCGAACGGCCGCTGCCCGTGGCTCTTGCCTGCGCGCGGGCACCAGTGCAGAAGAAGAGGCTGTCGGTCAGCCGCTACGATACCGACTGGCAAGGTAGGAAAACGCGCGAAGGAGGAGGTGGCGTGGTGGGTACCAGTGAGCGCGTTGATGGCGAAGAAGAACTCCCGCGGCTCGCCCTGCGGATCGCCCTGCGTGTAGCGGACGAGGTAGAGCGGCACGTACACCACCCGGTAGCGCGTCTCCGGGTACTCCATGCGCGTCACGCTCGTCTCCACCACTCGCACCACCCGCTCTCGCCTCTTCTCTTCTTCTTCGTGAGGATCGTCTTCTCCATGATCGCCCGCCAGGAGTTCCCTGGCGCACGCCTCCTTCTCGCGCGCGACGATCGCCTCCCGCACGGTGCCCCACACGTCGCGGGGCTCGAGCAGAGAGGCCACGTGCACGGTATCATCGTCGTCGTCGTCGTCATCCTCAACTTTGACCGGCAGACTGCCCCGAATAGCAGAGGAAGGAGGAGGAGGAGCCGCGAGGGGGAGCGAGGCCTCCATGTCCCACGGCTCGATGGCGGAGAGCAGGGCGGCCACCTCCGGCCGCAGGCGGGCGGCGCCGCACACGTTCTGCTCGTGGCTGCCCTCCCTGCGCCGCCCCTCCACCAGCCGCGACTCCTTCCGGCCGTCCGTGCCCGCCACCACCTCCACCTTGGCCGCGTACGTGCACACACTCCGCACCTGCGCAGCCAACGGTGAGAGAGACGAGGAAGATCCACATCAAAGGCCCCATACCAACGTTGATAGGATCCTCAGATGATGATGATGATGATTGGAGGGAAGTGCCGTACGGCGGTGCAGTAGTAGGGGACGTAGGTCATGCTTACGGAGGGCGCCTCGAGCAGCTGGCTGAAGTCTGTCGGCGCGAACCTGGTTCGCCAATCAACCCGCGCCATGCGGCCGGTCAGCGATCGTCAGCATCAGCATCACCATAGGGTCGAACCATCGGATGAGGTGGTGGTGGCTGGTGGTGGCTGGTGGTGGTACCAGAGCGAGAGCCGCCAGTCGTTGAAGATCTTGGCCGCCCGCTCCGTCGTCACGGTGAACGGGATCGCCCGCATCGCCTCTGTCGTGGCCATCACATAAGCGCGTCACAGATGCCCCGTGATAGAGAGCGAGAGAGAGAGAGAGAGAGCGTGCGCGGCCCGAGTGGTGGGCGGTGGAGGCGTCACGTACCCAATTGCTGGGGCGTGAAGCGCTGGGCGAGCTTGCGGCTCAGTGCGACCATCCCGGCGAGGGCCACCTGCTGCCGTTCCCTCTCTTCTTCCCTGGCCCTGGCTTCTTCTTCGTTTTCTTTCTCCTTCACTGCTTCTCTCCTACGGAGCTCCTCTTCACCTCCCCGCTGCTGCTGCTGCTGCTGCTGCTGCTCCCGTTGTGCTCTCGCCTCCTTCATCTCCCCCTGCTCGCGCGTGCCGTGCGCCTCGTTGCTCTCTGCCCCGCTGGCCGCACTGGTGGTGGCGGTGTTGGGGCGCGGTAGGGATCCGCCGTACCGCTGGCGGTGCTCCTTGAGGCGGGCGTGGAGTCGCTCGGCCTCGGCCTGCCGCTGCTTCTCCTCCTCCCATCGCCGGTCGGCCTCCGCCAGCATCTGCCGCTGCCTCTCCGCCCGCTTCCGCCGTTCCTCCGCCTCGGGCGTACCACCACGACCACCGCCAGTAGTGGGGTCCACCTCGCCGCCGCCGCTGCCCTGCGCTTCCGCCACCGTCGCCGCGACCTTCTCTGTCCCTTGCGACGCGTCGGTGGCCGCCACGACCGGCGGGTGCAGATGAGTGACGAAGGCCTGCGGGTCGTCCCACAGGCAGCTCTTCCGCAGCGCGTCTTCCACCTGCCGCACGCCCTCGGCGGCGCTGCCATCGTTTTCATCGCCATTGCCGCCGAGGCTGCTTCCCTCGGGAGGGTGTACAGCAGCGGAGTCGAGCACCACCCAGGGGTCGTCGTTGGGGGTGTGGCGTGGGAGAGGCGGCCCGTGGTGGCGCTGTTGGCGGAGGTCGCGTAGGGCGTCGAGCGCGTCGATGGCGTTGGCGACCACCCAGCCGCTGGCCCGCAACTCGCGTACGATGACGTCGAGCGACGCGTCGGGGAAGAGGTTCCTCACAGTCTTCAGCATCTCCGCCTGCATCCACAAATGGTGTGACATGGTTGATGCAATTCAATAAGTAATCAACCATTTATGAATATTTGGCGTGGCATCTTGCCAAAGAGAGGGGGACTCGGCGAACAAGAGGACCCACAACGAGCAAGGGGGGGGGTGCCTCTAGCTTGCGTTGGCGTCGATCTTTGACGGTGGGGGGCTCCATCACAAGAGAAGAAATAATCAATTCTTGCAGCAGCACGAGATTAACGTTGCCTTTGCTTGTGGTCACTTGGTGCTGCGGGTTACGGCGTGGTAGTACTTCCGCCGAAAGTTGCAACAGCAAAAAGCCTGAGAGAAAATGAAAAAGGAGGAAGGAGTCAAGCCACCACACTGCCAAGAATCACACATCACATAATGAACAACAAATCACTGCTTGGAAATGACATTCCATTGCTATGGTCTCTTTCTCTTCACAGCTCCACCCTGATGGCACTGATTTTCCCACTCATGAACACCATGGTCACCTGCCCTACCTGCACCAAAGAACTGCCTGATCTTGAGCTGCTAAGGAGGGGAAAAAGAAGTAAGTAATTTGTTGGTGCATGTGTATGCAATCCAGAAAATCTGAACTTAGCTTGTTTTGTGTTAGTGCTACTCTGAACTTCCATGGTCATTTGTGACCTCTCATTTCAAATGAGCACAAGTTCTTCAAGAGATGGGCACTCTAGAATGACTTTACAAACCCTGACTGGAAGGTCAGCTCAGGCAATAATTGGAAAAGCAAGTCTGCTGTTGGGGAAGAAGAACTTGGTCAGATGCTGAATTTGGCTGCCCTGAGTTGGCAGTTGTCTCCTTATCCTACCTGCCTGCCCACCCACCCTGCCAGCTGCCAGAGCAGCAGGTTGCTGAGCACCCTGGTGACATCTGTTTTTGTTGTGGGCTGCACCAGCCCCCCTACCATCCAACAACCACATACCCAACTGCCCAGGCTGATTTTGGTGAGCTGTGTGGACAATAAAACCAGTGCACACACATATGCAACAGGTGGTAATTGGGCACCCAATAAATCAAAACCAGCACATATGTGTATGAACTGGTTTTGGTGTCCAAGCCACACAGCCTGCCACACCACAGCTGGTGACACCAACTTCATCACATATGTGTATGTGATGGTTTTGGTATCCAAAATGCCCAGCCTGCGCCCTCTCTGCCCACCTGCCCACCCACTCACCACCCTGCATTCCTGTCCACCCACCTGGCAGCCTGCCCTCATGCCCACCTGCCCACCCAGCACCAAAATGCCACTCCTTCTGCATGGAAACAGTGAAATAAAGTGCTTTAATGTGCACATGTGATGAGATGGTGTCTGGAATGAGGGATACAGGAATCTCAAGTACTGGTGTTGCAGTGAGATCACTATGATCCTCAGAATCACTCCTGGAGTGAGTGTCAGGGATGTCATATCTGTTTTCGAAAAAAGGGTCGAAATGCCAGTAAGAATAAAGAGGTGATTTCAGACAGGATAGTTATTGTGTACATGTATGTGATGATTTTGTGCATGCAAGTGGAGAAATGAAAATGATGTAAATGTAGTTAAATCATTGTGTATGCGTATGTGATGATAAAATAGGAATTATAACTACATGTTACACATTGTCATGATAAATAGTATTCTAGTTGGTGATAAAGAAGGTCAAGAATTACAGGAAAAATCAAAAAGAAGTGTGGGACAAACCAGGTATCACTGTCTGATGCCTCCATGGGAGCAGTTGAGAGATGTGGTGGGGTGAGAGGGTAGGATAAGAATTGAAGTCAGTGTATGTGTACACAATGAAATATACCACTGACTCTCAAAATCAACAGCAGTCCCAGCTCTCCACAACCCCTTGCTTGGAACCATTGCACAAGAGAAAGCATCAAGATCATGAGGATACTGACACCCATGCCCACAGACACAGCAGTGCCCACAACAACTGCCACAAGCACAGCTGTGGATTGCAACACAAGTGCCACAAGAGCAGGAGCCAGAGCAGGAGCTGGAGCAGGGACAGAAGCCACAACTCTGACATTGACCAATTGCCTGACCTTGGGTCACTTTCCCCTTTCCACTCTGGTTCTGATGTGGATAGGAGTGAATACTAAACTCCATCTTTCCAATCTTTCCAACTTTTAAAATAAACTCCTTTGTTCACTTCCCAATTCATCAAAAAAAGCTTCCTCCACTAGTTGTGTGCTCAATGACAATCGCCACCATGCAAATAAAATAAAGAACACTGGCTACCCCAGTAATCCTCACATTATGCCAACCACACCAAACTAATTTGACTTTGACTGCTGGCCCTGTTACAGTATCATATCTCTCATTATGATGGAATTTTGATCTGCCATATCTCAAGATGCATCCAATTTTGTCATGTTAAATCCGATCCAAATGTTCAAAACTGCCCCATAAATCAAAAATGTCATATCTCAGATGATTTAAGCACAACAAAATTTCCACAGTCATTTTCAACCTCTCATTTCAAATGAGTGCAAGTTCTTGACTTGCCCAGTTCAAGACCCTGCAGCCTGGACTGGCCAGTTGTTGTTGATGATTGGCCACCAGATTGTGAGAGGTTGGTGGTTGACCTATCAGACTACACTGCAATTGACACTACTGGGAACTCTTGGGACATTCACCCAGGCACACCTCCCTCTATCACCAGGCCAGTGCAAGGTGGCTGCAGTGCTCCTGTTTTGGGGATCACCTTTGATGTCAAGCCTGGCCAAGCAAAGAGCAGCTGTGCAGGCTTTTGAAGGACACCCCCATCTGCTGCTTCATTGGTGGTAGAACCCTTATCATCCTTCTTGTCCTGCCTGTGTACACACTCTGTGCGCCCCTGGCCTTTGTTATGGAGCAAGATTGGCTGTAACCATTGACTGATCAAGCAGAGTGAACTCATCAACACCATCCCAAACAGCAAAGCTGTACTCCCCCACCTAAGTCACTCTTCCTCTGATCTGCATCAGCCATTTCTTGTGCGGCCTCTCCCTCTTGGCTTTCTTCCAGAGCTGCCCATTCACACCAAGATTGGTGTCATGGCATCTAAGCCATCAGCCTTGCCACGCTCGTGGCAGGCGAGGGCCTCTCCATCGACAGACAGCTTCGCGCTCACTCACATGAGAGGCTGCTGGAGGAGGGTGGATTTGAGGCCAGCAGCTCTTGGTTTGGGGGACTTTGTGGATTTCAAGTGACAACGTTCACCCCACCTGAGAATCATGAACCACGCCCTGCACCAGTCCAGCATGGATCCGCCACGTTCATTATGGCGAAAAGGGTGTCATCCAGCAGGTGGACATCTCGCTCCCCTTTGCCATCATCTACGCACAACCCAACGCCCACGCCGTGCGCGCAAGTTTCTCGCGGTCTTTGATCACGCCGGTGTGTGCGTCGGCGTCGGCTCGCTCTCCCACGATCTCCGGCTTCCCCCCACATTCCCAACTCGAGTTCTAGCCCCCTCCTCACGAGCGTGAATTGTTGAGCTTGACCTCATAGGATCTACCTGACCTTCAGGTGTGCGTGCGTACCTGCGGTGTTTCTCTTGTCGTTGACGCTGGTTGGGCCTCTTTTGGGTTGTAGATTATGAGGGATATTGAGTTTTCACTGGCGCTCCTGTGGTGTAATACATATTTATATTTATTTATTTTATGTTTTAATTGGGCCCGCACACCATCGACGCCTCTTCCGCCTTCGCCGCAGTGACGTCGGCTGGCGAAGGGGAAGAAGATGATGAAGAAGAAGCGAAAGGAGACAGCAAGCGGAGGGCCGAGACCATGGGCAGCCTGAGCGGTCGCAGGGCAAAGAAGAGCAGCACCACCAGCATCACGAGATTGAGCACCAGCACCAGCGACACGAGCAAGTAGGCGTAACTGCAACATCACAACACACGTACACGACATACATGTGAGGCCTGATCATCGTCATCACCACCATCAAAAGAGAAAAGAATGTCGAGAAGGTTCCCCGGGGGGGGGTAGTTGGTACTCGTCGGCCACGGTGAGAATGTTGTCGAAGTCGTTCCACTCGACGATCAGCGGCCGATCGTCATGGGCGCTGAGCGAGTTGAGCTGGTTGAAGGCCTTCCACAGGGTCTGCGTGGCGAAGGTGAACGCCACCGTCCCGATGGCGGCCTCCTCGAGCAGGTTGTCGGTGGCCGAGGCAAAGGGCACCAGACAGTGCTGGAGGGTGAGCGCGACCAGCAGCACAAGCATGATGGCGGCTGGCCGCACGGGGTTGGTCGACGCGACGAGCGACAGCAGGGCGGGGAGGGCCAGGCGCCGCGCGGTGAGGGCCAGCTCGAACCAGCGCATGGTCGGCCGGTAGCAGGCGAACAGGCCGCCCAGGCAGTGGCGCGTGCGGGGCTCGTCCAGGCGGCGGCGCTGGAAGAAGAGTAGGGCGGTGAACAGGAGCGGAATCCCAAACACGCAGATCACGATCGACGCCACGCTCAGCTTCTGCAGCGCGCCCCAGTCGGTGTCACTGCGCGACATGGTTAGCGAGTGGCGTGTATGTGTGTCGTGTGTGGCCGTGTGGCGTACGAGGAGCAGCGGAGCCAGGGGAGGGAGGCCATGAATCTGGAGTTGGAGTTGGAGTTGGAGTTGGCATGGGGCTCGTCGACGCAGTCGAACACGGCCAGCGAGCGGTTGGTCAGCTCGAACAGAAGGAACCAGACGACCCACAGCCACGCGTAGATCCCGCCGTACCACGGCCGCCCCGCCGGCTTGTCCCTGCTGCGGCGGCTTGCCAGCAGCACCTCCTCTTCCCTTAGTCTAGGAGTGAGCTCCACCACGTAGCTCCGGCCTACGCTGTCGTCATTGTCGTCTTGTCTACCACCCTTGTCGACGGGGTAGACGTTGTTGTCGACATCCGCTGGCGGCGGCGGCGTGCCTAGGCCGAGCCGGCCGCGGCGCCAGAGGTAGGCCATACGAGCGAGCACGATGAGGACGATCAGGGCAGTGGCGAGGGGTATGACGAGGAAGAAGGTGGCCAGGTTCCACACGGGGTCGCTCATCCAGTTGAGCAGGCACTCGATGCCGGTGCCGTCGGTGCTGGCGTTGAAGAGGTCGAGGTAGCGCATACCGCGGCTCAGCACCCACTCGGGCCAGGTGGCGTTGAGCATGGCCGTGGTCTGGGCGAAGACGAGGAAGATCTTGAGCGCGCCGCTGTCGCCCACCTCCCGCGCGGCCTTGCGGAGCCGGGCCAGCAGCGTGCGGTCGCGCCACACGTGCATGGCCACGAGCAGCACCACTGCGCCCAAGACGAACACGCACACGCCCAGGGTGAAGCCCACGATCGCCGCCTCGGAGCACTGGATGCATCGGCTCCCGCTGCGAAAGAAGCAATCGGAGGGCGAGGCGCACATGCAGTGCGAGCACAGCCGGCCTGTGGTTGAAAAATGACAGGAATTTGAGTCAGCTGAACGCATGGAATGGAGAGCGCGCCAAGCTTGGGGGTGTGGGGTACCTTCGGTGCCGGGCGAACACATGACGCAGGAGGAATCGACTCCTTGGCCGTATTTGGCCGAGCAGGAGCCCTTTGGGTTGCACGCGCTGTCCTGCCCATTGCTCCCGTAGTCGGTACAGGGCATCGCTCCAGTCACTTGGGCTGCAGCCGCGCACGGCAAACAACACGGAACACAGCAACGTAAGTGAAGCGAGCTCGGACCTATAACTGCTGAATGGATGGGGACGAACAGTGGTTGTTAAGGATGGGATAGAAGCCACGTTTCCACGAGAGGGTTTTGCCCATCGTGCACGCGCAGTTGACCGGGCAGAGGCCGCAATCATGCGGCGGAGCGCCGTAGTAGCCGTCGGCGCACCTGCAATACTGATAGCCGTAGAACTCGGGCGATGTGCTGATCTGCAACCACAATGGGCGCATGATCCAAAAAATAAATTAAAAAAAATAAAATTAAGTCCGAGCACAGCGTACAGCGTTTTATGTCCGGGCTGGATGGGTAGCGTACCCGAAAGTAGTACGGCGAGTAGGAGGCGGCCGACGGGCAATAGTAGACGCGCCGATCGCTGACGTCCAGGGCGCTCTGGTCGAACCCGAACCAGTGCAGTGTGGTGTTCGGGTTGAGTCGCATTCGCAGGTTGCCTGTGGCCGGGGACAAGGTGCAAGAATTAATGCGCATTGATAAGGAGGCGGAGACACGGCACAACGAACGAGAGAACAAACCTTTGACGGAAATGTAGGCCAGTGAGGGAGCAGAGGCGATCAGGTCGTCGCCGATCGTGCCGCTTAGTTTGACGTTGCCACTCACATCGAGCACGGTGAGCGGCGAGGTGAACTGGTGTAAACCAACCTGACTCGGGAGTGATCATCATGCTCAGTCCCGCTCACGACACGCCTACGGTACGACACACGACACACTCACGACGCATGCGCATACGACACGCGTAGAGCCAACTCACCTGGGGGAACTTTGGAATCTCGCCCTCGAAGTTGTTGGCATCGAGTAGGAGCACTTGCAGTGAGGGATGCCTCACTAGTGCCTGCGGGATCGTTCCATTAAGTTGATTGTACGACAGCACAAGCTGGGTGAGGGTCGGCAAGCTGGCCAGCGATTGTGGAATGTAGCCTGGAACAATTAGCTCGACAGTCAGAATGTGACCCATTATCACACTGCACGACCAGCAACACGACACGCACGCACGTGACCTACAACACGCACGACACACACACACACGGGGGGGCTGACCTGAGAAATTATTCATTGCAAAAGTGAGTGTAGTGGGATTGGTTAGATTCCACCTGGTCGGAAGTGGACCAGAGAAGTGATTCCTCGAAACGTCCTGTGTGGCCCGTGCACGTCAGTTTACTGAAGGCGCCGGATCAGGTGAATAGAGGGTAGGGTGGAGAGTACCAAGACCAGCAGCGGCGAGTTGGAGAAGATCTCCGGCAGGCAACCGGAGAAGAGATTGTTTGAGAGCTGGAGGAATTCCAGGTTGGGGAGACAGCCGAGCGAGGCGGGCACGGATGATGAGAGGTTGTTGGGGCCGAGAAAGAGCCCTTGCAACGCGCCAAGGTTGCCTGTTTATAATTTTTTTAAAAAATAATAAACAAAAAGACAAACAAAAAGAGAGTACCGTAGTAGTCGGGCAAGGGGCCATGGAACAGGTTTTGTTGCAGGCTCAGGTATTGCAGTCGAGGAAAGGCCATCTCCGATCCGAAGGCGGGCAGGGTACCAACGAGATAGTTGTCCTTGAGGGCGAGCGTGGTGAGCGTGCAAAAGCGGCTCCATGACGCTGGGATCGAACCCACGAGGCCGACAGACGACAGGTCGAGTCCCACCCACACGATTGGGTCGCTGACGAAGCAAGAGACGCCAACCCAGTCACAAAACGTGGTGCCTACGCACACAGTGCTGCCGGTAAGACTGGAGGATGCGCGGCGCCGCACTCCAAAAGGGAGGGAACAAACGGTACGTACCGTTTGCCAGCCAGCATGTGTGAGGATTGCATCGCATGTTCCAGTTGGGACCGTTGGTCGCGTGGTATAACTCCTCCAAAAGCTTGCTCGTTTCGTCCCCTGGGGTGTGCGTATCGGCAGCACAACACAACCCGCGCCACACAGACAACAGTCAGCACAAGGCCGCAAAAAAAACAAAAAAAAACGAAAGCGAAGACAAAAAAGAAATAAAAACTAAAAACGACAGGGTGCGTACAGGTTGGGGGTTGGCAGGGTGGAGGTTCTGGAGGACAACTGGTCGTGGGTGAAGAAGAACGGAGGGAAGGGGGAGGAGGATGTGCCGCAGGGAGGCGGCCTTGGAGATGAGGCGAAGGGTTCAGGTAGAGCGATGCTTCATTGATCGCGTTTGTTAGCCTGAAAAGGAGGATTAAAAAAGGCAGAAGCGGAAGAACGAATCTGCCCTGCATGCCGTCCCGCTGAGGGTGTACCTCCGGATGTTTTGTTTTTTCTTTCCCTTTTTCGTGTAAACAATAAGCACCCAGTTTATTTATTTACAGAGTTATTTGAAAATACCTGTGTCCCATGACCAGAGTTGTTTCAGTCACAGAAAATATGTCAAAATTTGACGAGGTTTTCATTGTTATGTTCAAAACTCCACAGAAGCGCTCAACAGACACCAAGCAGGAAGGATGGCCTCCCCCACTCAAGCCCCTATCACCACTCCATCCTGCAGTGGTCTACCATGCACATGCTGAGGCTGCTGCTCCCTTGCTTGCAGCCAGGTATCCAGCTAACACTGTGTCTGGAAAAAGGTGCCAGTGGCACCTTTTGTTAAGTAAAATCTGTACAAGTGATATATGTGTATGTGCAGCAAAAGCAGTACTTTTGTGAACATGGTGTGTGAGTGGTTTTGGCAAAATATGTACAGAGAGTGGCAAAACAGGGAAAAATGGTGTAGGTCATGGTAAAAGCAGATGGGGCCAATGAAGAATTTCAAGGCATAAGTGTAAAAAAGGGCTAATGTATTTTATTGGAATGAGGAACAGAACAGAGTGGAGGGAAACATTAGCCAATGGACTTCCACACTTTCCATGGACCAGAAGAGGAGGAGGAGCTGGTCTTGGGTGTGAGAGGGGCAAGGGCAGGATGTGAAGTTAGGCCTTGTAGGAAGGAAGTGATGGCTGTGAGATCTGACTCCTCCAGGAATTTAGAGTGGAAGGTGAGGAGCCAGTTGCCAAGAGAGGAGATGTTGCCCTCTGCTATGGGGGTAGAGGAGAGGCAGACAAAGCTGGAGTAAAGGGCAGCACAGAAGGAGAGGTAGTAGGTGGGATTTGCCTCATAGAGAATGTGGTAGGGGGTGGTGGGTGATGTGATGGGGTGGGGAGAAGGATTGGGAAGCTCTAAGCTCTGGATGAGGAAGCTGTAGAGGCTGATGTGAAGTGGGGTGTGGTCTGATGATTGAGTAGTGAGGAAAGCAGGAGCAGAGTGGACAACCTCATGTGTTGGGTGTGGGATAGCTGGAGGAGGACATAGTGGAGGAGGAGAAAGAGGAGGAGAAGGGAGAGGAAGTGCTGGAGGAGGAGTGGGAGGAGGAGTTGGAGGTGGAGGAGCTGGAGGAGGAGGAGCACCAAGCGCTGCCAAGGAAGCACAAGCTGGTAGAGGAAGAGCACAAGGAGAGGAAACGTGCACACCCAGAGGTGATTGACATGGACAAGGAGATGGAGGCAGAGGAGATCAAGACCAAGCCTCACAAGCAGCTGGTGGTGCACCAGTACTCTGCAGGCAACACTGAAGAGCAACACAAGGAGGCTGCCAGACTACTTGCCCTGCCTGACCTGGAGCTAGGTATGTACACTTTGTGTGTTTTTACTGTTCACCACACCAACAAGTTCCAAACTGATGCACATCAGGTTTTTATTTGTCAACTCTTTTCCCAATGCACATCAGGTTTTTTATTTGTCGACTCTTTTCCCAATGCACATTGGGTTTTTTATTACAAATAAAAACCCTCCTCTTCATTGTCATTCCTCCTCCAGCCATATGCAAGATCATCAGCGTTCTCCATAAAAGGCTCCATGTCCACTGGTGGAACTTTGCTAATGGATGCTGGACTGACCATGGCTCAGAAAGCACTGTTCCAATGGGGTCTGTTTTAGCTTGTGGCTTTGACTTTAACACCAACACTGGAGTTCCCCCACCCACCCTTCAAGAAATATTTAGACACCTGTAAATAAAACTTCTCTTCTCTGTGTACATTCAAATTCCACAGTGTTTTTATCTCATGTACACCTGTTTTTAGTTTCATTAAAAAGTACCACTATCACCTTTTTCCAGACACAGTGTTAGCTGGCACACATTGAGAGCAGGTCAGCTGTGAGGACTGGAGCCTCATGGTCCATTTCCTTGACACAAGCTGCTACCAGTCAAGAGCAGCCATAGCTGGCATGTTCAACACCAAAGCAACAAGAAACTGTACCACCAGTACAGTGAGCACATTGTGTCAATCTGGAGTGATGGTGGGTGCAAGCACTTCAAGCAGAGTGCAAACCTCTTCATGAGCTGCTTCCAGGCGTCGGATCGCAATTTCGCCGAAATGTGTGCATTTTTAAGGTCTTTTCTTGCATTTTCTACACATTTTCCGTTCACATTTCTCAGATTATGTGCATTGAACTGGCCGAAGTGTACTGATGACACCAATCTGTTTCTGGAGGGTGTGCAGATGCTGGTGTTACAGCCCTGACAATCTGTGCATGCTGCCAGATAGTTAGTGAAAAAGGGTCACTGACCCTTTTTTGTGAACACTTGGTTAACTTCTTCCCATCTTTCCATGGTGATGGGGTCTGTGATGGTCTGGCAACCCATGAAAAGCACAGGGTGAAGAAGTGGGAGAAGGACAACAAGTTCATCTTCTCACCTCATCAGCTGGCTGAAACACTGGGCACTGTGCACAACTTCACTGCAGCTGTCTCCACCCTGCAGTCTACCCTTGTGCACAGCCATGCCCCTGTCCCAACTATGGGTAAATGGTATATAAGTTTACCTTTCCTTCTCAAGGTCAGTTGGCTGCTTTTACAGCTAGCACCAACCAAGAGCCACATTCACATGCCACCAGCACTTTTTCACTTGGGTTTTTTCCCCTTTCTTCACCATTTCCTGCTGACCAATTAACAACTCCAGTCACACTCAAAAACTGCCTGCACCTCCATGTAATAACCTGTCAAACCAGATTTGCTTGCTTACAGTGATTCAACTCAAATTGTCTTGAAAATCATGACAAAATCAATCAGCACAGTGCATGGTTTTATCACCACCACAGCTAACCATGCACTGTGGTGGTGATGTGCTATGGGGCAATCTAGTCATCCTGTTCACTGCTGCTTACTCTGGAGCATAGGGCTGCTGCTACCAGCAGATTTATGCTTCCCTTCCCATCATGTGTGGCCTGCTCATCTCACCCTGGCCTGACCTAATCCCATTCTCTTATCTATTAATAGTAAGTTCACAGCCCTTCTCAGCTCACCATCTGCTCAGGCAAGGACAGGATGTTTGACAAGGTGCTCATCACCAACAGAGGTGAGATTGTGTGCCATTGCACTGCAGCATGGTGCCTCCATTCCATTCAAGTTGATCCACATGGCTTTGCCCACAACCCACAACATGTGGCCCAAGGAACACACCATAGCAGACCAGAATCATGACTTGTGGAACATTGATGTAATTGGGTGGCTATACAAATGTGGATGCCCACCACACAATTGTGAAGACTCTCATCTCTCTGTTGAATGGCAAGGTTGGATTAAATAGGGGGTGTGACATTGAGGAGGAAAGGGCTCTGGCTCAACCACAAAGCCTCGCGCAAATATGTACAAAAGGCTAAAGAGCCAGCCTCCTCCCATTGACGGTGGTGGTGTAGAATGATGCACAACAAGGGGCAGGCCTGATGGACAGGCTGGCCTGGCTCGCCTGTGGTAGCGAGCAAGTGAGCGGACAGCGCCATCATCAGCTCTGGTAGTTGGCCGGCGACGATGGCGAGGAGCCTGAGTGTGCTCCGTTCGGCGAGGAATTCTCCTCTTTCGGCATGTCTAAGATGTAGGGGAGGGAATAAGGTGCGAGTGTCAACGTCACGTGTCATCATTGGAGGACTGGCGATAATGGACGTACCGCCATCGCCGTACTTCTCGCGCTCCTCCTTGCTCAAGAAGCGGCCGCCTGGACCGCGCATGCGGTTCTTGGCGTGCTGGTGCCGCGAGTCGTGCAGCCACTCCTATTCCAGTCGACCGCCACCACGCGCGTGAGGCCGATTGCATTCATTGGGGAAAAAACAAATAAAAATAAAAAAATAAAAAAACGAAATAAAGACAAGAACAGTCGTTGGGGAAATTGGGGGGCGCAGGTACCTTGCGCGGGATGACCTTGAATCTGGCCTCGAGCTTCATCCTCGCCTGACGTCGTTTGAGGATGCGATGATATTGCTTCTGATTAACGTACACCGCGTCCTCAGAGCTTGGCAAGAGGGCGTACTGCTGGCCCTGAATGAGCGAACCCATCTGCGCCAGTTGAAGGGAACCAAGACCCTGACGAGATGAAAAAAAAATATGAAACGATTCAAAACCAATCACCGAACTACTGTTTTCCATCCGATTCGATTGAATTGATTCAATCTGATCGGACCTAAAAGAACGAAGCTTAATCATTTGCAAGGGTTGAAAAGAAACGAACCATGTAGGGGTACCCCTGAACGGCTGCTGCGTTTACCTCTGCGCCTGCCATCTGAGGCGGGTAGCCGAAGGGCAGGCCTTCTGGGTAGCCATGCACGCCGTGGTGGCCGCCATCTTCAGGGTGGCCCCCGTGGCCCTCTACCCCGGGTGCGCCCTGTTGCGCGCCGTGGGTTCCATAGAGCTGTTCGTGGCCGCCCTGGGGGTGGTGGAGCTGTTGATGATGCTGTAGATGGTCGTCCGATCCTCCGCCTCGGTGGCTCCCTTCATCGTGGCCACCCTGTCCGTTCGGACCAAGGCCGCCATGGCCGACCTGCGATTGGTGTTGGAGCGAGAGCATGTCTATTGGCGTGGAGGGCCAAGTTGTTGTTATTGGTGGTGCGAGGGCCTATCCTGGCGCTTCCTTCCTTCGTCGCTTCGGGGCACACGCGATGACGACTGGTGCGTGGGCTGTCCGCGTTGTTCTCTTTGAGCCGTTTGCAGGGCCTGTCGCAAAATGTCGGCAGCCAAATCCGAGAAAATGCCGGACTCGAAGCCCCAATTCATTTTGCCTGCCTCAGAAATGCAAGATTATTTTCATAAATACTCCCTCCGCGAGAAAGAAACACCTCTTCGCTTGGCATGGCGGAAGTAGTAACTCCTCTTCCTTGCCTTCGCGTGCTGAGGAAGGTCGGAGAGGGCAGCTTTGGGCAGGTGTTCGAGGCACTGTGGCGAGACCAACACGCGAGCGCAGAAAAGAGGGTGGCTCTAAAACGAGTAGCGGTAGGTCATACCTCGGGCAACACACGCTACACAGTCCTACGACTCACATATGCCGCCTTGTAGAGGTACGAGGGCATCACGAGCAGAGAAGCCGAGATGCTAAACCTCATCAATGGCCACCCGTGCTGTGTGGCCCTACTCGCTTGCTTCTTCTCCTCTACTCGCGGCCTTAGAGATTCCACTCTGGTACGTAGGAGGATCTCCTTCACAAGAAGCAACGATACGCCTGACCTCTGAACAGAACCTCGTATTCGAGTACATGCCGTGTACTTTGAAGTCGGTCTTGAAGAGCGGGGCTCTTGCTCCTGACCTGGCGACCTGCTACTTTTTCCAAGTACGTCTCTTCCTCTTCGGATAGCTTCACGTTGTGGTAACAGCCCTTTCGCGGCAGATCTGCTGCGGCCTGAAGCACATCCACGGGCTTGGAGTATGCCATCGAGGTGAGTGATTTGCCGTGTTGTGTAACTCTACTCACTCCTACCTGCTCCTTCCAGATTTGAAGCCTGACAACGTCCTCGTGGACATGAGGTACTTGCACCTCTTCCTAGTGCTCAGGAGTTGGCACTCACTTCCCCATGTTTAGAGCCAGGGAGCTTAAGATCTGCGACTTCGGGTGGTGCGTTCTTCCAAGCCGGAATCAGCATTGGAGTCTAATACATTGCCGATCAGCGCAAAGCGTTTGTCCGAGAGCGCCACAAGCAACACATACAACGCCGCCCGGCTTTACCGGTAACCCACTCTTTTGTTGCCCTTTAGCTCCACAAGCTAAGGGACTCCATCAGCGCCCCAGAGTGCCTGTTCGGAGTCTCGTCCTACACTACCAAGATCGCACGTCCCCTTCCCCTTACGTCCACGATCGGCTGGCACCTAATCTCATAATCTTGGCAGGATATGTGGGCCGCTGGCTGCATTCTTTGGGAGATGCTCGCCGGCAAAGCGTTGTTCCAAGGTATTGAAACACGCTACCCTACTCCTTGTGCGCTTTTGAATGACCTTGCGCAGGTTTCGACCCACTCAACCAGCTTGTGAACGTCGTGATGGTTCTTGGAGCTCCGTCCGTTTACGATCTGTGGACTCTCCAGGCAGAGGAATGCAGGTAACCCTCTAACCATTTCGTCCTCCAATTAGTGTCAGAGCTTGCTGACAGCATTGTTTAGCTTCCCCAGTATACAGGCGCTCTCCCTAGATGAGCTACTTCCTGGTCTGCCTTTGGCAACTAGCCTGTTGGGTACAAATCACCGTCACGCCTATCAGCACCGCGGTCTCTTACTGGTGCGGCGCAGGTGGTCTCCTCACGTACAACCCGAGCAAGCGTCTGTCCGCGTCACAAGCTCTGGAGCACCGCCTGTTCGATCGGGTCAGGACGAACGACATCCCCCTCCCGACCGCCGTTCTGTCTCTCTACCGCCAAGACCGCTGGGAAGACAGGGAGATGGCCTGAGGCAAGGCTTGCCCCCACTGTCGCTACGAGCTCAAATTGAGCCGCGCTCTTTGGCACTGATTAATTTAGCTCCTATCAACATTTCCGGTCGCTGGCCAGCTCAGTTATTTCTTCACTTGGTACCCGTCCAGGAGGGCATGGATTAATCCACAAACCCGGGCAGACACACAAAGAAAGAAGTCGCGCACAGTTGCAACTGGCCAGCGCTGCTATGAGTGGCACGCGTGCTTCGGCCGAGCCCGAGGTGCCTCACCCCTCCGGAGACATTACATCTTATTTTTTTGATCAAAAAAATCGGGGGTGGGTGAACGAAATCAATTGCCCAATCTGTGCAGCGGATCTAAAGGCTATGTGTTGGTGTTTTGGCATGTGAGCAGCCCCCTTGTATAGAGGGCTGGCTGAAGAGGAGAAGGGGGCTCGTTGCCGCCTGGCACAAGGTGTTTGTCAAAATCGATGTGCACCAACACAAGCTACGACTCTACAAGCGGCAGACCGACACCACACCCAAAACCAGCGTTCCTCTCAAGTACCCCTCCACCCAGCCGCTCCGCCCTCGTTTTCTTTGTGCGCTCAGCGCGCTTTGCCCCTTTGCCCTCACCTGCTCACTGGCCCTTCCCGCACCATCGCACACGCACACGAACACAGGAAAATCTTGAACGTGCTGGCGGTGGACGGGGAAGGGTCGGCTGCAGCCATCCCCTCGGCATCGCCTGCCGACAGCAAGAAGAAGGAGAAGAAGGCCAAGGCCGATGCCGCGGGCAAATACGAGTTCGAAGTGCACACGGCCGCGCGCCACTACCGCTTTCAAGCCAACTCTGACAGCGAGATGTACGCGCGTGTGGTCTTTGCTCAGCGATCGTCGTCGAGTGACGTGCGTGCGGTGATTGAGCGCCTCATGGGCGGCTGATTTCTTTTACCGCGTGTTCTGAACGGCCTGGTTTTCAGGCATGCGTGGATCAAGGGCATCAGGGCCGCCGCCGACAAGGCTCTTTCACAAACGCTCAGCGAGTCTCAGACCGGGGGCAGTGACAGCGACGGAGAAGCGGAGGGCGACCACAAAGGTCTGCTCGAATTCGATGCGCGCGCAATGGAGAGCAAGCTCAAGAACATGGGCGTCGATCTCCACGAGCTGGGCGCGAGAATGGCGGACCCGAGCACGGGCATTCCGCTCAGCGGTACCCATAGCTTTACCCATGGCCCCCTCGCTTGCTCGTCACCATCGTACTAACGCCGTGAGGAACACAACCCCTCATCTACTCAGACACGCGTAAGCGAATGAATTTGTATCGCAATTGCTTCTCGAGAACGGCCTGTGTGGAGTGGCTTGTCAAGGAATTCGAAAGAAGGGGAGTTCAAGGTAAGCCACCGTTGCCCATCTCGGACAACGCACACGCACACGCACCCGCACACGCACCCGCACACGCACCCGCACACGCACACGCACACGATACACACCACTGAGCAACACTCGTGGCACTCTTGTTCTGTGTGCGCGGGCGCAGAGTTTGACAAGGGTCTGTGCCTCGATGTCGGGCGATGCCTGATGCACTCGCGGTTCATCTACTGCCTCACGGGCCAGGCCAACTTCTCCGGCGAGAGCTCCCTCTACGCCTTCTCCCGCCAGTCCGAGTCCTCGCTCGTCACCCTCTCCACCACCTCCTCGCTCTTCTCCACCTCGACGCTCGACATCTTCAACTCGCACTCCTCGTTCGAGATTGTGACCATGCGCGGCGACGACTCGAGCAAGACCGTCAAGCGATTCCTGCGCGACAGCCAAGGCAAGGCCGGCTCGGACAAGAAGTCGAAGGAGGAGAAAGACGAGAGCACGCCGGCGTTCACGAGCCGCTCCGGGTCGAAGCGGGACCGGCGGCCGGCGGCCGGCGTGCCGACCCACGTGCCGGGGCTCCTACCCGGCGAGGAGGCGCTGCTGGCCGAGGCCAACATCCTCCTCTCCTACGAGGCCGACCTTACCTCGGCCGAGCGCGGCGTTCTCGCCGTCACCAACTTCCGCCTCATCCTCGCCCCCGAGGTACGCCTCATAGCTCCTCCTTGTCATCTCGCCTCCTTGCTGACTCCGCGCGACACGCACGACACGCACGACACGCACGACATAACGTACACTGTCGCAGACGGCGTTGTCTATATCGATAGCGCTGGGGCTAGTGTTCAAGGTGGGGATGGGGCCCTCGCTCACCATGCCGGACAACTCGGCCAAGGAGAGCGTAGTCCTCTCGTGCAAGGACCTCCGCGACGTCTACCTCGTGTTCCCCGTACGGGGTGCCACCCCGCCCCCTTCGTTTGGTCGCAACCACTCACGCGGCTGCTGCGTGTTCATGTGCGGCGGTGCGTGTGCGTGCTCTATCCAGGACGGAGCCACCATGAAGAAGGTGCTACGCGGGCTAAAGAGCGTCATGTCGCCGGCGCACGTGCAGGACCTGTTCGCCTTCACCACCAAGGAGGACTACAAATGCGATGACGACGCCGGTACGCGGAAGCCGGCCTCTCCCCCCCTCTCTATAGCAGTGACCGCCACGCTTGCGTCAGATTGATGCTGATGTGCCGTCCGAGAGCTCACCATGCACCCACCCGTTTTCCGTTGCCAGACGAACGGTGGGATTGGCTGCTTTATTCGACGGAAAACGAATTTGCCCGACTGCAGTTGGCCAAGGAGGAGTGGCGCATCCCGCACTCTAACGAGGTTCACCCTCCCCCACGCGTTTCTTTTTCACCACCACCACCACCACCACCACCACCTTAATATTAACCCGGACCGTTTCCCCATTGGGCACGGCTTGATCCGCGCGTGTTGCAGGGGTACGCCGTGTGTCCCACGTACCCGCGCCGATTCATCGTTCCGGCATCGGTTTCCGATGCCGACCTCGTCCAGTCCGCGGAGATGCGGCACCAGGGGTACGCCACACCACGGGCTTGCCTACTAAGGCGACCTTTCACTGCTTAACATTCTTCTGCTTCACCGCGCCAAGGCGATTGGCGGCGCTTTGCTGGGTGGACGGCAAGGGCAAGGGCGGCATACTCTTGCGCGCGGCCGACGTGGTTGTCAAGAAGTCATTCATCACCGGCAGCGGAGTACCTCGCACCCCCACCACCCCCCACTCTATTCTCAACATTGTGTCGACTAACGGCTGATTGAATTTTTCTTGCCAAGAACGTGCGAATGGAGGCCGAGGGCGGTGATCCGATCGTGAACGCCGTTCTGCGCAAGTCCAAGTCGCACACGCTGCACATCGTGTGCTGCCATCAGCCCCGCAGCGACGAAGACGACGGCAGCGGAGAGCACACATACCACGTGGGCAACCACCACCCCCACCAGCAGCAGCAAGGTCTGGACGCCCTGAGCGGCGACCGCCTGGCGCTGAGCTCCCTGTCGCTGCCCACGGCCCGCGCGCTCCAGGCCAGTCTGCTGACCATAATCGAAGGCATGAGCGGCCTCTCGTTCGCCGCCGAGCGCCAGGCGAAGATCAAGGCCGGCGAGGCCAACAGTAAGTCCACCAATAGTAAGCGAAGCGGCTCGCGCCGGGCCTCCAAGCACGCGCTGGCCGACTCCCAGGCCGAGGCGGTGACAAGAACGAAAGCGAGGGCGACTGCGACGGAGAACGAAGGCGGCGACGATGACGCAGCGCGGCACGAGGCTCTGGCGCAGACGAAGGAGCAGTGGGAGGCAGTGATGCGGGACTCGCGCTGGCTGCGCGCCGTCAAGGACTACATCGAGGGCGCTCTCAAGGTGACCCACCTCGTCGCCATGGGCGAGTCGGTCATGGTCCAGAACGACGAGGGCAAGGACGCCGTCACCGTGGTGGTCTCCCTAGCGCAGGTACGTCGCCCCGCATTAGGGTTCCGCGAAAAAATGCTATGTAGTGGGTTGATTGCATTGTAACGTTGCATCGCACACAGGTCATGCTCGACCCCTTCTACCGCACCTTGCGCGGATTCGCCGTGCTCGTCGAGAAAGAGTGGAACTCCTTCGGTACAGAGCACCAGCCATTGCCATTGCCATGTAACGCGTTGGTTATAATCTTCCTTTATTTATGATTGGGCCAAACGACCTGCAGGACACCAGTGGGGCCAGTCCAATCCCAAGAAGTTCAAGAAGCGGAGCCTGTCGCCCGTCTTTCTGCTCTTCATCGACTGCGTCCACCAGATGTGGTCTCAGTACCCGCACCAGTTCGAGTTCAACGAGGCCTTCCTCATCTTCGTCATGGTACACCTCCCCCGTCTTCTTCTTCGTCTTCTTCGCGAGCCATCGCACGGAAATCACAACACGACCGCACACGCACCGCACGACTCAGACGACACGACACGACACGCACAGGACTCGGTATATTCGCACCAGTTCGGCAACTTCCTAGCGGACAACGAGCGGGCGCGGGTGCAGCTCAAGATCGAGAGGGAGACCAACTCCCTATGGAGCTTCATCGGCGGATTCAAGAAGCCAACCACGGGCACCGAGAACGGCAGCGCCGCCAAGTCACCATCGTCGTCGTCGAGCGGGAGCAGTATGGCCGAGCTCTGCACCGCCAGCAACAAGGCCCTCTTTCTCAACCCGCTCCTCCTCCATGCCGGCTCGACGACCACCACCACTACCGGGCGCCAGCCGCTGGTGCCCCACGTCAAGCGGGTTAAGTGGTGGGGCGCCTACTTCCTTCGGTGGAAGTGCAACGCCAACCTCAAGGGCGCCATTCGGCGGATCTACCGGGAGAAGACGCGCGAAGACGACCGGCAGGAGGAGGACGAGGACGAGCAGGTGCTGGACCTCCGCGGGCAGGGCCTCCACATCATCCCGCCCGAGATGGGCGCCCTCCGGCGCGTCACGGACCTGGACCTGCGCGGCAACCTGATCGCGTCGTTCAACCTGGCCGCCCTGCCGCCCTACACCCGCACCCTGCGCCTGGCCGACAACCCGCTGCGCTTCGTGCCCCGCCAGCTCCTGCTCGCCATCGTCGGCCTCCGCGAGCTCGACACGCTCGACCTCAGCCGCTGCCGGCTCCGCGCCTTTCCCTCGCTCCTCCACGCCGCTGTCGACGACGAGCCCGCGACGGCGACGCAGGTGCTGCTGGGCCACGTGAAGGAGCTCAACCTGCGGGGCAACTGCCTCAGCTCGCTGCCCAACTCGTTCCGGCTGCTCACCAACCTGGAGAAGCTCGACCTGGCCTACAACCGCTTCGGCGTCGCTACTGCCGCGCCGGCGTCCCAGCTCCCGCCGGAGCCGTCCAAGTCATCGTCGAGCCTCTCGCGGCGCAGCAGCAGCAGCGGCAGCGTGCGCACCGCCGCGGCCGTGAAGAAGGCCGCCGCGGCCGGGCTCGACGCCGGCAAGGAGGCCAATAGCAGCAGCGCGCGGCCGGCCTCCCCCGGCGTCAACACGGCCGCGCTGGCCGCCATGCACCTGTCCGGGTCGGCAGTGCCGCTGCGGTCGCGCACGCCCGTGTCGCCGCCGTCTTCGGTCATCATCGTCTCGTCGACGCCGGTCCACACGCAGCACCTGTTCCGCCTGCTGGGCGCCCTGCCCGCCCTCACCTCGCTCTCCCTCGCCGGCAACGGGCTCGTGCACCTCCCGCCCTCGCTCCTCCGCGCGCTCTCGCCGCGCCTGCGCGTGCTCGAGCTGCACGACAATCCGGAGCTCGCGCTCCACCACTCGCTCGCGCGGCTGGAGCGGCTCGAGGTGCTCTCCCTGAGCAACTGCCCCAGCATCAAGCTTCTGCCCGGCGAGCTGTTCCACACGCGGATGGGCAACACCCTCACCCGCCTCCACGCACGCAACTGCGGGCTCGGCAACCAGCCCGCCGGCGAGGAGGCCGCGCTCCTCAAACGGATCGAGCAGTGGAAGAAGGCCAACTACGGGGCCGAGGCCGACGATACCGACGCCGCCACCGACGCCGCGGCCTCGCCGCCGCCGGTGGCCGCCGAGGGCGAGAAGCTGTTCCAGTACTGGCACACGGCGCGATTGGCCGACAACCTGCGCCTGCTGGACCTGGCCGACAACGGCCTCTCCGTCGCGCCCTCCGCGATCTTCGCCTGGCGTCGCATCGAGGTCCTCCACCTGGAGGTACCGCGCCCCTTTCCCCGTTTCGATCACCGACGGGAAAACATGCCAAACTCACCAACGCATGGTCACCACACGACCACACTCACTCGCGCGCACACAGGGCAATGCGATAGCGCACCTCTCGCCGGACATCAAGAACCTGGAGGATTCCCTGCGCGCGCTCCATCTGCAGAACAACTGCCTGCAGCACCTGCCCGTGCAAATCGGCTCCCTGCGCAAGCTCGAGCTCCTGGACCTCAGGTACGTACAACTCGTATATGTTGCCTATGTTGATTCTATGTTAAGCATATTTGTGAAACCGCAGTGGGAACCAGCTGCAGTCGTTGCCGTTGCAGCTGAGCATCCTGCCCGCACTCAAGAAGTTCACCCTCTTCACCAACGAGAAGGACATTCCCAGTACGCTGCCGACAACCACACGCTCGGCCACCACCGCACAAACTTCGCTCTTCGCCAATACCAAGGCTAACGTGTAACGCGTATTGTTGCGGACAGGTCGGCAGGCCAAGGGCGAGAACCCGCTGCCGGAGCTGCCGCGCGATGTCGTGGCACTGGGGAGCAAGAACGTGCTCACATTCCTCGGCCAGCTCATGCGCGGCTCGAAGCCGTGCCACCGCATCAAGACCATGTTCCTCGGCCAGGAGAACGTCGGGTACGGACCCCATCACATTCCTCACACCAATGGTTGCTCCTCCTCCAGAGTATGTTGTTGTCTGTTTTCTTATTTCTCACATGGACATTCCGCGCGTGTCGCGTGTGTGTATGTGTGTGTGTATCCAGGAAAACGAGTCTGCTGCGCTGTCTGCAGATGCCCCAGGGCAAGTCATCCGGCGGCAGCGGCAAAGGCAACAAGAACGCGCGGAAGGACCAGCGCTTCGCCGTGGCGCCTCCTGGTATGGCCCCATCTCGCGAGCTGCGGACCTGTTTGTTTGCCTACCAACTAAATACCACTCTCCGTTCTGTGGTTGGTTGGGTTGGTTGGGTTGGTTGGGTTGGTTGGGTTGGTTGGTTGGTTGGTTGGTTGGTTGGTTGGTTGGTTGGTTGGCAGCAGCAGCAGCAGCAGCAGCAACGTTGCTTTCCACGGACGGCATCCAGATCACGGACTTTACGATGAAGATCCCCCTGGCCGAGGACAAGGTCGAGGACGTCACTCTGTCGGCGTGGGACTTTGCAGGTACTACTCGCTACCTCCCTTCCCAGCCACCCACTCGTTCACACATCCCACCTTGTCGTGGCGTCGGCACGTTACGCGTACCAACCGCCCTCTGATTTTCGTGTTTCACTGTAACTGTGGACCAACAGGGCAAAAGCTGTACTACACGTCCCACTCGTTCTTCCTGTCGGAGCGGTCGTTGTACTTTGTGGTGTTCAACCTCGCCTCCCCGCAGCAGTCCAACGTGGAATTTTGGTATGCGCACCACGCCCACAACTCATTCCTCGCCCATCGCCTTAATGTTGTTCATGATTGGCTTGTGATACACAACCAGGCTACAATCCATCCACTCCGCCGCGAAAGATTCGCCCATCATCGTGGTCGGTACCCACGCCGACGACCCGCAGTGTACAGAGCCTTATCTCAAGGTACGGACCACTACTACGGCATTCCTTAGCCAGGCCTATTACCATGCAGCCGAGTTTCTAAATTAATCCCTTTTTTTCCTATTCGCCAGGCGATCCTGAAGTGGTTCGACGACAAGTTCCGCCCGCGGTTCCCCAACATCCAGGCCGTCCGGTTCGTGTCGTCGCTCGACGGACGGAACCTGGACGACCTGCGGAGCGACATCTGCACCCTCATCCGCCAGCAGAAGTTCATGGGCGAGAACCTCCCCTCCAACTACCTCGAGTTCGAGAAGGCCCTCCTCGAACGAGGACGCCTCGTACGTCGCGCGACCTCCCTGTCCCTCACTCATTTCGCGCGTGTGTCGTGTCGTGTCGTGTTGTGCCGTGTGTCATGTGTCGTGTCGTGGTCTCACTCTGTTCGGCATTGTGGCTGCAGTATGTCAACGACTCGCAGAGCCTGCCCACGGTGACGTGGGCCGAGTACCGGCAGATGGCCAAGCTGTTCCTCATCGAGAACAAGGAGGACCTCAAGAACGTGACCACGCTCCTCCACAACCTGGGCTCCATCATCCACTTCTCTCACAACCGCAAGGTACTGGACGCCTGCCCTCCCCCCCGCGCGCGCGCGTAGTCACGTGATCCCGGCTTGATGGGTGGTAGGCTGACTGTCGTGAACGAATGCTTGGAATTCCGTGTGCACAACAGTTGCGCGGGGTCGTGGTGTTGAACCCGTCGTGGCTGATCGATCTGCTGGCGACGATCATGACGACGCGCCACAACTACACCAAGGACGGCATACTCAAGAAGTCGTCCCTGCCCCACATCTGGAAGCCGCCCCGGTTCCCGGAGCAGATGTACCCGTTCATGATCTCCCTCCTCGACTCGTTCGAGGTCTCCTTCGACATCAGCGACAAGGTGAGCCACGACGCCGCCGAGTCTCCGGAAGAGCTCCGCGAGGCCGCTGACTCCCTCCGCCTCATCCCGTCCCTCCTCCCCGAGGACCCGCCTCCCGAACTCAGCACCCTCTGGCCCGTCGAGCGCCACAGAGAAGGTGGTGCCCTCCCACTCCCTTTTAGAACGTTCTTCTTTCACTTCATTCTTCGTTCTTCTTCGCTGTTTCCTTGCCTTGCTGACCTGCTGTCGCGTGTGCGTTGGTTGGTTGTGTCTCAATAACGCACCAGATGGCCGGGCTGTGGAGTCGCAGTTCGGGCGCGTGTATCGGTTCAAGTACCTGCCCATGGGCTTCTTCGGGCGCCTCATGATGCGCCTGCTGAGCTTCCCGCTCAAGGCCAAGACCTACTGGTACCAGCTGACCCGAGTTGGCTCGACGGGCTAATCAGTGGGTCCTGTGTGTGGCTGACCACTATTGTTTGTGGGCTCGATCAGGCGGAACGGCATGCTGGCGAGCATGGGCAGGGAGAAGCTCCTCATCCGGTTCGACCCCGACAAACAGAACCTCAACATTCTTGTCCGAACCGAACTCGAGGGTACCCACTCCCCCTTCCCCCATCTGCTTACAATATCCCCTTGCAGCAACTTTTTATAAACTCCCATTTTATCTTTTCTCTTGCCTTCTTTCTTTCTGCTCCCTTGTGCGCAGGCGCCGATCTTCGCACCCTCTCGTGGCTCGTGTTCACGGCGGTGGACAGCCTCGTCTACGACTGGTACGAACTCAACGCGGCCGTCTTCATTCCCTGCACACACTGCCTCGACTCCGAACGCAGCCGGTACCGCACCGTCCGCCTCCCCACCCTCCATTTCGTCTGATACTCACGTGCGTGTGTCGTGTCGTGTCGTGTCGTTGGTCGTGTCGTGTCGTGTCGTGTGTTTGTGTTCGCGTTCGCGAATCGAGCAGGGACCTGCCATATCTGTTCTCGCTGGAGGAGTGCCAGGTGATGGCCTCCACGGCGGGCCGTTCGTTCATCATGTGCTACTCGGGCGGGATCAACCCCGTGCGGCTCGACACCATCGTGCCGGACATCGCCATGGTGCACCTGGAGGACCACCGCGTGGAGCACTCCGAGCTCGTGCAGGAGGAGGAGATCGGGCAGGGTGGCTATGCCACCGTGTACAAGGGCCGGCTCAAGGACCAGACCGTGGCCATCAAGGTCCTCAACTTCCAGCTGGCCTCCGACGACGATTTCCTCTCGTACGCGCGCATCACCGCAGGACACACACACACACACACACACACGCACACCGGCTATCTCACCGGTCGTTTCACTGCAGGGAGCGCGAGAAGCAGGACACCTTCCGCAAGACCTTCGAGGAGTTCCGGCACGAGGTCTGGATCATGAGGTACCACCAATCCATTTACCCACAAACAAAGCGTTACACGTCGACGTTTAAAACGATACAAAAAAACCCTAACGTGCAACCGCCCACCCACCCCCATATCAACGTGCATTGCAACCCGGCCAGCGGCTTGCAACATCCGAACATCGTGCCGCTGAAGGGATTCTGCACGGAGCCCTGCACGATCATCACCGAGTACATCGAGAACGGGTCCCTCTACGACTTCCTGCTGCGCGAGGGCAAGCACAAGGGCTCCACCGTGCCCTACACGTGGCCCCTCCGGCTCAAGATCGCCAAGGACATCGCCAAGGGATGCGCCTTCCTCCACAGCGCCTCGCCGCCCGTCATCCACCGCGACTTGAAGTCGCCCAACATTCTTCTGTGCGATCTCAGCGATGGCGCGGGCGTGCTGGCCAAGGTGTGCGACTTCGGCCTCGCGTCGTCGCTCAGCGAGAACGCCGGCCGCAAGGTGGCTTGCCCCTGTACGTCTCTTGTCCCTCTCTTTTCCTCTTTTCCGCGCGTGTCTCCTTTGCTTTTTCTTCTCTCGCGGCCGACGCTGACCGGAGCCTGGCTCGCGGACAGTCTGGCTGGCGCCGGAGGTGATCATGGGCAAGAAGTATTCGGAAAAGGCCGACGTGTACTCGGCGGGGGTGATCATGTGGGAAATAGCCTCCCGCAAGCGCTTCTTCAGCGAGATCGCCTTCCTCAGCCAGGTCGAGGACCGGGTCATCGCCGGCGAGCGGCCCGACATCCCCCAGGTCCGCCAACCCTCGCATACTTCTCTTGCATCTCTCTCTCTCTCTCTTTCCACAATGATGAACTCACACGACACGACCAACGCAACGACACGACACGTAGGAGTGCCTGGACGAGGTGCCCGAGTTTGCGGATGTGATCCGGGACTGTTGGCAGAACGAGCCGTCGGCGCGGCCGTCGTTCGAGCAGGTGGTGGAGCGGATCAGCGGCATCATCGCCAAGTACTTCCCGCAGGTGGTCGACTACGACACGGCGGCGATCCGGGCCTACAAGGAGGCCCAGAACGAGCGCAACGCCATGGACCGCGCGCGGATGGAGGAGCGCGAGGCCAAGGAGCGGCACCGCAAGGAGGAGGGCGACAAGCAGCTCAAGCAGTCCATCCAGCAGTCGCTCGGCGACCAACCGCAGCCGCCACAACAACAACCGAAGAAGAAGACGAAAAAGACGAAGAAGAAGCGGAATGCGAAGAACGCCTCTACCGACGACACGACGACGTGGACCGCGACCGAAGACGACGACGACGACGACGACGACGAAGAAGAAGACACGTCGGGCGAGGGGACCGAGGGCACGGACGGCACAGACGCCACGGACGCCACGCTCGCCGGCGACGACGACGATGTGGAAGAGGAGGAAGAAGAGCGCAAGGGCTCGGGCATCCTGGCCGAGTGGGAGAAGCGGGGCAAGGGCAAGCAGGAGAACCTCAGCAAGCTCATGGAGGTCTTCGTCAGCCGACGCGCCAACAACGCCGGCGGCGCCGGCGGCGATGGTGGGGGCAACGGGTCCGCGCGGCGCCCGTTCCCGCGGCCGCTGCACTCGTCCGTCTCGCTCTCCATGCTGCCGGTCCCGGCCAAGCGCTCGGCCTTCACCAGCAGCGGCCCCGAGGCCGACGCCGCCGCACTCGCGTCGTCGCCGACCCTCCGGTCGTCCAAGCACTTGCACGCACCGGCAGCAGCGACCACCGCCGGCCTGGTCGCGGGCCTGATCTCGCCGCGCGCCCCGCTGCTCGGTAAGTCGCACACGGTGCACATGCTCGCCGTGGAGGAGCTCTGCAGCTCGTCGGACTCCTCCGACAGCGGCAGCGACGACGATGGTGATGAGGACGACGATCCGCAGCTCCAGCACGAGGAGGAGCCCGACGAGGAGTGGGAGCGAAGCAGGAGCGCCAGCGAGACCTCACCCCGCGACTGGTAGGGCACTACACACTACACAATAATTATTTTATTTTATTTTATTGCACTCTCCAATGGAAAGGGAGGCGACCCGCAGAAGGGCCGTCTGCGGAACGTCGTCACAGATTGGCAGATTGTGTGTTTAACACTGTTCTTGAGAAATTTCGGGGCCAATGCCGGCACTGCCCGCCTGTGGACCCGCCAACCCTCTTCTGGCGCTCTGCAGCCCCCTCCCCTCCACCTCTCGCTCCGACCGGTGACGCGTGGAAGAACGAAACGAAGAACACACAACAGAGAGCACACTACACACACACACACACCGCACTTACCCTTATACTTTATTTTTTTGTTGGAGGTTGTGGGGTGGTTGGTGGTGGTGGTGGTGTGGGTGGTGTGAGAGAGAGCGAGAGACCATCCGAAACCAAGCAACCACACCAACACACTACGCAGCGATTCCAACAACGCTCTACTACACTACTCGCATACCACACCCTACACAGCAGCGATGAGCTTGCTCAAGTCATTTTCGAAGAGGAAGCTGCTGGCGGAGAAGGCCCTCCCCGCCGACCGCTCCAAGTCTTCATCATCGCTAAAGGAGGAGCGGCACAAGGAGCCCTCACCCTCATCGTCGTCAGCTTCATCTTCATCTTCAGCGCGCAGGCCGCCACTGAAGAAGAGCAGCAGCGTCGGAAAGGAGATGAAGGTGGCCTGTCTCAAGCGCGAGGTCAAGCTCCTCGACCACGCGCCCGAGCCCTCGTCGGGCGACTTTGGCGTCGACGCCGACCCCACGGTGAACGGCAAGGTGCGCGGCGAGTTCGAGCTGAGCCTGCAGGCCAGCGGCGAAGAGGCCCAGCACCTCGAACAGTTCTTTGCCGGCGTCGACGCCCTGAAGGAGGCCATGCGGCGGGTCAAGGCCACCAACCGCCGGCTGCGGGACCTGCACGAGCAGGCCTTTGACGTCGAGTCGCCGCCCACGTCGGCCAACGAGGCCCACGAGCTGCGCGAGGCCTTCGCCCGGCTGGTGGCCAAGAACGAGGCCCAGTTCGAAGATGTGCGCGAGCGCACTCTCGACCTCAAAGACGTGCCGCTCGAGAGCGACTCGTTCCGGCGGCTCAAGCACAACATCCTGAACGGGACCAACATGAAGTCGGCCCAGCTGCTGCTCGACTTCAAGAGCGTGCTCAAGGACCACAACCAGCGACTCAAGGAGGAGACCTGGCGCCAGCTCAAGGAGCAGCGCCTCGACCCCCAGGGCAACGCGCTGGAGAACGACGAAGACGACGACGACGACGACGACTTCCACGACGCCCGCGCCTTCGACCCCAACACCGAGCAGGTCGGCGACTTCATGCAGAAGTTCGTCTTCCGGTGCGTGCCCGATCTACCCAGATGATCGTGTGCGGTTGTGTGTGTCGTGTCGTGTGTGTCGTGCGATTGTGTGCTCACGCGCCAGTTGTTGTTGTTGGCGTGTGCAGAGAGAAGGCGTCGAGCGCGAAGAAGTATTTGGAGGAGAAGCAGCGGGACCTGGAGGTGATAGAGAAGAACATGATGGAGCTCAACGAGCTCATGAAGGACTTTGCGGTGATGGTGGAGAGCGCCAACGAGCCCCTCGACCAGATCGACACCTACCTACGCGGCACCAAGGTACCTGTCATTTCCAGGCTCACCTTTCATCACCCCAACTGCAACCCAACCGACCGGATGGTGATGATGATGATCGTGATCTGATGGGCACACCACACGCAGGCCAACATGGTGATGGTGGAGGAGAACCTGCGCCAGGCCAAGTACAAGGTGATGGGCATGCGCAAGAAGAAGCTCTTCACGGCCCTCGGTGTGGCGGTCGTCGTGATTGTCGTGGTGGCCGTCGTCGTTGGTCTGGTCTGCCTGCTCTAAGTCCCTTGCCTTTGGCTACACGCACGTGTACATACTTTTCTATCGAGAAGGAGCTCGACGAGATTCGAACCCTGATATCACAGCTGTGCCTAACCCCATTGGCCAATTTTTTTATTTTGTTGTGCACGAGAATTACAAATCGAATTCCGAAACGAGGCCAGATGAGATTTCGCCGGAGACGCGCCTTAACGACGACCTCCAGATCAGGCAATCCACGTATAAATGGGACCACTCCCACTCATCTTCAACATTCAAACACACGAACACAAGCACCTCAACTCCCTACCCGCACTACACCACCACAACATCAAAATGTCTGCTGAGCCTTCCAAGACCAATGCCTACTCTGAGATCGCCATGGGCGCCGTCAAGGAGAACGTCGGCTGGGCCGTCGGCAACAAGCAGATGGAGGCCGAGGGCCTCGCGCGCAAGGAGAAGGGCAACGCCGAGCTCGAGGCGGCCAAGGCCGAGCAGCGCGCCATCGGCACCAAGGACCAGGTCAAGGGCAACATCAAGGAGGCCGCCGGCAACGTGCTCGGCAACGAGCAGTGGCAGGCCGAGGGCAAGGGCGACCAGCTCAAGGGCGACGCCCGCAAGGCCGCCAACCAGTAGGCCAATGCCCCCGACGACGACGACCGCTTTTAGACGACTCGGGGCTATGGGGCTGAGCATAAGTTGAGCCCCGCACCCACAGCATTTACTGAATATAATCTATCTCTTTACTATACATTCTACTCTACGTCGCATCACTCTTGAGTGTTGTTCGTTTCTTCAACCACCCAGCCGTACACATCCTGAAGAAGGGGAAGAGAGAATGAGAAATCAGCGCCTTCAAAAGAAGAAAAATGTATTGAAGGAAGCTCAGCACCTCAGGTCGGCATCTGCGACAGCACCACACCTCCTGGCACGTGGTGGGGATCGGTGTGGGCCTGCCCGCGTCAATCCACTCTTCTCGGGTGTAATCCGGCACCATCGCCTCCCTGTGCGATGCGATGTCAGTGCGCGCAGCCGGTGCATGATGAAAGTGCAAGGTCACAGCCGACCAAGCACAGTGTGCGTACCATGACTGAGCGCCGCATTCGTCGCACACCATGTCGCCGCAGCCCACGCACTCCCGGAGATGATCGCCTGGTTGGATGGAACGGAAGATGAGCCAGGAGCCAGGTTGCACAGGTTCAGTAGGGGGGGCAAATTGGGGTGGCGTGAGTTGCAGTACTGCAGGCGATCACATGGCATTGAGCGCAGAAGTAGCCGTCCTGGCGCACTGGAAAGTTGAACTTGTGGGTGTCGTCGACATCGCAATCCTGTGGTGGGTGGGTCCAAGGTGTCAGATCAGGACAGTCCCGTCGGCAAATGGTGCAAGGAGTAACGCACCAGCGTTGCGTGCTGCAATGTCGAGTACGGAACGAACGTGTGGATCTTGCCCAGTAAGGACCTGACGCCAGATGCAGATGCACGACGCGAGTTGTTAGTTCTCGCCTGAAGAGATAGATTGAAAAAGCGTTTTGAAAAGCGTACTTGCACGGGAACCAGTGCGTGATGCTCTTGGCAAAGAGCGAAGTCACAAAACGCGCGGCGTGGCGGCGAGGGAGTCTGGCGATGTAGTGCTCCACGAGCGGGCTCAGCTGCAGGATGGTCACTTGGCCGAGGAGCACCATCTGCTCGAGCTTGAGGCGACAGCAATCGAGCAGAGAAGGGACCTTGGTGGGGAACGCCTCCCACCAAGCGTTGCTGGCCAGCGCCCGGGTGCAGCGATAGTCCCACCTCGCCAACTGGTCCAAGGACAGATAGGGGGACCCATAATTTTCGGTCGGAGCACAAGCCCCGCAAAGCTGTGTGTCCTCCTGACCTGCAAGCAGTAGGTTTAGCGTGAGCCAAGAAAGACACATGAGCGAAAGACAAACATGAAGAGAAAGAGATGAACGAACCCCGCGGGTGCGGGCGGCACAAAAAGCCGATCCCGCACCGGTAACAAAATCCTCTAACTTGCGAACTTGTTGCCATCTTGTTTGCCGTGTGGTGGCCACGGCCGGTTTTGTTCTTTAGCTTCGTTTCTTGGAATTTTTTTAATGTGTTTATTTGCGTGTGTTGACTGGTCAAAATCTGAGCAAGTCCGGGGGTGTAGCTCACATGGTAGAGCGCTCCGTTCGCATCGGAGAGGCAGCGGGATCGATACCCGTCACCTCCAGACATTCTTTTCTTCAGTTTCCCGACAGCTTAGCTCGTGGCGGTGTGGCTTGGCGTACTAGTAGGGATTGCGTTGTTGAGGGGTGAGGAGCTTTTCTTTCGGTCACATCTTGTTTGTTGTGTGGATGAACAAATAAATAGGTGGGGAGGAGATCAAAGACAAAAAGTGCTCCGCTGGGCGGTCCGCGGCGGAGGTGTCGGAAAGCCGATGGTGACGATCTCTTGCCGGCGTGGGTGTGTGAACGATAGTGGTGGGCTACACGTGTTGTAGGTCTCTCTACTTGTTGCGTGCCGCCTCCTCGTCCATCTTGGCCTTGAGGTGCTTCTTGTAGGCTCGGATGGAGCCCTTCCACGGGGACACGGTCTGGTTCTCGCAGATCCAGATCTCCTTGGCCACCTGCTCGATGAGCCGGAAGTCGTGGGAGACGAGGACCATGCCGCCGTCCCAGTTGTTGATGGCCTCGGCGAGAGAGTCGATGGTCTCGATGTCCAAGTGGTTGGTGGGCTCGTCGAGGAGCAGGAGGTGGGGCTCCTGCCAGGCCAGCCAGGCGAACACGACGCGGCTCTTGAGGCCGTCGGAGAGGACCCGCATGGGGGTGATCTGGGTCTTGCCGGTGAGGCCGAACTTGCCCATGGCGGCGCGCATCTTCTCGACCTCCTTGTTCTCAGGGAAGCACTTCATGAGGTACTCGAGCGGGGTGAGGTTGCCGTCGAGCTGGTCCATGAGGTGCTGCTTGTACTTGCCGATTCGGAGCTTGAGGTGTCGCTTGACCATGCCGTCGGTCGGGTTGAGGCTGCCCTCCATGAGGTTGAGCAGCGTCGACTTGCCCGCACCGTTGGGACCCACGAGGGCCACGCGCGAGTCGAGGTCCACGCCAAAGTCGAGGCGGCGGTAGAGGAAGTTGCCCTTCTTGGCGCCGGCCGGCAGGTTGTAGCCGAAGCTCACCTCGACGAACTGCAGCACGGGCGGGGGCAGGGTGCCCACGTCGGTGAACTCCAGCCGGAGCACCTTGTCCGTCGTCACGCGCTCGGTGAGGCCGGCGTCCTGCATCTTGTCGAGCACCTTCTGGCGCGACTTGGCCTGCGCGGCGAGCTTGGCCGAACCGTGACCGAATCGGGCGATGTAGTCCTTGATGTGCGCCACCTGGGCCTGCTCCCACTCGTACTTCTTCATTTGGTTGGTCTCCTTCTCCTGGCGCGATCGCACGTACGTGTCGTAGTTGCCACCGTAGTACGTCAGCTCCTGGTCCTTCAGCAGCATGATGTTGGTGCACACGCCGTTCAAGAAATCTGCGTGTGAAACAAGGCAGACGCGTAAGTTGCAATTCTCACACAGCTGTGTGCGTGCGCGTGTGCGCGTGTACCTTGACTGTGGCTGACGAGCACGAGGATGGTAGGGTAGGTCTTGAGGTACTCCTCGAGCCACACGCAGGCCTCGAGGTCGAGATGGTTGGTGGGCTCATCGAGGAGAAGCATGGTGGGCTTGACGAAGAGGGCCTTGGCGAGGGCGATACGCATACGCCAACCACCGCTGAACTCGCGCGCCTTCTTCCTCTGCATCTCCGACGTGAAGCCGAGACCGAAGAGCAGCTTGCTGGCCTCAGCCGTCGCAACGTCCAAGTCGAGAGCCTCGAGACGTTCGTAGATCTGGGTGAGAGTGTCGCTCTCGGCGCCGTCATCCGACATGCAGAGTTCTGACAGAAAGAAGAAAACGAAAAATCCGCGATGAGATTAAATCTCAGAGACAGGTGGGGGACAGAACAGAAGATGGGAACAATTCGTCATACCTTCGGCTTCTGTCTCTAGCCTCTCCCTGGTGGCTTCGAGATCCTCAATGACGCATTCGAGGGCGGTCATGTCGCTGGCGCGCTGCTCGCGATCGACCAACAGAATGTCGATGTGCTTAGGGATGGGAACCTCGCGCGCGGCGAGGCACTTGAGGAACGTGCTCTTGCCCGTTCCATTCAGACCGATGAGACCGTAACGACGGCCCATGTTGAGCTCGAGCTTCGCATCGACGAGGAGCTCGTTACCTGCGAGATTGAGCGAGAACTGCTCGATCTTGATATCAGTCGCCAGAGGGAGCGACGCGAGCACACCCGTGGCAGTACGGGCGGCAGCCTCGAGCTCCTTCTGCTCCTCCTCGGTGAGGGGGACGGTGGCCTCGGGAGCGGAATCTCCCTTCTTGGTGACCTTCCTGTGTCCTTTGTTTCCGCGCTTCGGCATGTTGTCGGAGATAAGATGAGATTCGAGTAGAACGAATGAGCGGAGCGATTAAAGAGGGCTGATGATGCAAGAGGAGATGGAATGAAGAAACGATCAGAAGGCGATCGGATCGAGATGGATGGATGAGATGAGGTCGAGAGAAAGACAAAGATAGGAGAATTGGCCCACGCCAAGGCTCTTGTAGGCCGGACTTTGATTTTTCCCTCCTTTTTGCACGTGCGAGAAAAAACAAACCCTGGAAAAAGCAAAGAAGATAAGGGAAAACAAAGAAATTGCAAAAGAAATACAAAACAGACCAGAACTCCGTGAGAGAAATTGAGAACTGTTTGTTTTCTTTGGCTGGAACTGCTGCTGGCGAGAAGAGCAGACTATTGATGTCCACCACCAGGCACGACTACAAGATTACTTTGGTCACCCTTGGCCGGTACGTCCATCTTTCACAATCGATCTCTCCCTTTTGCCCCTTGATGATCTCTGGCTTGCTAATCGATCTCTTTTTCCAGATGGTCGGTGGGCAAGACGTCGTTGGCACGACGTTTCGCGCAGGGCAAGTTTGATGAAAACCAATTTGCCACAGTTGGAGGTTCTTCCACACCAGATCACTTTTTTTTGTAAAAGAGGCTTGTCGTCGCTGACCCCACCGGTGGCTTGGTCGTGCAGCCATGCATCTCCACAAGGTGGTGGACTCCGAAGGTAGCCAGGTGCTCGTCGAAATATGGTACACGTGCGCCCCGACACCACGCCCGCCGGCTCGTAGATCTATTATTTATTTATTTATTTATTTTAGCGAATAATAATTATTTTTATCTCTTTATTTTTTTCTCTCACGATCCTCGTTGGCTGGCTGGCTGGTCGGTTGGTTGGTTGTCGGCACGCGCAGGGACACGGCCGGTCAGGAGCAGTACGACGCCATCACCGACCAGTACTACCGGAGCGCGCAGGGCGTGCTCATCGTCTACGACGCCACCGATCCCGTACACTCGTCCGAATCATCGCGAGCAGGAGCTCTTTTGTCTGGTCTCGTGGGCTGATGGTGGTGGTGGTGATGGTGGTGATGGTGGTGATGTGGTGCAGGACTCGTTCGAGCGGGCCAAGCAGTGGGTGGAGAAGCTGCGGAAGGAGGTGATGGGCCGCCACAACAAGCAAGGCCTCGTCGTGGCCGTCGTGGCCAACAAAGTCGACAAGGTCGACGAACGCAACCGACTCATGCGGGTGCGCAGCCACGGCCCCAACCCCCTGACCATGGCATTCATTGCGTTCGGTTTATTATTTATCATTATTCTTTAATTATTTTTATCAAATAACCACCCACGCCCGTGCTATGCGCAGGCCGGGCAGACGTTCGCGCTGGAGGAGGGCTTCCTGTACTTTGAGACCTCGGCCAAGACGGGCGCCAACGTCGACGTCCTCTTCGAATCTATGGGTACGCAGGCCTCTTCCTTACCCCCCGCGATCCGACGTCGGGTGCGGAAGGACTCACAAGAGCGTGCGTGCACACACACAACACAAACACACACACACACACGCTACAGTGAAAGCGGTGCCGGCGCCGGCGCACATGGGACCGGTGGTGTCCCTCGACGAGTTCGACCGGGAACGGAGCCCTCCCGCCTCCTCGTGCACCTGCTGAACCCCCACCACCACACAAAGGCCCCAAGGCCCAACCAACTCCTCCCCCTCGCCCATCACCATCTCGCGCGTGCTCACACCCGCGGCTGTACATACCAACAAACCCATCACTAGCCATGCGAAGTAGTACTGTGGCGGGATTGGGGTTTTATGTAGTGTGTCGTGTCGTGTCGTGTCGTGTTGTGTTTGGTGCGTGTGTCAGAGATAGGGCGGGAAGTGGTCCCAGGGCGCGTTCCACGGCTGCGGAGGCGGCAGCGTCGCGGCGGCCGGAGGAAGAGGAGCACCGGGGAGTGAGAAGTCGGCTGGCCAGGCCGGGGCGGGCTGGAGCTGGAGCTGGTCGTGGTAGGGGGCGAACGGCGGCAGCGGCTGTGGCGGGGCGCCGCCGATGACTTCGGCGCCCCATTCCATGGCCGGCCGCGGAGGCAGGGCTGGAGGCGGAGAGGGGAGCTGGGAAAGCCGAGGCAGCGGCGGCGGCGCGGAGGTCGATGCCGATGACGACAGAGAGGAGGGCGCGTAGTGGCGGCTGTACCACGACATGAACGAAGACGAAGATGAAGACGACGACGGATGCGGCGATGAGGGCGACGAGGGCACGGGAGGCGGCCACAGGTCGGGCGATCGCAGGCTGTCTCGGACGCCACCGCTGTAGTGCAGCGCGGGAGAAGGCTGGTGGTGGTCGTAGCGGCGGTCGGTCGGCAGAGGCGGCAGCAAAGGAAGCAGGGGCGATTGATCGTAGTAGAGGCCGTCGAGGCGTGGCTTCGGCAAGGGCGAGTGCGGGCCGCCTCGACTGAGCCAGGCATCGGAGCCAAGGCCTGACGACTTAACCTCGCCCACCTGCGTTAACACAACACAACACGAGTTGGTCAGCGGTCTGGTCTGTAGCTGCTGACGCGGCCTGTCGTACGGTGGCCTGATAGTGCGCGAGCTGCTCCTGGCGGCTCTGCCGCTTGCGCCGCTCTTCGCCTTCGTCGCTCTCTCGCCGGCGCGCCTCAGCTGTTGGCTGGCTCTGGAGTGGTGGACTGGCTTTCGCTTTCGCGTTCCCTTTCGCTTTCTCTCTCACAGTGTGCCCCTCGTCGTCTTCGCTCTTTGCGTCATCTTCCTCGTTGGGCGGCTGAGTGGTGGTGCCGCCCCCGATAGCGGGCAACTTCTTCTCCCGCATGAACTGCAGCCCGGCCCCGATGTCGGCCATCACCGACCCCGACGCTGCCGCCGCGGCCGCGGCCGCCGTCAACTCCGACGCGATCGTCGGAGGTCCGGCGCTGTCCTGGTCCTCTTCCGTCGTGTCGTGATTGGCGTCGGCGGCTGTCTCTGCGATTGGCGGCGGCTGCTGTGGATGATGGTGAGGCGAGGCGGCGGCTGTGCCGACGGACTGGGCGAGTCGCTTGCGGTGGAGGCGCTCGTCCTCCCAGACCCACTTGCGCTTGCGCTCCTTGCGCTGGTCCTGCCGCTCCTGCTCCCGCCGCACCAGGTCCCGATAGAGCGCCCGGATGTCCGCCTGCTCCGACGCCGACAGCTGGCCGCCACCGCCGGCCGCCGCCGACGCCGCCGCGGACTCGGAGGCCTCTGTCGACGCAGCTGATGTCGACGACGACGACGACGACGGAAGCGAGGGCGAAGGCGCGACGGACGAGAGGCTGTCGCTGGAGAGGGAGGGCGAGGGCGAGGGCACGAGGGTGATGTTGCTGTTCGATGATGAAGATGACGACGTCGACGATAGCGAAGAAGAAGACGGGAAGGAGAAGGAGGCCGACGTGAAGGAGAACGAAGACGAGGTTGACGTGGACGACGACGACGACGACGACGACGAAGATGACGAGGAGGTGGCCGAGGAGGAAGGCGGTGGGAAGGAGAACGAGGAGAACGAAGCCGAGGCCGAGCTCGAGGGAAGGAGGGAGAAGGAGTTGTGGGCCGTGCGCGAGGAGAAGGACGACGAGGTGGAGCCCGGCGGGGAGAGGAGGAGGAACGAGGAGAACGAAGGCGACGACGACGACGCGCAGGCCGAGGTCGACGAGGCCGTGGTCGCGAGATCCGGGCCGCCCGGAGGCGACCGCTCGAGCAGGCACGAGAGCTGCCGGGCCAGCGTCCGGTTCCACTCGGCCGACGTCGGCGGCTGCGGCTGTTGGCCGTCATCGCCCTCGTCGGGCAGGTGATGCTCGTCTCCAGTGGCGCCGCCGGTGGCAGTGGCGGCGGAGATCGCCAGCGGCGGAGGCGGCGTTACAGCGAGCCCGGAACCGGTGACGGGCAGATCCGTGCCCGCCCCACGCACCAACGATCCACGGCGGCGATGGCTCCGCGTCACCACCACCACCTCGGGGTCGACCGCCGTGCCGCTGGCTGGTGGCGGCGCCGGGCGAGACCTGCCAGCGGCGCTGGTCGAGGCGGAGGTGGTGGTGGAGGTCGTCGAGCGGTAGAGGGAGTAGAGTTCGGAGGCCAGCACGGCCTCGGCCGGGGGCGGCTGCTGCGGCCATCGCTCGCGCCTGAAGTCCCGCACGGGGGAGGGGAGCGCCCGGGTGCTGTAGGCGCTCGCGGCCTGGGTCCGTGGTGGTGGTGGGTACGCGCTCATGGCGAGTGCCGTTGGCGTGACCTGCGGCTGTGCTGGCGCTGGACGGTGGTGGTGCTGCTGCTGAGGGGGGGCTGGGGGGGTGGAGATGGCGGTGGTGGGGACTGTTGCGGGGGAGTTGGCGATGGTCCACGTCACCCGTCGCTACAGGGAGATCCGACACACCACCCACCGTGACATGGACGGGTGGCGCGAAATCGGAGTTGAACTGCGGGTGGTGGTGCGTGTGTAGTGGGGTCTGGCGAGGGTAAAGGGGAAGATGGGGCTGAGCCGTTGAAGCGGTGGAGGTGGTAGAAGGCCAGTTGGGCTGTGGGGGTATTGTGGCCGATGACGGCGACTGCGACGGCAGTGGAGGGCGCAGATGTGGTGGCGGCCAAGGTTGCATGGTGGTGTGTCGAGTGGGGGATGGAAGCGGTGGTAGGTGTATTGACAAGATTGAGAAGATGAAGAGGCTGGTGACACTACGCAACTAGCGTGTCACCACCTGGTGGTTGTGCTGGAAAAAAATGGTAACGAGCGAGGTGGAAAGAAGACAAGCAAGCTGAAGAAGGCAAGCAGCGAGGCAGTTGGGGTTGGTCTTGTTGGCTTGAGAAAGGAGCGGCTTGTCTGGGTCTTGGGAGGTAGGCGAGAGAGGACCCACCGACAGTGTAGAGATAACTCAAAACATATTGGCTCATGGTTGCCTCAGAGCTCCTGGGCAAAGCACTCATGTGCGTGACCTCCGCAGCTCGAGAAGCGCACGAGGAGCAAGCTGGATTGTGAATGGGCCACCGGCTGCCAGAAAGTCCTCATGGCGCCGATGCCAATCGAGAACGACCTGGCCAATATGAGAACTTGTTGGCGTTCTTCACCCCGCTTCAACCGGAGCATCACGCCGAGGACGTCATCTCCGCATATGCAACACTGTCAGCCTGGACGACGGCTAAAAATGTCTGGAGGTGACGGGTATCGATCCCGCTGCCTCTCCGATGCGAACGGAGCGCTCTACCATGTGAGCTACACCCCCGGACTAGCTCAGTTCTCAATTCTGCTCTGACATAATTTCCAAACCGATTTGTTCCCAACGGGCAACTGTTAGCAGTTTCCCATTGTTGTAATTGTGTATGAAAAATGCAGATGGGAGTGTTCGCCAGACCCCACGCCTAACGGACAGTGAAGGCAGCCCGCCCAGGGGGGTCCTCCACCGGCCGACACGTGCAGCATCCGTGAGGACGGCACCGCATCGGAGCGAAGGGGAGGCCATGAAGCGATTTTGTGGTTCGGTCTGTGCCCCTGTCTGAGCCCCCTGCCCGTAGGATACGCGAAGCAGGGCGCAATCCGAGAGCACGCGCTAAACTTGACGTCGTCCGCCCCCAGTGTTTTGTTCCAAAGCCCGGCTTCCGTCATTGTGGGACCCCGCCAAAAGAATTCAAATATTTTTTGTACTCGCCTCTCCTCGTGAAATATAGGGCATCACCGTGAGTGAAAAAATAATCAATTATGAACCTTTTTCCTTGCCACTTGACAATTCCTTCCACTCCACACACGTAGTACTCAGCCAGCTGTGGGTTGGTGTGAACAGTGCAGGTGAGACGAAAAAAATGCTGGGGTTAGGCAGGGCTTTTGCCTTTGACTTTCCAGGGACCGCAAATGGCGTGTGCAGTCCAGTGTTCACTCAACCTTTTTATTTTACCACAATGGAGAATGGAGGCCACGTCATGCACCTCAGCGGTGGCCACTGGATGCCCTTGCTGGGTTATGGGTGAGCCCCATTTTTATTAATAATTATTAATCCTCTACGCCTCGCCTCCTTTATTTATAATATACATAATATTTATTAGATTGGATTATTTATTCATTACTTATGTTTGTGCAGCACGTGGCGCGTGGGGAAGGGGGCGGTGGGGCAGCTGGTCGACTGGGCCATCGCCGAGGAGGGCTACCGGCACATCGACTGCGCGTCCCTCTACAACAACGAACACGACGTCGGGCGCGCCCTCGCACGTCTCCTCCAGAACCAGCCAGCCGCAACGACCGCTGCCCCGCCTCCTCGCACCACGCCACATGGCGGCGATGGTGATGGTGATGGCGTCGGTGATGGCCCCCAAAAGGTGGCGAGGGACGAGCTGTTCATCACCTCCAAGCTCTGGAACACGCACCACCGGCGGGAGCTCGTCTTCCAGGCGTGCCGCAAGAGCCTCCAGGTAATCCACCCCTGCTGTTCAATCCTCACACCATTCAACTCACGCACGGTGGGTGCGTGTCGTGTCGTTGGTGCGTGTTGCGTGTTGCGTGTTGCGTGTGTGGCGTGTGTGGCGTCGATGCAGGATCTGCGGTTGGAATACCTGGATCTGTACCTCATGCACTGGCCGGTGGCGATGGTGCCCAACGCCCGGCCGCCGCTGCGCAAGGGTCGCTTCCTGCGCGACGAATACATCGACACCCAAACCTCCCTCCGCGAGACCTGGCTCGCCATGGAGGTACCTCAGCTGCGTGTCGTCGTCATCGTCGTCAGCCGCGCCGTCGTGATCATCTTGTGTCTTCGTCATCATCGTTGACGTCGGTTGTTCTTATTTGTTGTCTTGTTTCTTGTTTGTTAGTATTGTGAATGATTGATTGAGCGTGGTGTGCAGGAGCTGGTGGCGCGCGGGTGGGTCAAGTCAATCGGCGTGTCCAACTTCACGGTGCGGCAGCTGGAGCACGTGTTGTCGTTTGCGTCGATCCCGCCGGCCGTCAACCAGATCGAGATGCACCCCTACCTCCTCCAACCCGACCTCCTCCACTTCTGCCGCCAACACAACATAGTGGTAGCCCCTCCCCCCCCAATCACCAACCTGGTTCACCGTTAATGGTTGTGTTGGTTGCACGGTGATCATCAGCATTCACGCATTAATGTTGTTCTATCTCCGGATTGGTAAGGTGACGGCCTACTCTCCGCTTGGGCAGGGCAAGGAGCTGTTGGCCGACGAGACGGTGGTGGCGCTGGCGGAGCGAAAGGGGCGGACGCCGGCGCAGGTGGTGCTGCGCTGGGGCCTCGAGCACGGGGCGGTCGTGATCCCGCGCACCGAGCAGCGGGCCCACATGCGCGCCAACGCCGACGTCTTCTCCTTCTCCCTGGCGCCCGCCGAGATGGCCCAGCTCGACGCCCTCCACCGCGACCGACGCTACATCACCGGCTGGGTGCGCGATCAATGGACGTCCTGAAATTCGAAAATAATTATAAAAACAATACTTTAAAATGATACAAAAAGGCATTATGAAACGATCGTTTTAATTATGATATATTCAGTCTTTCTTTTGTTTTTCATGGTTATTGGGTGGTGGATGGCTCGAGAGGGAAGGAGAGGAAGAGGTGGAGGCGAGGAGTGGAGAAGGAGTGGATGGAGAAGAAGAGGGGAGGTAGTTGAGGTGGAGTCGAGCGGCCTTGCCGCGGCGATCGGACTGCCGTTCGTGGCGCTCGCGGGTGAAGAGGTGCGGCGTCTGCCACTTGTGGAGGATCTGGACGAGCTTCACGAATTCGAAGTTCTCCAGCCGGTCGATGGCCCGCAGCAGCTTCTGCCACTTGTACCGCTCCAACTTGTTCACCAGCCCTGGTGGTGCGCATTTTGTCAATAATTACGAACGAAGGCGACAACGAAGCTGATGAGTTGTGTGTGTTGTGTGTTGTATGTTGTGTGGTGTGTGGTGTGTGGTTATGGCACCTTTGCCGTGGGCCTGATGGGCGAGATAATCGGACATGACCTGGGCCACGGCGTCGGGGTGGTCGCGCGTGAAATGCGGGCACACGGGCATCGGCTCGAACAGCGACAACAGCTTCGCGCGCAGACTCTTCGGCTGCTCCATTCCCACTCGTTAATCCGCATACGCACGCACCACCGCACACCGCACACCGCACACCGCACACCGCACACCGCACACCGCACACCGCACACCGCACACCGCACACCGCACACAACGAGAGACGCAATGCGACGGCACGCACGTGGAGGGAGCCATCCTCGATGGCCTGACGGAAGAGCGTGAGGCGGTAGCGGAGGGCGGGAGACAAGACCCGGAGCATCGCGAACTTGGCGCGCTCGCCCGGCCCCTTCGCCTCGGCCACCTACATCAGTGGTCGATGCATCACCATCATCATCAGCCGACGTCAAAACAACACCCACGACGACGATGATGGTGATGGTACCTCGACGGCGATGGTGGCGGCGATGGTCTCGTCGTGGGTCCACGTGGTGTAGTCGAAGGGTCCTCGGTTAAGGAACAGCGAGTTGGCGCCCAACAGCCGCCCCACGCTCGACTCGAGCCCGTAGCGCGTCAAGCGCCCAAACACCTTTCCCATAATCTGCATTTATTTGATTCAAGACTTAACTCAAGATTAAATAACATGAAGATGAACTGACGGCACACGGGAGGGAGAGGTACGGGGGAAGACAGCACGGCCTTGCCGAGGGGACCGAGGAGGGACTTGGAGGCTAACTTGCTGGCGTAGGTGCATCCCACCTTGAGTGAGATCTTGGCCACCACCCACAGCGGCAGCGCCATCCTTTGGTGTAACCTTGTGCAACTAATCAATGCTGCACCTCTTCTGTCTTGCTTTACACGTCGTACGTTGTTAGATATGATTTCGGTTGCACCAACCACTTCGATCTTTTGAGCCGCACACCAACTTTCTTTAACTTCGAGGAAAATCTGAAGAAATGCACAGATTTCGTGAAATGGTTTGTGTTGTTGAGGGCAGGAGTGGTACAAGGAAAGGAAGGAGGAGGATCAGGAGGCGCCCAACTCATTGGATGGAGCTTGGGGGCGGCCCCTTCATGGTGCCTCCTTCCTCTTTTGTGTTGTGCTTGTTGTTGCCCCTTTCTTGAGGCATGTGTATCTTGAGCAAAGGTTATGGCTTCATGTGTAGGTAGAACTGGAATGGTAAATGTTGTATTGAAACAGAGACTGTAAAGGCTGCACACCACAGCCAATGTGAGATCAAAGTCTTGACAATGCATGTGCATGCACACATGCACACACACACACCATGATCTCATTGGCCAATGTATGTTAAATGATGGTGAAGTCATTGACAATATGGGTGGTGTTGGAGCTGGTGATGATGTGGCCAACAATCCATGCCAGATGGCTGTTGAGCACCTCCAGATTGTGAATCCACTCATTGAGGTTGATGTCCAGCTGAATGCCCAGTGGCTTAGTGAGTACCACCACATCACCTTCAGCAGCATCTGTTGTGCAAACAAACAACCAAGACCAAGTTAGTGTGCTGTAGTACATGCATAGCATGTGGACTGCAGGCATGCACTCTCAGGATGAATGAAGTTGCTCTCCTACACTGCAGTCATGGCCACACCACCAATCAATGGCCAGGCATTGATCATGGTCTGGCCTCTGGTCACCTGTGTTCCTGCTTCCTGTGCTGTGTTGCTGAATCCCTTCATCATCTGCATGAGCATGATGTTGTGGTCAGTGGGGTCCATCTCCTTGCAGGCACCCAGGAGTATGAGTATGTTGTTGCAGTGATTGATGCCTATCTTGCCCTACAAGTACAATACAAGATCAGGTGACACACAAGATCAACAAGCAGCAACAAAGGGCAAATGGTGTGTGTGTGTACTTGAATGTAGGGGTCAATAAGAGGGAAGGTGTAGACAACAGATGAGTAAAGATGCAAAGCACATGATGAGTGAAGTGGTGGCAGCACTTGCAGGTGGGGTGAGTGTACAAGAAGGGGTGCACATACCTGCAGTCCATTCCAATAGCTGCATCACCAATTGCTTGTTCCAATGGTTCCAATAGCTGCTCAAATGTGTTAAATCTTCCTTCCATCTTGCCCCCCCCCCACATAGCTGCACAAAGTGCTATTGCACCTTTGCTTGAGATACTTTACACCCTCATCCTTTCATCTTTGTGTAGGATGTAAGGAAGAAATCTGCAGTGAGACCGTAGTGGGCTGGATTAAACCTCTCCACCTGGCCTCCTTGCCCCGCAGGAGGCGAAGGCGCTGCATCGGCACCTCCACTGGTGGCTTCCATCTCCTTTCGCCTTTTTCTTGTTTGCGCGCCAGACTCGCACAGGAATTCAGTTATTGGCCATTTTAAATGTCACTACCACCAACACACTAACACCGACGCTGCCACTCACCACGAGCCGGCGTGGGCAGTGGGTGTAAGCGATCCGCCAAACCATCCCGCACCATCAGTGAGTGGCCAGAGCGAGGCGGAGGGAGTTTGTCGCTCACCTTTTCCTTGGCCGAGCGGCTTGCCATTGGCCAGGGCCCGACGAAAGGCAACGCCAGAAAGCTGACGACGACAAAAAACACGAAGACACAAGCGGAGAACAACAAAAGATTCGACACCACACCACTGGCCACGTCTCCGTCGTTCACTGGCCGCTGACCGAAGAGCCCCCGCCAAGCCCCGTCATATCTAGTGCACTTCTTCCACAGTCGTGCAGCGCCCGGAGGTTGGCCGTTGCTGATAAAGCCACGCCCCCGCACTGGAAGCAAGTTACCAAGCGCACCAAGGTTAGTTATTATTTGTGGTGGCATTATGTGTTATTCGTTTTTGTGTGTTGCTTTCTCGGCCCCGGGGCATCTTTTTTGGTGTATCCACCAAAAAGTCTAGTTATGCTTTGGATGGAGGAGAGAGGGACACTCACCCTCGCTCTCTCCATCGCTCGATGCAGAGTAATACAACAAAAGAGCGAACGCGACAGCGAAAAAGCGAGAGCGACGTTCGACGCGGAAGAACGAAGACAACAAGATGGACGCGACGAACCGAAGAGAGGTCGTGGTGGGCGAATGGACACTGAATATCACCGCGAGCCCTGACGGCGCCGGGCTTCAGGTCGAAGCCCTGCGGCGCACGCCCGAGCTTGATGCCGCGGTAATCCAGGGCAAGGGCGCATCTCCACCCGAAGAAGGCAGAGTGGCGGTCTGTGTGGCGGACGTTGAGGGCCACCTGGAACCGGCGACCGTCATCTTGCCAGCCAATAAGGTACCGCCCTCGCCGCCATTGCCCCAATGGCCGCATCCGGATCAATCCCGCAATTTTTTGCTTTAGCCTTTTTCTTTGTCCGTGTTGGCAAGTAGACCACTAACCCTCGCGTTGTGTAACAGGTGTGGTTTGGGGTCGGTGGGCGGACCAATAATAACAAGCGGCCCGCAAGTTCATCGGTCGGTGACGACATGGACGATGCGACCGCGGTCGGCGGAGAAGAAGATGAAGATGAAGATGATGGCATGTTGCTTCGCTCTGGAATCATGCCGCCGGCTAAGAAGCGGCAGCGCAGCAACAGCACGGCCGAGGCGACCCACCGGCGCCCGGCGAGCGACGATGAGTACGACGATGAAGCCAAGCGCGCGCAGAACGACGACCTCGACAGCGACGAGCACGACGTCCTCGATAGCGAGGGCCACGGCCAGCAGGCGGTGCCCGCCATCGGTTCAACGTTGATGCCGCAGCTGCGGGGAGCGAGTGAACATGTTCGAGTAGAAGGAAAAGATGAAGCGAAGAAGGAGGACAGGGAAGAGGAGATGGAAGGAGAGGTGTGGTGGCAGCCCGCGGGCGAGCACCACCTCGGCTTCGCGGATATGCCGACCGAGATCCAGCTGCGCGTCTTTTCGAGGCTGACGCCGAACGAGGTCATCACGGCCAGCGCCGTCTGTAGGCACTGGCGCGCCCTCTCCCAAGGTACGCCGGCGGCCAAAACAAACAAAAAAAAACCACAAACTTCAAAGGGATGCGCGCTCATCCCCCCTCGTCTTTTTTCGTTCTGATTCGTTCTTCGTTCTTTTAGATACGGGTCTTTGGAGGGACCATGTGAATTCGCTCTACGGCAGCCTGGAGGGTCCGGGGGCCTACTACCGCGACATTTACATTCAGACCGCGTTGGGCATGCGGAAGATACAACAGATATACGCCGCCTCGTTGAGAAAGGCGCAGTTCTGCCTGTCTGTGCGCCGCCTCGCCTTTGCATGTCGATGCGGTGCCGTGCGCTGGGTCGAGGTACCACGGATTGCCCCTCCCCCGCCTCATCCCCTGTTCGTTCTTTGTTCGTCGCTTTGTTTTCGCTTTCTTCGTTCATTTTTTAGGAGTTGAATTGATGCTGACTGAATGTGCTCTGCAGAGCTTGCTCGAGGACCTCACGGCCAGGAATATTAAGCAGCTCCTCAGCGTGGGCCTCCCGCTCGAGAACCTGACGCCCTTCATGATCGCCGTCAAGCACCGCCACAAGGGTGCGTAACTACATTCATTCCCCACATTCCACAAGCCTGCCTCTCTAACTTTTCGCCGCGTGTAGGAGTTGTCAACCTGTTGTTGCCGTACCTGGCCACCGACGATGACGAAGACGATGCCGCTCAGCTTCGCGAGGCGTCGGCGATGGAGGGCGACGGGTCGGACTTCACGATCTACGATCGGTGGAACAACCTGCTCGAGGCCCTCACCATCGCCATCTCCATCCGCGACACCGACACTGCCGTCGTCCTGATTCGCGCGGGCGCCGACGTGGCGGCCACCAACTGCTTCCAACAGGCCATCTACAAGGGCGACAAGGAGATGGTCCGGTTCCTGCTGGCCAACGGCGCCGACAAGGAGGCCCAGCTCTTCCTCAAGGACTACGCCTACGTCACCCCGCTCATCTTCGCCATCGAAATGGAGAACCGCGAGATCGTCCAGGTATATATATATTCCCTTTTACGTTCATTCTACAACACACCGCACACGCACACGCACATGCGGCACGACACACGCTGACACGGCGCCTTCCATCAGATGTTGCTGGACGCCGGAGCCGACCCGAACACGCGCTGCGAGCACATGCCCTACGGCTCGCCGACGCGGGTGAACGTGACGGCGCTCACGGTCGCGGTGGGCCGGTGCAACCTGGAGATGGCGGGCCTGCTGCTGGCCCACCCGGGGCGCCTCGAGCGGGCCAACTGGAAGGAGGCCCTCGAGCTGGCCAAGGAGCAGCTCCTGGACGTGGCCAGCGAGGAGCGCGTCCACCTGATCATGTTCATGCAGGCCGAGATCGAGCGGCGACACGCCAAGTGGGTGACAATGGTGCAGCTGCTCCGCGACTACGCCCACTCGGCCGTCTTCATTGACGACCAGCACGACCAGGACGAAAAGCCCGGCTGCTTCCTCATGTAGCGGCTCGTGCGGTATTTCATTTGTATTTTTTTATTCCAAAATATTAAAAATATTTATATTTATTTTAATACGCGAAGCTACAAGATGAAGGGGCCAACCTGTGGTTGGTGGTGGATGGCGCTGGTGCTGGGGGTGTGGCTGGCCATGGGGTGGGTGGGGCTCGTTGCTGGGGCCGGTGGCGCGGTGTGCCACTGCAACTGCTGCGCCCAGCTCTCTGGCGATTGCACGGACCCCGCCGCCACCGCCTTCGGTACCATCAATCAAACAAAGCAGCATCAGCTCGCCAATTATCTGCATCTTTGATGATTTCCATTTACTTTTTATAATGTCAAATAATCGAACTGTGGATGGCAGCTGTGGGCGACTGTTCGCACTGCACGAAGGAGGCCTGTTGGGACCACTTCCGCAAGTGCAAGGACGCGGTCGTCATTGAGTCATCGTGTCTCGGTACGCCCACGCTCTCATTCTTCCTCGTTGAGCTTCTTATCTTCCTTGGTACTTGGGGAGATGGCCCTGACGTCGTCGTGGGGGGACCCTTGGTGGCGCTGCAGCGGTGAAGCCGGCGCTGACGCTGGTGGTGGTGCTGTCGTTGCTGTGCGGAATCGCCATCCTGCTGATCCTCTCCGTCCTCCGCTACCACACGCCGTTCATCCGACGCCTCTTCCGCGTACGCCTCCCTTCCTATCCCGTGTCATGACCGCCGCACACGCACACGCACACGCACACGCACACGCACACGCACACGCACACGCACACGCACACGCACACGCACACGGCAATGGCGAATGAAGATGCACTAACGAGCTCTGATCTTACAGTTGGAGTAGCTGGGCTAAAGGTCAGGTTGAACAACCTTGTACAGTTGCTGTTCATCTCTGCCGCATAGGCGTGTCTTGCAGAAATAAAGAAAAAGAAGTGGTGGGGTGCTCGAGGTGCTTGGAGCCATGAATGGTTACCCTTACGCATTAATGCGTACAAGGTCCTGGTCCAGCTGACCTTTCTGATGGTCTGAACATGCCACTCATCGTGTGCTTTTTATTGTCATTTATTTATTTTATTAATTAATTAATATTTGTCTTCCATAATCTTATTTCTTCAAACAACAGGGGGCCACACAACTTAAGTTCCCACAAAGTTATGGAGGTGGCGACAGACACGGCGCTGGCGGTAGCGGCGGTGCATGGGGGAGATGTGAATGTGCTTGCTGACCTGCTTGACCAGTGCCGCGTGGCTCCTGACGCTTGCGATGAACTCAACTACCGGTGTGCCCTTTTCCTTGACCACCCTACAGCCTTTGTCCAACCTCACGAGCTGCCAGTTTGTTGCACATAGCAGCTGGTCGAGGGCACGAGGCGGTGGTGGCAGTCCTACTCAAGCACGGGGCGACCGTGGATGTCCGCGATGGAGCTGGCCACACGCCCCTCCACCTCGCCTCCATCGATGACCACCTCGCCTGCACCCAGGCACATAGCCCCCAATTTTTATTTGTGTTTGTTTTTATTATTTTTTTATTATTATTTATAATATGATTGATGGCGTGCGCAGGTGCTGGTGGAGGCTGGTGCGGACATGGGCGTGCGCAGCGAGGAGCGGATGGTGGTGCTCGAGCAGCTGGTGCCCGTGTTTGTGGTGGGCGGCCGCACGCCCCTCCACTACGCCGCCGAACACGGCTCTCTGGATTGTGCCAGGTACCGAATTCTGCCTGACCTCGACCCTTGTTGACGTGTACGGACCACTCGACGCATTCGCGATCTACGCACAGATATCTGGTGAGCGCCGGCGCCGATGTGGAGGCCAAGGACTTTGACGGCTACGCGCCGTTCCACTTGGCCTCTCTCCACCGCCGGGCCGACGTGGCCGACCTCCTCAACCCCGCGCCGCAGCACCCCGTCGTGGTACCGCCCAGCTCGTACCGCTCGGCCTGCTCGCCACCATCCACTCACATGTAGCATCGCCTTTTTTGTGTCGTGTGCCGTGTGTGTCGTGTGTTGTCGGCGGTGATGGTGATGATGATATGGTCACGCGGGCCAGCTGCCATCGTGGGAAGAGTTCGAATGGCGGTGGCACGAGGACTACCGCAAGCGCAGCGTGCGCGCGGCAGAGCAGTACAAGCACATCCTGGACGGGCCGTGCTGCTACCCGTGCCGCTACCTCGAACGATTCCTCGACGATGAGGACCGTCCACCCGGTGGCATCGACCACCACCACCACCATCACCATCACCCCGACCCTCACACCACCCAGGAGCGGCCGCCCCAGTGAGTCTCAAGGCCAAGGAAAGAAAAGCTGCGAGAAGAAGAACAAATAACCGCCTCACTTCCTGGAAGAGGGGTTAGATCCCCACCACGATGGCAGGGTAGCGCGCGACGTGCAAGGGTGAAGCCTTCGTTTGTTGCTGTTGCTGTTGCTGTTTCTGTTGTTGTCGTTGAAGTCCGCTGACGGCATGCGCAAGTGCCCCACCACGACCACGACTACTGCCCTTGGGCTGCGCTTTGCCCGGCGTTCCCCCAGCAGCGGGCTCCTCACCGCCCGCCGGCTCTTCCCCTCGTCCGGCGCCTACCGCTCGCAACTACGACCGGCTGCCGTTGCCGGTACTTCCCCCCCCTCAGCACAATATTCTTGTCATACTATTTATTTATTTTATTTATGTCGTTATTTATATATGTTTATTATATTTATGGCTGCACGTACCTGCGCCCAGGGTGGAGAGGCATGTCCACCACCGGTCATGGACCGGCGGCACCTGACACGAAGGACGAACAGCAGCCGCTCGGCGCCACCACAACTCCGCCGCCAGCCATAGCGCCAGAGGCGGAGGCAGCGCCGGCTGCCGTGGCAGCAGCTCCCAAGTGGCAGACCCTGATGGCCAAGGCCAAGGTGAGGCTCCCCCCACGACCACCTACCTCGACCACACGGCTCAAGGTGGTGGTGGTGGCGATGATGATGATGGTAACGATGGCCATGACGACGTTGTTGGAACGCAGGAACTGGCGCGCGGGATCAAGGACGGCACGGTGGAGCTCTACCGCAACGTCAAGCACACGCGCCGCCTCAGGGCGGTGGTCCGCGAGAGGGGCATCGACGCGCTGACCAGGCGGGAAATACGCCTCATGAACCGGACGCGAGAGGACCTCAAAGCCCTCGTCCCCTTCCTAATCCTCGAGATCGTGTGTGCGTAGACATTCCCCGTGTCTTGTGGTCTGTGTGTGCGCGTGTGCGGTGGTGTGTGTGTGTGCGCGCGCGCGCGCGCGTGCGGTGGTGCGTGTGCGTTTCCTAATGTCATTTGGGAATGTGCGGAATGGGAGCAGTGCCGGAGGCGACCCCGTTCGTGGTGATGCTGTTTCCGGGGATACTGCCGTCCCCCTACCAGCGCCTCATCCCGCAGCAGGTGCGCCGACCGCCCCCAGACTCCTCGGCCTTTGTCGGCCGATGAATCCCACCCCCGCCGCCGCCCCGATCACCATCGGCGGCGTCTCACTCGTGCGCCGCGATTCGCTTCGTGTTCGGCCGCCGGCGGGATGGTGCAGAAGCGGAAGGAGCGGGAGCGGAAGCGCACGGTGGAGGCCCTGGAGCAGATGCGCAGCGAGCTTCACGCGCTCGGCGGCCAACGGCCGATCAACTTCACCGATTCGAGCTTGGATGACCTGGTGGCCTCTCTGCAGCGGGTATGTATCGCCTCTGGCTCGTGTGTGATGTGCATGGTGGCGATTAGAAAGAAAGGTCGCCATCGCATTGTTGATGGCCATAACGATAGCGATGCTATATTGATGTTGATGCTGTTGTGCATCGACGTTTCGCGCGCAAGGACGAATCGGGCCTCCGCGAGAAGCTGGAGGTGGCCAGCCTGCCCGACGGAATGGTCGAGGCCATGACGCGCTACACGTCCGTATGGAGCCGCTTCAGAACGCAAAACGGCCTACGCAGCTCCCTGCAGCGCAAGCTCGACGCTCTGCGCAAAGACGACGAGGTACCGTCGCGTGTGCTCGTGTTTGTTTGTTTGGAAAGCACGACGCTGACACTGGTGCGGATGGCGGCGTCAATGGATGATGATGACGACGACGATATTAGCTGATCGCGAAGGAGGGAGGCATTGACTCGCTTTCCGAGGAGGAGAAGGAGGAGGCCTACTACGAACGCCGCATCGGCCTGGCCGCCACGAGCCCGGCGTCCCCGGCAGCAACGGTGGAGCCGTCATCAGCCGTCGGCCCCACCGACCCAGACAGGGAGCGACACCTGCGCGAGTGGCTCCACCTCTCTGCGGCCATACGGGACTGCCGCGAGCAACACCGGGCCACAGTGCCCGACACGTCCCTTCTTCTCCTGGCCCTCCGGCACTGAAGCCGACGACGTGAGCCCCGAAACCCCTCGTTCCCCCGTCTTTCCTTTCTTGCCCCCCCCCCTTCAGACTTCAGTGCCCGTCGTGTCGGAAGCTTCTCTTTCGTAAGGGACGATTATCGGAGTTTAATTGTGCAAAACGGCGCGACATTCCGCCGGAAGCGAGGTTTCTGTGGCTCGGGAAAAGGGCCAAACGGCGTTGCCTTTGCCAACGACGTCAAAGTTCTGCGAAAATCTGTCGGCCCCAATCGCTGTGCCACGAAACGTCACCCTCCCCCCCCCACGATAAAAGGAGGCCAAGAGAACAGAGGCAACCATTCTTCTCAACCCAACCACCCCTACCAACTACTCGCGCCCACAACTTCTACTTCCTCTAGGCCATGCAGATCTTCGTCAAGACCCTGACCGGCAAGACCATCACCCTCGAGGTCGAGTCGAGCGACACCATCGAGAACGTGAAGCAGAAGATTCAGGACAAGGAGGGTATTCCCCCTGATCAGCAGCGTCTCATCTTCGCTGGCAAGCAGCTCGAGGACGGCCGCACGCTCGCCGACTACAACATCCAGAAGGAGTCGACTCTCCACCTCGTTCTTCGTCTGCGCGGCGGCATGCAGATCTTCGTCAAGACCCTCACCGGCAAGACGATTACTCTCGAGGTCGAGTCCAGCGATACCATCGAGAACGTGAAGCAGAAGATCCAGGACAAGGAGGGTATTCCTCCCGATCAGCAGCGTCTCATCTTCGCTGGCAAGCAGCTCGAGGATGGCCGCACGCTCGCCGACTACAACATCCAGAAGGAGTCGACTCTCCACCTCGTCCTCCGCCTCCGTGGTGGTATGCAGATCTTCGTCAAGACTCTGACCGGCAAGACCATCACCCTCGAGGTCGAGAGCTCGGACACGATCGAAAACGTGAAGCAGAAGATCCAGGACAAGGAGGGCATCCCTCCCGATCAGCAGCGTCTCATCTTCGCCGGCAAGCAGCTCGAGGACGGGCGTACTCTGGCCGACTACAACATCCAGAAGGAGTCGACTCTCCACCTCGTCCTCCGTCTGCGCGGTGGCAACTAAGCGGCCCGCGTCGGTTGTTTCTTACCACCCTGCGAATAAACATGCCTCACCTCACACTCGCTCTCGCGCATCCTTCTTTTCTTTCGGCCCAACGGCTTCGCGGGGGGGGCTGGTTCAAATTCCAAGTGGGCCGCCGGTGTTCCGCATTCCGAGCATTCTATGATCTGGGGGGCTTGGACTTCGTCGTTGCGGCTCTCTGCACAAGACCCCCACACGAGCCGCATTGCATAATTCAAGACAAATTGAGCACACTCTAGATGGTAATCGAACGACTGCGAGCTCGAACAGCATGGAAGAACTAGGCACCACAACGCCAGGCCATGAATTCAGACCAAATGCAAAGCTTGCAACGTCGGCTCCTTCTGATATGAGGATTCGCGTAAAGAGAAAGCTTCAATTTACTTCGTGCTACGAATTCAAGAAGATTTGGGCCGACAACAGCAAGGGCGCTGGCATCACCTTCTTCCGTGTGAAGCCCCCCAAGGGTACTTCTTCCCAATCTTCATTCTCTGCCGAGCTCTTCATCCAAGCCCTTCGCTTCACGCTGCTGATTTTTGCTCTTCCTAAAGAGTTCTGTGCATTGGGGGACTTCGCGGAGCCCCATCACGGCGATCTTCCCAACAATCCTGCGAGCTTCTTCGCCATACGAGAGCGCGTCCGCAAAACTGGTGCACCTTCCAACATCTTATCTCTCTACGCGCCGCTGCAGCACTGCTTGAAGACTCTTCCGCCTCCTTCTCTCTTTATTTACGCTCTTTTCCTCCCTCTCTCCCCCTCACAGAGGAGCCTGCACGCCCCGGCGATCCACCAGAACCCGAGGACTTCCCGCTCCTCGTCAGGCCAAAGGAGTTTGTGGCCATCTCCCAGGATCGAAGTACCCATCGCCGCTGCCTCCGCTCTGCGTGCTATGTGCCGCGTGTGCGTGCTGCAGCCCGTCGTGCGCCCGGCTCAAATCACCTTCTCTTCTTCTCAAGGTCGTGTAATGCTGTGGCGGCCGGTGCCGCCCAGCGACGACTATGCCGCGCTCGGCTGTGTGGCCACCGAGCCTGAGAGCAGCGAAACGCCCGACATTGACTCGGTGCTCTGCGTACACAAGAGGTACCCGTCTCTTCCGCACTGGCTATGGGCCACATCCACGAGTGCACTCGCACCACCTGCAGCGTCTCTCGGTGCTCACCGGTGCTCGTCCAATCACAATCAAAATCGTCCGTAGCGTGCTGGCGAAGAGCAGCAAGGGGTTCCTGCTGTGGGCCGACCAGAAGCAGCGAGAGGGCGGCCGCGATATCTCCGTGTGGGTCGTCGTGCCTCCGCTCAAGGACGCCTTCTTCCACCCCGGTACACACACACACACACACACCACCGCACCCGTGACACGCAACCTGCATGCGCGTCCTTACTCCTGGGTGTTCCCTCTTTGTGCAGCCACGTTCGTTGCGGTGGCCCCACACGAAGAGCCGACAGGGACGCCCTTCTACTACTTCCGCCGTCACTCTGCCATCGAGGTACACCGCCTCTGCCCGAGCGTGCGGTTTGTGCGTGTGCAGAGTTGCGTGCGTTCTGTCTAGTTATTGTTTTTGTTATGTTTACAATCATTTTTTATGCACATCTTTGTATTATTGCCAGGTGTTGGGTGTTTCGCTGGAGGCGTTCAAGGTGAACTACGGGGACCTGACGGAGAAGGTGCGGCATCCCGACACGGGGATTCCGTTCGAGCGCAAGAAGAAATCGCTCAAGGCCCTCAAGGCCTCCTCCACCAAGAAATACTTCAACGGTTCGCCTTCGCCCTTCGCCAGACGACTGACGTCGTGAGGCCTCCTTCTGCTTCTTCGCCCATTGACGCGCGTGTGCCGTGTGCCGTGTGTCGTTGGTCGCGCGCAGGTGCGTCGGCGGTGGACTGGCTGATCAAGGAGTACGGGCTGAAGAGCCGCAAGGAGGGGGTGATGCTGGGCGAGCAGCTGCGGCGCATCGGGGTGCTGACGCGCAAGGACGACGCCGGCCTCTCGTTTGTCGACGACCAGCACGTGCGCTACAGCTTCAACGATTTTGTAGACAGCTCCATCAGCACACCCGCCCTCGCCAGCGCGCCATCGTCGTCATCAACCAACGGCCACGGCGGCACCAACCACCACCGAGCGCTCGCCTTCAGCGACGGCGACGAGGAACTGTCGGCGCCTCCGTCGGGCAGCCTCATCAAGCCCTTCCTGCCCCACCAGGCGGCGCCCAAGCCCAAGCTGTCGCCCGCGGTCAACAATTTTGGGCGGCAGAGCATCGAGGGCCACGCCAAGCGCAAGAGCATGACCATCAACAAGGCCCAGTCGAGCGGCAACTTTGGCGGCTTGGCCATCGTCGTCCCGCCCTCCTCCGCGTCGGCCTCCGTCCCCGCCACGCCCGCCGCCGCGTCGTTTACCACCAGTAGTACCACGACCACGACCACGACCACGCCCTCGGCGTCGGCGTCGGTGTCAGCATCGTTCAACGGGTCGAGCAGCAGCCCGCCGGTGAGCAAGCGCAGCGTGGCAAGCGGGGACCACCACCCGCACCACCACCAACACCTGCACGCCAAGCTGTCCCAGCGCGGCGGCAAGTTCGCGAGCCTCACCAAGAAGGATCGCGAGCGCATGCTGGACCGCGAGCGCTACGACATCCTCAACAACGGCACGGCCGACGACCACCAGAGCGTCGGGGTGGCCGGAGCCACGACGATCGCCGCCAGCGGCAGCGTGGCGGAGGGAAGCAAGAAGGAAAAGAAGGAGGGCCTGATTAAGGGCACGTTTCGCGGGCTGGTCAAGCCCAAGGGGAAGGGCAACGACGACCACCACGACGGCTCGACGACGACAACGACCACCACCACCACAACGCCGAGCGACCACGGCAGGGAGAAGCGGTCCGTGTACCGACTATCCGGCCTCTCCGTGTCCGCAGGTACTGTTTGCTTCCGTCGCTTGTGCCGCACACCGCACACGCACGACCGCACGCACCGCACACGCACAAGGTATTGAATGTGTGTGTTGTGCTGTGGACAACAAAAAACAAACACAGCGGCCGGGCTGCATCATGCGCTGTCGCCGGCGGCGTCGCCCAGTCCCGCGCCCACGATCGCCGTCACGGCCCCGAAGCCTGGGCGGCTGTTCGGGGTGGCCCTCGAGGAGGTGGTGCGACAGCCCGACCTCACGAGCGACGCGTTGGCGCTGCCGCGATTCGTGGAGCACGCGCTGGCGTTCCTCGAGCGCGAGGAGAACATCGTCACGCTGGGCCTGTTCCGCATCGCCGGCAAGAAGCCCGACGCCGACGCCCTCCGCGCGGCCTACGACGAAGGCGGCGCGGGCGTCGATATGGCGGCCACCCACGTGCACCCGCACACGGTGGCGGGCGTGCTCAAGCTCTTCCTCCGCTCCCTGCCCGAGACACTCCTCACCGCCCACGCCTACACCCACTTCCTCGACGCTGCCCAAGGTAAGCTGGCCTCACCGCACACACCACACACGCACCGCACACGCACCGCACACGACACACGCTGACACCTGGTATACAGCGGAGAGTACGGAGGTGGCGGTGGAGCGGCTGAAGGAGCAGCTCGAGCAGCTGCCAGAGATCAACTACGTGCTGCTGGAGCGGCTGGTCCGCTTTTTCGTGCTCCTCACGGCCCACGCCGAAGTCAACAAAATGACCGGTACGCCCCCCCCCACCACACCACCCTCCACCGCCTCCCTACTGTGCGGTGTGTGTCGTGTGTCGTGTGGTCGCACGCGCTGACGTACATCGCACACGCACGAGCAGCGAGTAACGTGGGCGCGTTGATCGGACCCAATCTGGTGCGGCGGGAGGAGACGGATGCGCAAGTGCTGTTCAAGGAGACCAACCTCCTCAACTCGCTCGTGGAGGTCCTCATCACCCACCACCCCGCCCTCTTCCAGCGCGTCTGCGCCCCCAAGGAACCCGCACCCGCGCCCGCTGTCGACGCCGCCAGCCGTGAGAAGGCCAACGCCACCGCCAACGGCGGCGAAGACGGCAGCGGCGGCGAGGAGCGAAGGGAGAGGGAGAGGATGGAGGGGATGGAGGAGTGGGAGGGCAGCGACGACGAGAGCGCGGCGGCGGACGATTTTGCAGGACAGCCCGATGGCGGCGGCGGCGGTAAGAAGAAATGGGGAGGGGCCAAGCTCGCCAAGAAGGCCGACAAGGACAAGGTGGTGCGCACCGATAATCACCGCCAGCGGCTGTCGCTCTCCATCAAGGACGACGTCAGCACCAACAACCCCAGGCCGAAGAAGATGAAGAAGGAAAAGAAAAAGGACAGGGAAAAGAAGGAGAAAAAAGACCAGGCCCCGGACGACGACACGGCCCAGGCCGACGGCGACGGCGAGGGGGCGGGCAGGCGCCGGAGCCTCACGCAGAAGACGACGTCGGCCGAGAGCCGGCGTGTGCCGATGCGGGAGCGGCTGTCGTCCAGCGACCGACTGTCGATCACGGCGCGCCGGTCGGTCCAGCTGTCGTCGCTCGATCTCGGCAGCCTGCGAGGCGCCGGCCACACCTCCTCCGGTGCCGCGGGCGTCGATGGCGGCGGCGTGTCGTGGTCGATCGACGACAGCAGCCGTGGCCCGCCCAACCGGCCCCACTCGACCACCATCGACGGCAAGCGACCCATCGACGCCATACTCGAGCATCTCCAGCCACCACCACCACCAGCCGACGGCGGCGGCGGCGACGACGACGATGGCGAGGCGGAGACGACGGCGGCGGCAGAGGTGGTGAAGGAGACGGCGGATGGGAAGGCGGCGACGATGATCACGCGGTTCGGGCAGGAGGTGGAGCGGGACCTGGTGAAGCTGCGGAAGGGATCGCTGGAGCAGATGGTGGAGGTGGTCAAGGAGAAGGAGGTCATGCGGATCACCAAGCTCGTGCGCGAGCGCGAGGTCGAGGAGGTCAAGAAGATCAGCCGCGTCAAGCACATGAAGGAGGTCAAGGAGCGCGAGATCCAGGACATGGCCGAACGGTACATCACCACCACCACCATCAACACGCAGCTACCTCGACTTTCCATTTCTCACGACACGACGACACGATACGACACGACACGCACAGGGCGGCGTTGGAGCGGGAGTTGAAGCGACGAGAGAGGCGGAAGTCGACGTTGATGGTGCACGAGCTGGTGCACAAGATGCTGGCGACGTGTCCGCCGCCGCCCGAGGTGGCGGTCCACACCGACACGGAGCAGGTGCTGCGGGAGCGGAAGGCCGAGAAGAACCGGGAGTTCTTCGAGAAGAAGATCACCGAGGGCAAGGTGCGGTCCAAGGAGGAGATCGAGGCCGAGGTGCGCCTCGGGCTGGTGCAGGGCGGCGCGGGCAACCGCAAGGCGTCGGCCACCCATCCACCCGCCAAGGACCCCATTGTCGCCGCCAAGCTTGCCCTCTTCGAGGAGGGCCACTCTCAGGACTGACCCCACCATTCACCACGTTCATCCGCATGCGGAGGATGATGACGATCGACTCTTCTGTTTAGGTTGTGTACATAGCTTGTTACAAACACAAACGAACAAAACAAAACTATATGCTCGAAATGATTGAAGAGATTGATTGAATGCGTGAGAGGCTGGGCTGATGGACGTCTTTACTTGACCTCCTTGACCACCTTCCTCCTCTTGGAGAGGGCGGCCTCAGTGGAGGTGGTGCGCGCCTTGCTCGTGCGAGGGCTTCGTCGCACGGGCGGCACAGCCTCCCCGCTCTCCGGCTCATCGACCGTCTTCCTCTTCTTCTTTTCCTCCTTGTCTTGGCCCTCATCGTCACCACCGTCGTCGTTCTTCTTCATCCTCTTGTTCTTCTTCTTTTCTTTTCGCCTTCGGCCTGTTCCTGCGTCGCCCTGCGTGTGCGCGAACGCGAACGCGTCAGTCGGCTCTCCGAGTAGTCCTCGTCGCCGGCCGCCTCGTCTTCGTTGTCTTCGCCGGCCTCCGTGGCCTTCGCCGCTTGGCCGCGCTTCCGCTTGGCCGCCGTCATGGTCGTCGTGGTTGTTCTACGAGTCCGGGTTGTGATGGTGATCTTCTCCTTCTTCTTCTCCTTCTTCACGGGGGCGGGCTTGGGTTGGGCTCGTATCTCGAGCACCCGCTCCTGTGCCCAGTGTGGGACGTTGCGCGTCTTGAACGTTGACATCTTCAGCGACAGCTTCTGACCTGCATGCAACACAACCCCCCAACCCACCATGAGAAATTGTCGCACACAACACGCGACACAGCTGCCTGACCTGCGCACGCAGCGTGCAACACCACGCGCGCGCGCACACACACACACAGGCAGTACCGAGGTAGTACGCGCGGTAGGACTGGTAGACGTGCAGCGGGAATGCCACCTCCGACGCTGCGCACGCGAACCACAGTCAGTCTCGTCAGTGACAGCCCATATTATACGATCGAACGTATGTGGCGTACAGGGAAGGAGTACAGCGGGAGGGAGCCCGACGTACCGGCCACCTCGTCTTCGATCGGTCTCAGCAGGTCCTCGACCCGTTCCTCCTCCTCCTCGCCGGCTGCCTCAGACGAGGTCGTGCTGGTGGTGGTGGTGGTGGTCTCCTCCGACGTTTCGGTCTTGATCAATGCGACGCAGCCGTCGGTCGTCTGGAGTTCAACCTCCACCTTCATTGTCTTCACCTCCTCCACTTCTTCCTCTTCCTCTTCTTCATTTTCTGTCTCTTCCTTCCTCTGCCTCTTCGCCAACTCGGCTTCGGCAATGATCCGCCTGGCTTCGTCATCGCCATCACCGTCGCCGTCGGCCTGGTCATCCTCCTCCGCCTTGATGGTCGCCACCTTCTCCTTCTCCTTGCCCTTGCCGCGCTTCAACAGATTCGTCGCTGCTTCGTCTTCGCCTTCAGCCGCGCTCGATCGTTCATCACCAGCCTCGGCCGCCGCGTCGCCCGATTCCTCCTTGGCCTCGTCTGCCGACCCCTCCGGCGGCGCCACCTTGAACTCGTCCGGCATCGCACACGGCGGAGCCCGCGCGATCCTGAACCGAGCCACCTCGTTCTCCTCCCCTACACATAAGAAAAACTCAGCAAATTCCCCTAACACAAACCTCCAGCCTCATCCCATACAACCAGTCCCCTGTGGTGTAGTTGGCTAGCATTTCCGCCTGTCACGCGGACGACCCGGGTTCAAATCCCGGCGGGGGAGACCACACTTTTTTACCAAAGTTGGTTTGTGGTGGGCGCAGGGAACGGGTACCGTGATCGTCAGGGTGGGTGTAGACGTCGGGGATGGCGGGCTCGTGGCCCTTGAGCCAGTGGAGGTGGGCTTCGCAGGCGTGCTCGCGGCCGTAGCGGTGGCTGTACTCCTCGCACAGCGCCAGTCCATACGCCACTGCGTGCCTGTAGTGCGCTGCACTCTCGCGCAACCTTCGCACATGAAAGCACGCACACACCGCACACGCACACGGATGCACCAGTCAACCGTCTCCCTCATATACGCTTCGCAGCCCCCCCCCCCTCCTACAGCGCATAAGAGCGCGTACCACTTGGAGAGAGGGTTGTTCATGTGGGTGGGGCGATAGCCGCGTTCGCCGGTGCCGGCCATGGGGGCGCGGGTGCGCCAGTCGTCGGCGGCGGGGAGGGCGTGGTGGGCGGCGTAGAGCAGCTGGGCGGCCTCGAGTGGGATCTTGATGATGTGTGCATCGATGTGCTGGCGTGCACACCACGAGTAGTTCAATCCGCGACCACGCACGAAACGTGGCGGGCTCAACCAGAACAGATTCACCATTTCTTACGCGCTTCGTGAGCTGGCAGATCTAATTAGATATTAACAACTGCTCCTGCCCGTGCTGGATGGTCGTGCGTGGCGTGCCGGGGTTCAACAGGAAAAGACAGAGCCACACAGTCACGGGTTTTGAGAATCTTCTTTCAAATGTAGGGGAGTTCGCGATCTACGCCTGGTGGCGTCATCCGCACCAATCTGCTCCGCCCTGCAGAACAAGCAACGAATAAATGATTATTTTATTCATTTTATTTAGCCGACTTATTTATTTTCTGACCCTTTTCCGTAAATCGTTTATTTATCGATCACTTAACATAAGTGTACCCGAAAATAAAAATACAAATATATCGTTTTTATTTTCAGATCGTTCAGCAGCCCGAGAGGCAAGACGGTAGGCGATGAGTGAGTTCTTTGCGTTTCCACGAACGCCCCACATGGCGGGCAGCGCGGTGGTGGACGACGACCAGGTGGTGGACGAGAACGCCCTGCGGTACCTGCTCGCGGACGACGACGGCGAAGACGGGATGGCCATCGTGGTGCAGGAGAAGATGGACGGCACCAACGTGAGCCTCTACTTTGAAGACGAGTGGTGCCCCGTCCTCCAGAAGCGCTCTGGCATCATCACCTCTGGTACCCCCCTGACAAAAATCAATCAATTCAAATCAAGTCAAACGAGCTCTACACGCAGCACACACAACGCGGCTGACGTGTGCGCACACGCGTACCAGGCGAGAAAGCGCAGTACGACGTGTTCCGCGAGTGGGTGTACGAGCGGATGGACGAGCTCTACGCGCTGCTGGGCAAGCGCCAGTACGTCCTGTTCGGCGAGTGGCTCTGGTGCCAGCACGCCGTCCACTACGACCGCCTGCCGTCCTACTTCCTGGGCTTCGACCTCTTCGACATCGCCCAACGGCGCTTCCTCTCCTACGACCGCATGCAGCGCATACTTGATGGGCGCGTTCCCGTCGTGCCCCTCCTGTGGCACTCGGGGCACGCGTCTTCTTCTTCCACGTCTTCTTCCTCCTCCTCCTCTACTTCGTCGTCGGCCCAGAGCAAATTCGAAGAGCTCAAGAAGTGCGTGGGCCAAGAGATGATGAAGAAGCCGTCGGCCCATGGCGGGGAGGTGATGGAGGGCGTCTACGTGCGCGTAGAGCAGGGCGGGTGGGTCAAGGACCGATTCAAGATGCGGCGCAAGACCTTCACGGCCGGTCGCGAGGGCTTCACCACCAACATCAAGAACAACGCCCTCCTCACCGCCGCGACATCATCTTCCTCATCAGCGCCTGCACCAGAGGGCAAGACGAGCAACAAGAAGCCCACGACAGCGGCGGCGAGTGGCAAGGGAAAAGGGCGAGGAGGGAAGAAGTGAGTGTGCTCTTTCTTATTTTTTTATTTATAAATAAGATCTTTACTTGTAGATATGGAAAGACGTTACTTAGAAACGAAAATTGAGGTGCAACTCGACTAAAAAAGGCAAAGTAAATAATTCCCTGGCCGCAGACTGCCATCACATACCACGACAACAACCAAGGAGGCGGCAAGGGTTGTTGAGCGAGCGCGCACAAGAAGATAACCTGGCCCACGGACCGCGATGGCCACAACCGACGCTGACCTGCTCAAGATGATGGACAAGGTACCCGACCAGCTTGCTGCATCTTGGAGCGCACCATCCTTCTCACATTCTTTCTTGCCCAGTTGAGGAAGGAGAACAACCAGCTGAAGTTGGAAAACAGTCAGCTGTTCAAGGAGCTGGACATACTCAACAGAAAAGTGAGGACCAAGTTTGGTACAACTGCACCCACCACACGAAAAAGAACCACAAGGGCCTGACTTGTTTTTGCGTGTGCCAACTTATTATGAATCTACACAGGCAGACCGGAGACGACGCTCCATACACTGATGGAGGCAAACGACGTGGCCTACACCATCAACTCGGAGCTCTCCTACTCCATTCCCCTCTCGTAACATTCCTTTCCCTCGCCTTGCTGCATTCCGAGAGGCTCATCGTGTGCTTGTCGTGTGCGTGCCGTGCCGTGCGTCGCACACAGTGCGTTCATGGACAAGTTCTACAAGATGTACCCCGAGTCGCAGGCGCGGCTCGAGGTCTACGAGAGGCGCGGCAGGCAGTGCTCCTTCGCCGTTCCTCTCGAACGTGGCCACCTCGGCGGACCACACAGAGCAATCACCCGCTCGGGTGGGCGCTACGAGCAATTGATCAGAGGCTGGCTCGGGCAGCTGCCGCCGCCGCCGGCGCTCCTGACTGCCGCTCAGCCCGAGCTCTCGGTTCTCCCCACCACCGTCACCAAACAGTTTGCGAGGTTCGCACTTGCTCTACCCAAGCTCGAGTGCTTGCACTTGGCGATGATGGTACTGACGCGGCGAGGAGCTCCTCGGGGGCGATCGGGGGAGCGTAGGGACCTGCCGTCGTTGATTAGGATCAACGGGAAGGGCGTGCAGGGATCCTCGGACAACGAGAAGGTCGTGACGGCCTACAACATGCTACTTGAGGCCACCAACCACAACGAAATGCTTACACAGAAGTTGATGGAGGTAGCCAACCAGAACCTTGGTATCCTCCTCTACGAGGACCTCGTTAACCACTACTCTGAAGTACTCTCCACTTCCCTTTCTCTTTGTTTGGTCAGGTTGCTGTTGAAGGAAATGCCTAATGATGATGATCGTGTAGAGCGGCTTCTTGGTCAAGCAGACGTGGTACCACTACCTGGACATCACTTTCCCACTACCAAGCAAGCACAAGTTGAATCAACCCTCCGAGGTAAGACAAAGCGAGCCTAAGACGATGTAGAGCAAGACTGCTGCTAATCATTTCTTCACTTTGCGTAGAGCGAGGTGATGATCTACATGCTGGCCATTTTCGAGCTACAGAGCAGCGACTTGGAGAATAACCCGCCCCTCTTCGTCAAGTCCATGCTCGAGCTGGCCTTCGCCCTGAGCGACCACACTCTATCGGGGTCTTCTCCTCCCGCGCCCCCCGGCTTCCTGTCGGTGCCACCCGCGGACGACAAGAACGAGCGAATGGTGAACGCCGTCTTCTCCACGCCCACCTTCAACATCCTGCCCTTCCTCCACTCGGTCGACCTCGATGACGAAGAGCCCGTCGCGAGTCCACCATCCACCTCTCCGTCCTATCTGCCGCTGCCTTCCGAACCCAGCGAGTAGAACATCTCGACACTGGACGAGCTTTGCAGAATTGCGTTGTATTTGTAAGAGAAGGTGGTTGCTCACGTCGTATGTACAGTTGCTATGTAGATGTTGTGTGTTGTCGTCTTCCAGCTCTTCTTGTACGAAGAGGGAAGGCGAAAGAAGAAAAACAAAAATGTGTGTGGATGGAGAAGAGGATGGAGAGAGTTGAGACTTGCTGAAGGCGTTCACCTTGCCTTGCCGCAGGAGTTGTAGAAGATCCAGGGCGAGTTGGTGGCGACGGTGACGATGACGAGAGTGGACGACTTGATGTCGTCGGTGATCTCGGGCGACGTGTTGTACAGGTCCTCCAGCACGTCGGCGATGTACTCCTTCTCGGCAAAGATGTGGAGCACCTGCTTGTGGAAGGGGTCCATGACCAGCCGCGAAGACTGGATCACGCCCTCGAGCTTCTTCCTCAAGATGCGCAGGCCGTCCTCCTCCGTGAAGGTCCCGTTGTACTTCATCGCTCTCGTCACTGCATCACGTCAAGAAAGAACGCCGCGTGAGTTGGTGGTTTCCAAGACATGAGAGAGAATCGTCGAGTCGGTACCGGAGACGCCGATGTGGAGGTCGTAGAGGAGCACGGAGTAGTCGGTGATGCTGCCACCCATGGGGAAGTACTCGAGCTCCATCTCCGTCTTGAGGAGGTCGGCCCCGTACGACGCGCGCAGCACCTCGAACGACATCACCTCCGACGCCACTGAGTTGCCCCCGGCGTTGGGAAGGTCGCGGATGCGGCGCCCGCCCTCCGTCAGCGTCACTTGATCGAAGCCCACCACCTGTTGTGGACACGGGCCGTAAGCAAGCCACACATTTTGGCGCGAAAATAAATAACAAAAAATAAAATAAAAAAGCGAAGCGTGTAGAGAAAGATGAAAGATGGTGGTGGTGAGTAAAGTACCTTGTCGTGGACGAAGAGGGACGAGCGCACGAAGCGTCCGATGAGGGACGAGGAGGAGAGCTCGGTGAGGCTGTTGGGCACGGTGAAGAGGTTCACGGTGGGCTCCTTGATCATGTAGTCGACCCGAACGTGGCACGTCCGCGGCGGGCCGAGCGACACGAGCGGGTTGCTTCCCAAGAGCACGACGGGCGACGACGGACGACGTCGGGGAGTCGAAGGCGATGAGGGCGGCGACGGCGTGGAAGAGGAGGAGGAAGAAGCAGACCTCGACCGCCCAGGCCGACTGAACTTGGGGATCGAGATCGGCTCATCTTCGAAAAGCGCCGAGGTAGCGAATGGGAGAATCAAATCCGCATCGAAGAACGTCGCGGGTGGCGAAGAAGGAGGCGTGCAGACGACGGCGAGGGGCGTCGGAGGCGTCGTGGGCTGTACGGCCTTGAGCCGCCATACGCGCCGACGAGGCTTCGATGTAGCGGTTCGGGCGGCAACCGTCGAAGAAGAACGAGGGACGGTCGCCGAGTAGGAAGAGACAGAAGAAGAGGCGGAAGTAGAGGAAGAGGAGGAAGTAGGTGTTGTGCTGACGCGACGTTCAGCAGCAACAAGGAACACAGGACGGCGTCGTCGGGCTGGGGTCGAAGGCGAACGTTGGCGTTGCTGCTGCTGCAACGTGCCAGCCGTTGATGAAACGTTTGTGGTCGATGCTGTGACCGTGGATGTGATCTCGATCGTCTCGGTGCATGTAGTCCTGCTTAGCCCCTTCCTTTCCGGGCGCCCCTTCCTCGCTGGCGCCGGTGCTGCTGGAAGATGAGCCGCTTGGAGAGGAGGGACTGCCACTACTGGCGATGGGCGATAGAACGCACGACGGGAAGGAACGGTACAGGGGGGTGGTGAAGAAGGAGGTCGAGGAGGGACGCTGGAAGTGGGGCAGCTGGGCAGAGCGAGAACTAGCAGTCGAAGTTGATGTTCTTGTTGATCTCGTTCTTGTCGATGGTATTTGTCTGGAGCTGGTCGAGGTTTGGCCGTGGGTTCTCATGATTGATTTTGATGGTGTAATTAGTACCGTTTCGGAAATGTGCCGAGCGAAAGCCGAAGAAGATGAGCGAGCTGATGTGGTTGGGGGCTGAAGGGGTCTACGGAAGCGAAACGAGTCGGCGCAGACGAGGAAGGTGGTGGGAGGGCGAGTTGAGCTGAAGCGAGCGAAGGCGAAGCAACAAAGAGAAGAAGACGAGCGATGAAGTTGCCGCCCAAATTGTGGCCCCAATCGACACCTACAGCGCTTCACGTAAGCTGTCCCCGGAAATAACGAAGAACCATGGCGGCTTGTCCTGGTAACGGTCAGCCGCGTAAATAAATACGGCGTTTATGATTCTCTTTACTTATTTTACACAAATATAAATATGATACATAAATCTAAAGACACACAAAAACAATTACAAGTTGGATAAGTGGATGGATTTATATGGATGGTGGAAGGGGTGGAAATCCAAGTTCCGCCCCTTCTTGTTGGTCTGTACAAAAAGAGCGTACGCGCGCTACTCAGAAATCCATGGACAGCGAGTTGACGGCGAAGCCAAGCTGCAGATCCTTGTAGTGCTGCGGCTGGGCAGTGGGAGCGGCGAGCATCAGCTCCTCGTTGTGCGTCGACGACTTGTCGTCGGTCTCGTTGGGAAGCGAGGCGACGCGGAAGCCGAGGCCGATGTCCCTGTAGCGGGCGGGCAGCTGCGGCGCGGCGGGCTGCTGCTCGTCATCGCTGCCGGCCTCATAGCTGGCTTGCTTCTGCGCGAGCTGGGCGCGCAAAAGGGCGACCTCTCGCTCAGACGCGGCTGCCTCCACCCTCATGTCGTTGATGGTGCTCTCGGCCTCGCGCAAAGCTTCGGTCGAAAGTTGCAGGTTCATAGAAGTGAGAGAGGGCTCATGAGAGTGGCTCGAAGATGGTGCCAAGTACCTTGTGTGGTGTGGACAAGCTTCCTCTTCAGCACACGGATCTTTTGCTGCTGCTTGGTACCGTTCGGGGTGGCATCTTGCAGAGCCTGACGCGAACCCTTCGAGGATGTCTGTTGGGTTAATCGAATCAGTTGCAGATCTGATAAGCGAAGCAACTGACGAGGCCTCGAAGCGTAAAGAAAGGGGTACCTTGAACTTGGTAGCGTTATTCTTCTGAGGGGTGGAGACCTTGAGCCCCTGTTGCATAAGATGAACAGTTAGTGGGGGAGTAAATTGGAGAGGAATAATAATTCTACTCTTCTTTTCGTGGACCGCACCTTCTGCGTGGGGGTGTAAGGCGAGGAGGGCAGCTGATTGATGAGATTTTCCTTGTTCATGGCGGCGGACATGTTGTCGATGGGAGATGGATGTATGTTACTTGTAACGGTTCGTGGCGTGCGAGTCTTGATCTGTCTGGTCGGTTGCAGGTTTCGCGCCAAAATGAACCGCTGTTCCCGCCTTTCAGAAAATCCAGGAAAATTACTTTTTCTTTTATTCTTCTTTTTTTTTGGCATCTTTTCTTGAAGATGGAGGGAGCAGATGGATGCGAGGAGGAGGGGAGGAGCCCCGTGCAAAAGAAGCAAGTCGTTGTGGTCATGGGGAGTACGGGCGTGGGCAAATCCCAGCTGGCCATCGACCTTGCTCTCGCCCTACAGAAGCAGCAACGCGGCGTAGCAGAAATCATCAATGCCGACTCGATGCAGGTCTATCGCGGCTTACCCATCGCCACAGCCAAAGGCACCTCCATAATTCTTTTTATTTTTAATTTATGTGATAATATTTTGAATAATTAAATACATTTTATTAAAAAAAAACTAATAAAATGTGCGAGCAGTCACGGAAGAAGAGAAGGCGGGCGTGGTGCACCATCTTCTGGACGTGGTCGAGCCGACAGACATCAACTTCAACGTCATCGAGTTCTGCCGCCTCGCGCTCGCCACCATCGACGACATCCATAGCCGCGGGAACCGTACGCATCCCCGCACACTCACCACCGCACACGCACCACCGCACACGCACGCACACACGCACACACGCACGCGCACACGTCACCGCACACACGCACACGCACGCGATGTCAAAACAATTGGTGGTGGTGGTGCAGTGCCGATCGTGGTGGGGGGCACGCACTACTACCTGGAGGCGCTGCTGTGGGAGAACGTGCTGCTGCACGCCGCCGACGCCCCGCTCGCGCCCAAGCACCACCACCACCAATCGCAGCGTCCGCGGCCCGACGAAGAAGCAGGAGAAGAGGGAGAAGGGGAGCATAAGGCCGGCGGCGGCGGCGGCACAGAGCCTGCGGAGCTGGCGGCGCTGTATCGGCGGCTGAGCGAGGTCGACCCGCTCATGGCGTCGTGGCTCCACCCGCACAACGAGCGCAAGATCAAGCGCGCTCTCGAGGTATTCGCCCGCATCACCGTCGTCGTCGTCGTCTCTCTCGTCACCCTATTAGAGACTCACCTTTCGCGCTTTCGTTCTTTTGTTGTTTCGTTCTTTGTTTCTTGGGCGCGCCTGCCTCCAGGTGTACGACACCACCGGCCAGCCCTACAGCGACAAGCTGCGCCAGCAGGCCTCGCCCACGCCACGGTACCACCTCCCCCCCTATCATCTGACAACCTCAACTCGGCGATTCTCACGACACACGCGCACACACACGCACACACGCGCGCACACGCACGCACACACACACACACACACACACACGAACAAGGGCAGATATGATGCGCTGCTGTTTTGGATCGATTGCGATCGGGCGGTGCTGAACGCGCGGCTGGACGGGCGCGTGGACAAGATGGTGCGGGCGGGCCTGCTCGCGGAGGTGGCCGACCTGCGGCGCCTGCTCGAGCGCGATGGCCTGCCCATGGACTACACCAAGGGCATCCTCCAGGCCATCGGTACGGGCCACTCCTCTCGCCTCAGTCGCACGCACACGCACGACACTCACCGCGCGTGCCGTGTGTGCTGCGTGTGTGTGTGTCGTGTCGTGTGCAGGTTACAAGGAGTTTGCGCCGTACTTTGCGGCGGCGGAGAAGGGCGGAGCGGAGGCAGAGGGGGCGCTGCGGGCGTGCGTGGCGGCCCTCAAGCAGCGCACCCGCAAGTACGCCAAGGTGCAGACCAGCTGGGTCCACCGCCACTTCAGGTCTGCCCCCGTCTTGCGCGCCTGTCATCGTCCATGGACTGACCTTGTGCGCGCGCGGTGCGCGCGTTGTGTGTCGAAGGCCGCGAGCGACGATCCATCGGCTGGACTCGACGCGATTCGAGCAGCAGCGGTGGGACGACGAGGTGCGGCTCCCCGCCGTGCGCGTCCTCACCCAATGGTACACCGCCGGCGCCGGCGACTCCGCCGTTCAGTACGTCGAAGTCCTGCGACCACCATCGGCCGAGCGGGCATCGCTCAAGCGGCCGACCAGCGATCGAGGAGGCGACGACGGCGCAGAGGGCGGCGGCGACAGCGGCGAGGCGACGAAGCGGAACAAAGCGGAGGGCGGCAAGGGCGAGAGCGGCGAGGGGCGGGAAGAGGCGCTGGGGGCGCGGTGGCGGCGGTTCGTGTGCGAGGAGTGCGAGGGCAAGGTGCTGCAGGGCGAGGTCCAGTGGCGCGCCCACCTGGCCTCGCGCGGCCACTACCACCACCGCCGGCGACGCCGGCAGCAGGCCCTCCTGGTCGGCATCACCACCGCCGCCTCCACCGCCGCCACCGCCACTGACGGCGCCGACCCCACCGACACGTCACACAAGGCCCAGTGAGTTACAAAAAACGTTTCTTTTTTGTTGTTTAAGTGGTTTGTGCAGGCGTTCGAGATCTTATTTTTTAGGCGTTGATGGCATCGCCGCGGGCGTTCTCCGCTGCTTCGTGCTCCCGTCGCTTCAGCCTCCCTGTGAACAGCAGCATCACCGCACACGAGAACCTGCACCGCAGCCAGGAAGCACGACACGCACACGTTCCCCCCCGTGTGTGCGGTGTGTGAGAAACGACACACACGATGATGGTGTGAAGACATGAAAAAGAGGTACCCGGTGAGACCGGTGGCGACCCAGCCGGACTCGTGGTAGTAGTGGTTGTCGATCATCCAGTTGAAGAGGAATATGAGGCCGATGCCCACCAGCTGGCCCGACACCATCAGCATGCCCGTCACCGTCGCCTCGCCCACTGCGCAGCACATCATCATCAGCACCTCGCACGCGTGCGGTCGTGCGTGTCGTGTCGTGTCGTTGGTCGCGTGCGTACCGGGATAGGTGATCTCCACGGCCAGCTCCAGCGTGAGAGGAAGAACTGCGCCGCGAGGGAAAGAATGAAGCGATGAACACACGAACCGCGAAGAAGACAAAGAGAGAAAGAGACGAGAAAAAGAGAGAGGGGGGGGGAAGAGGTACTGGGGGTCATGAAGAAGCCGAGGCCGGCGGACACGAGGCACTGCCAGACGAAGTAGCCCCGCTCGAGCAGCAGCGTCATCCCCACCAGCGAACCGGTGGCGCACAGGAGCGTGGCCCAGATGAACAGCTTGTAGCTGCGGCGAGTAGGTTGAGCCGTGTGTGCGGTGGTGTGTCGTGTGTCGTGTGTCGTGCGGTGGTGCGTGTGCGTGGTGCGTGGTGAGTGGTGCGGTTGGGGGGTGGAACGGGCGGAGAGGCGGGTGTCTACCGGTGGGTGTAGTCGACGAGGCCGCCTTCTATGCCGGACCCGATAATGCCGCACACCACCACCAGCAGCCCCAATATCCCGCTTTCGGTCTGTTGACCGCCGCACACACCGCACACACCGCACACACCGCACACGACACACGACACACGACACACGACACACGCACGGTGGCGTGTTGGTGGCAGTGCGACGGAGAAGGTGTTGAGGAGGGGGGGGGCGATTCGACGACGCGTACGTTGGTGTAGCCGTAGGGCTCGTAGAGTTGGTTGATGACCGTCGCCAGCGTGTTGAACGCGCCCAGCCCGCAACCGAACTCGACACACAGAATCTGAGTGCGAACGGGAAACCACCACGATGTGAATAGCGCTGCGCGTGTGCCGTGTGCGGTGGTGCGTGTGTCGTGTGCGGTAGTGTGTCGTGTGATATGTGCCGTGTGCGGTGGCGCGTGTGTCGTGTGTGTCGTGTGTTGTGCGTATTGTTGTGTGCGTGCGGCGAACCCAGAAGTTGTGATTGAGGACAACGGCCTTGACGCTGGGCAGGAAAGCGAGCTCCTCCCTCGCCGTACCCGCGCTCGGCGGAAGCGGCGGCTTGCTCCTGCACCACATCCCCCCCATTAAGCCAGCGCTCGACACGACACGACACGACACGACACGACACGACACGACACGACACGACACGACACGACACGACACGACACGCACGGCGCACACGACACACGCAACAGGTGCGACCGCACGCGCCGTAGCAGAGAGGGGGGGCGGCGTACGGACAGAAGAGGACGAACACGCTGCAGGCGGAGGCGATGATGGCCTGGATCATGAGCATGAAGGGAATGTCGTCCGGCTCGTCCGTCAGCAGCGGCGGCAGCACGAACCCGATCCCCACCCCTGTACCCCCCCCCAAACTGTAATGTTAGTCACCCCGCGCGTGTCGTGTCGTGTCGCGCGTGTCGTGTCGTGTCGCGCGTGTGTCGTGTGTCGTGTGTCGTGTGGTACGTACCGATGGGGTTGGCGATAGAAGCGATCGCTGTGGCGATTGTTCGCTGCGAGGCTGTGTCGTGTCGTGTCGTGTCGTGTCGTGTCGTGTCGTGTCGTGTCGTGTCGTGTCGTGTCGTGAGTGCGCTGCATGAGGTAGGGGGGGTAGTGGAGGGGGGTACGTGGGAAGTAGTTGGCGGCGAGGAGCGGGACGGCGTTGAGTATGAAGGGCTGCCCGATGGCCGCCAGCACCTGCCCGCCGAAGACGGGCCAAAAGTTCCACTCGCCAAACACCCGCACCCACGCCCCCACCATCGTAAACACCGCACCCACCATCACCTGCGAACGCACGACACACACGACACACATGACACCACGACACGCATACCACACGACACACACACGACACGCACACCGCACGACACACGACACACACGACCCACACGACACACACGACATACGCGCCACCGCACACGACACACGGCACACGACACGCACGCGGTTCAGTTGGGAGGAACGGCGAAGAAGCGGAGGAGAGAGATAGGGAGAGGGCGCGTACGCCGAACCAGAGGCCGAGGTGGTCGAGAAGCCAGGCGGAGGGGAAGGTGATGGGAACGAACACGATCATGAATACTAGGCTCAGCATGTTGACCTACGCGTCACAGTCGACAGCGATGAGACACACGACAAACATGACACACACGACACGACACGACACGACACGACACACGCGACACACGCGACACACACACGCGGCACACGGCACACGTGGTGGGGGTACCCAGGTGGAGGAGATGTTGAACTTGGCCTCGACCTGGTCGGAGATGGGGGAGAAGGTGATCCACACCAGCGCGTTGGCCGCATTGCACAGACAAAAGCACAGCAGCACCACCCACCGCCGCTTGTACACCTGCACACTAACTGATTTAATGAGCCATCCGCAGTCTCGCCGTATAAACAAGCTTATACTTAGACATGCATGGCTTAATCTTTGAGACAAGCATATGACTACTGGCAGGATCAACCAGGTACCCACCGTTGTTGTTGTTGTTGTTGTAATAGTAGTATATGTATGTATGTATGTATGTATGTATATGTAGTTGCTGGCAACAATGCGCCACCAACAACTACTACACACACACGACACACACATTTTTCATTTATTATTTTTAAGCAATAATAATAATAATAATATATTTTCTGGAGCGCAACACTTGGTGTTTTTTAATGTTAAAAACAATAAATCTTATAAAATAATGGAATAAATTTATGGATTGAGTAAGGGCACCTTGAAGAGTTCAGGGCGGCCGTCATGGGGAAGGAGGTAGGCGTCCTCACTGGCCTGGAGGGACTTCATGCCCTCTGCGCAGTGCCTCTTCTTCTCTTCTCACTCCCGTTTTTGTTTTGTTTTTTGTTTTTCACAAATAAAAAAATAAACAGCGCATTGTTGCAGATTTTCTGGGACAAGTTCTGGGCGGAGTGTCGGAGAAAACTCGACAGGTAAGGTGACATGTTTCATCTTTCGTGTCGTGTAGTGTGTTCAAATAATAATTACACGGCGGTGGTGAAGGTGAGGGGGATCTGCTGGTCGAGGCCCAGGTAGGAGTCGGACATGAGGTAGAGCCAGTAGGTGTACTCGCCTTCCTCCTCCGGCAGCGCGAACGTGAGCGACGTGCGCGTGCGGTTCTTTGGCCGAATCGTCAACCTGTGTGCATGCGTGTGCAGGCGTTGATTGTTTGGTCCACACGTACACACACAACGTGGTGGGGGGGGGCGTACCGGCGGAGGGCGAGGAGTTCGCCGGTGTCCGGGTTGCCGAGGACGACCCACCAGGCGGGCTCCTTCTGCTTGGTGAAGCGGGGCGTGTAGGCCAGTCGCGAGTGGTCCTTGTTGGCCAGCGACAGCTCCACCTTCACCACCCCCTCGGCCGCCTCCGCCTCCTCCTCCTCTCCCTCTCCCTCTTCATCGCCACCATCTTCTTCTCCCTCGTCGTCGTAGTCGTCGTCGTCGTCATGATGATGATCGTAGCCGTCGTCGTTGTCGTCATCGTCGTGGGCGCCGTTCTGGGCGGCCTTGGTGGAGGGGAGCTTGGCGAGGGCAGCGGCGGAGGAGAGGTCGACGGTGGCCCGGAGGTCGACGACGGGGAGCTGTCGGAGGACCTGCATGAACTCGCGGGTCTGGCGGGCGGAGAGGCGGTCGCGGAGGAAGGCCTGCACGCGGGGCTCGTCGAGGGCGAGCAGCTCGGGCAGGGACTCGACGCCGAGGGCGTCGGCAAAGGCCAGGACGAGGCGGTCGTCGGCGTGGGGCAGGGTGAGGAGGGTCGAGTCGGTGAACCAGCGGGCCTGCATGACCATCTGCATGAGGTGCATGCAGTTGAGGGTGGTCTTGAGCCAGCCGCCGTCGGCCGCGACGTCGACCATGGCCTGGAGGATGCGCACGGCCTGGTCGAGCACGGACTTGGTGTCGGTGATGTAGTCGGAGATGGGGAGGGCGAGGCCGGCAAAGTGGGCCTGGAGGAGGAGGTTGGTCTTGGTGTGCGGGTCGTCGAGGAGGTGGGCGTCGACGGGCCAGGGCACGGTGGCGGCGAGCTCCTCGTTGAGCTTGTCCTCGTTGTGGCGCACGGGCAGCTCGTCGTACTCGGCGGTGCCGGCCAGGACGTCGAGCAGGCTGCGGATGTCGTTGTCCTCGCCGATGGCGTCGTAGAAGAGGCGCATGGTGGTGTGGTGCAGGTAGTAGTAGGACGCGATGCGGCCAAAGGTGAGCGGGTACACGCTGGTGCCGTCGACCTCGTCGATCTCTAGACAGTGCGAGGCCTCGAGCTCGCGCAGCGCCGCGTCGACGCGCTCCGAGAGGTGGCGGTTGATGGCGGCGGCGTCGGTGGCCTCGAGGTCGTAGTAGGCTGGGTTGACGAGCAGGCGGCGGAAGTAGTAGGTCCAGGTGAGGTAGTCGACGGCGTCCTGCTTGCTGGCGATGGTGCCCGACACGATCTCGGCGTTGAAGTGGTCGTGCAGCACCGTGTGCAGGCTCGACTCGACGGGGAACGGCTCGTAGAGGAACTTCTTGTAGAAGTTCTTCTTGGGCTCGTGCACCATGATCACGGCCTTGGCGTAGGTGTCGAACTGCGGCCGGCCCGCGCGGCCCATCATCTGCAGCACGTCGGTGATGGGGAAGTCCAGGTAGCGCCGGGTCTTGGGGTCGAAGAACTCGGTGCCCTTGATGACGACCAGGTGGGCCGGCAGGTTGACGCCCCAGGCCAGCGTCGACGTCGAGATCAGGACCTGGATGCGGTTGGCGCCGAAGAGCTCCTCGACCACGGCCTTGTCGTCGCGCGTGAGGCCGGCGTGGTGGAGGCCGATGCCGAACGGGAGCGTGTGGCGCAGGTTGGCGTCGGTCACGCGGGCCAGCAGGGGCTCGAGCTGGGCCTCGGGCATGCGCAGGAACTGGCGCGGGTTGTCCTCGGTGCCGAGGAACGCGATGAGGTCGAGCGCGGTGAGGCGGGTCTGCCGGCGCGAGGAGACGAAGATGAGGACGGGCTTGGCGGGCGAGTGGGCCTTGATGGCGGCGTAGGTCGGCTTGTTCATGGTGGCCATGCGCGGGCAGTAGTGGTCGCCCGGGTAGCCCTGGATGTGGGCCTCGAGCGGCACGGGCCGCACCGACGGGCGGAAGTTGAAGAGGCCCTCGTGGCCCTCGATGCCCAGCCAGTCGGCCAGGTCGCGCGCGTTGGCCACCGCCGTCGAGAGACACACCAGGCGCACCGGGTTGTCGGTCTGCGAGGCGATGTAGCGCATGCGCGACACGATGACCTCGAGGATGGGGCCGCGGTCCTGGCCCAGCAGGTGGACCTCGTCGATGACGATGAGGCCCACGGCCTTGACGTAGCCGCGGTTCTGCCAGTTGCGCGAGATGCCGTCCCACTTCTCGGGCGTGGTGAGCACGATGTCGGCCGACTGGAGGGCGTGGAGGTCGGGCGTGTAGTCGCCCGTGAGCTCCACCATGCGCTTGCCCAGCAGGCCCACCAGCCGCCGCTCCCAGTCCTTCATGCGCTCGCGCACCAGGGCCTTGAGCGGGCCGATGTAGACCGCCTTGAGGTGCGGGTACTCGCGGAACAGGCGCAGCATGGCCAGCTCGGCCGCCACCGTCTTGCCCGAGCCCGTGGGCGCGCCCAGCAGCACGTTGTGGTCCGAGTGGTAGAGCGAGTGGAAGATCTGGGTCTGGATGGGGTTGAAGTGGGTGAACGGGTACAGCCGCTGGAAGCCCTCGTCGCGGAGCGCGGTGACCGGCAGCGGCTGAAGGTCGAGCAGCTCCGTGTGCGGCGGGTACTGGTGCGGGAGGATGAGGTGCTTGAACGAGAGGGCGATGGTGGTCGACGCGTGGAGCCACCGGTTCGAGACGGCGTGGACGAGGTACTGCGCGGGCAGCGGCTCGAAGATGGGGATGGTGAAGGTGAGCGTGACCGGGTCGTAGGCGTGCTGCCGCCCGAGGACGTAGTACTCGTGGTGGTAGATGTGCTCGTTCTCCGGGTCCTCGACCCAGATCCACCAGCCCTCGGCGGCGCCGCTGATGCGGTCGTTCCAGTCGAAGGCGGCGGTGACGGTGAGCCCGACGCGGAGCACGGTGCGGGTGATGGGCTGCACGGTGGCCTCGAGCTCCAGGGCCGGGAACTGGTGGACGTACTTCTTGACGAGGCCGCCCATCTTCGGGTGCCCGACGAGCTCGCCGATCTCGCGCGCGTCGAGGTCGGCCAGGCGGTCGAGGGTGACCTTCTTGGTGATGAGCTTGTAGAGGATCTGGGGCGAGAGGACGCCCAGCTGCTGGAGCGGGTGCTGGGTGTCCCACAGGCGGAGGTCGGTCATCTTGCAGTAGGCCAGGGCGCGCTCGGCGACGACGGTCCAGCCGCGGTGGAGGCAGATCTCGAACAGGCCGCGGAAGATGCGGCCCATGTTCTGGGCGACGTAGTTCATGTCCGACACCAGGGAGAAGGCCTCGATGGGGGCGTTGGCCAGGTAGGCCTGGAAGAGGATGTTGACCTTGCCGTGCGCGTTGTCGATGCCGCCGCGCACATCGACCTGGCACACGTCGCGCATGAGGGCCTTGAGCTCGGGCTGCTCCTCCTCGCGGATCTTCATGTTCTCGAACTCGCCCGACTGGGCCACGACGGAGAGCAGGTCGGCGTCGCTGAGCGAGGCCTTGAGCTTCTCGTTGAAGAGCACGATGGTGTCGTGCAGGAGGTAGAAGTGCGACGCGGTGCGGCCGAGGTGGGTCGGGTCGAGCGTGTTGGCGTGCGGCACCCAGCGGGCCATCTTGGCCTCGTCGAGCGTCTTGGCCGCGGCGGCCACGAGCTGCTGGCGGTAGTTGAGCAGCATGGGGTCCATGAGCTTCTGCTGGTGGGTGATGCCGTAGGCCAGCGGGTTGCGCAGCATGCGCACGAAGAGGTAGGTGTAGCTGAGCCACTCGACGGCCTCGTCCATGTTGGTGACGGTGCCCGACACGATCTCGGCGTTGAGGTTGTCGGCCAGGTTGTTGACGAACTGCGACTCGATCGGCAGCTGGTGGTTCATGAGCGAGAGGTAGCGCGGCAGCTGCTCGTGCGAGGTGATGATGATGCCCTCGCCGCTGGTGTCGAACTGCGGCCGGCCCGCGCGACCAAAGATCTGCATGACGTCGAGCATGCCCAGCTCGACGAAGGCGCTCTTCTTCGAGTCGTACAGGTCGGTGCCCTTGATGACCACGGTGTGGGCCGGCAGGTTGACGCCCCAGGCCAGCGTGGCCGTGCAGCACAGCACGCGGATGTAGCCCTCGGCGAACAGCTTCTCGACGAGGTTGCGGTCGGCGCGCAGCATGCCGGCGTGGTGCATGCCGAAGCCGCAGGCGAAGAGCTCCTTGAGCTCGCGGTTGCGCGACTTGCCCACCTCCTTGAGCAGTAGGTTGTAGCGCGCGGTGCAGTCGTCGTCGACCTGGAACAGGGCCGTGGTGCCCTTCTCGCGTGCGATTTCCATCAGCACCTGCGCCGTCTTGACGGTGCCCTGCCGCGAGTGGACGAAGATCATGACCTGGTGGCCCTGCTCGACCGACTCCTTGGCCTTCTCGTAGGCCAGCCGGTTCATGATGGCCTTCTTGCGCGTCGCGTCGTTTGTCTTGACGCCGATGTACTGCTGGCTGAGCGGCACGGGCCGGTAGGCGTTGTTGAAGTGGAACAGGCCCGTCGCGGTGTTGACCCGCAGGAAGGTGGCCACGTCCTCGTAGTTGGGCAGCGTGGCCGAGAGGCCCACGATGCGGATCATGCTCTGCGAGCTCTCCACCTGCCGCAGGGTGCGGGCGACGAGCGTTTCGATGACGGGGCCGCGGTCCTCGTGCAGGAGGTGCACCTCGTCGATGATGAGCAGCCGCACGAGCGAGACGAGCGCGACGTCGCTGGTCTTGCGCGTGATGACGTCCCACTTCTCCGGCGTGGTGACGATCATCTGCGTCTCGGTGAGCTCCTTCTTGGTGAGCTGCATGTCGCCCGTCAGCTCCTTCACGACGATCCCGAGCGGCTTGAGCCGCCGCGAGAAGTTCTCCACCATCTCCTGCGCGAGCGCCTTCATCGGCGCCACGTAGATGATCTTGAACCGCTCCTTGCGGATCACGCCGTAGCTGTAGTTCTGCCCGATCTCGTGCAGGATCGTCATCAGCGCGACGTTGGTCTTACCGGCGCCCGTCGGCGCGCAGATGAGCAGGTTCTCGTTCGACCGGTAGGCCGCCTCGAACACGCGCGACTGGATGCGGTTGAGCGCCTTGATCCCGCCAAACGCCGGCCGCGCCCACTCGTCGAACTCGCTGATCGGCACCAGCCGCTCGCCCTCGCCCACCACGCCCGGCTTCGTTGGCGGGATCCGCACCTCCTCGTACTCCTTCGTGTCGTTCCGCACCGTGCCCTCCGGCAGCAGGATCTTCTTGCTGGCCCCGGCGCCCGACGAGGCCGACGCGTAGTCGCCGGGCGTGTAGCCCTGCGGCAGGAGGTCCTCGATGGACGGCTCGGCGAAGAGCACCGGCGCGGCGCCGCGGCGGTTGCGCTTGCTGGCCTCCTTGCGCTGCAGCTTGCGCAGGAACTTGTCGTCCTCGGTGGTGACGGTGATCTGGCCACCGACGGCGGCGCGCGGGTGTCCGCCGCCGTCGACCATGCGCTTGTTGTTGGCGTAGAAGGTGAGAATGGAGGCGCGGCGCTGGACCAGCAGGCTGATGAACTCGAAGCTGGTCTCGCCCAGCAGGCCGAAGAGCTGGTCCTGCAGCTGGAGGTCGGTCTTGACGCTGCGGTCGGAGAGGATGCGCAGGATCGAGGCCGCGAGCTCCTTGACCGACAGCGAGCCCTGGGTGATCTGCAGGTGGCGCTCGCACTGGTTGGCCAGCCAGTCCTCGTCCATCGCCTCCTTCTCGACGCCCTCCCACGCGCTCCCGGGAGTAGCACCGAAAGCTGTGGCGGCGTCGTCAGCCGAGGCTGCGGCCTGCTGCTGCCCGCCGCCGCCCCTCTTGCGTCCCTTCTTGGATTTGGCGGGAGTTGAGGCGGTCGAGGGCTGCTGGGCCTGGGCCTCTGCTTGATGCGGGGGCGAGTCGATGAATGCGCGTAGCAGGAAATCAGAATCGAAGGCGAGCTCGATGTCATCGCCGAATTCCTTCTCTACGTCGGGCGTGGCGGGCTGGCGGCTCGCTTCGGCCGATGCGGCATCATCGGTCGTGCCATCGGGCTTGACCTTGGCGCGCCAGGCCGCTAGCTGAGCGACGAGCGCGGAGGCCTGGTTGAATGTGCCGTTGTCGATTGTGGCGAAGTAGTTGCGTAGGCGTTCGCGCTTGGCGGCCACGCTCTTGGCGTCATCGGCCAAAGCCTCGTAGATGAACATGGCCGAGTTGTGCAGTTCGGTAGTCGACAGCTCGTCGCCGACGATCTTTGGCACGAGGAGCAGGAATTGCTGATAGATTGTTTGGATCTGCTTCGCCTCCTTCTGAACGGGAAGGTCAGCCGACTTGGGCGCCTCGAAGTAAGCCCAGGTCAGTTGCCGTCCGCCCGATGCCGATCCGACGCCCTGCACCTCCCTCTTCTTCTGTTCCTTGCGCAGCCGCTCATCTCGCTTGATGTACTCTTGCTCAACGTCGAACGTCTTCTCCTTCTGCGGCGAGTAGTGCGCACGCAGAAGGCCGGTAAGCCGGGGTATCTGCAGCACATCCACCATGATGCTGGATGGGAGGGTCAAAGCTTCCAAAATGTAACAATGCTGCCCACCCCTGCCAGTCCTCTTTTGTTGCTTTTCTCTTCTTCTCTTTTTCTTTTCTTTCTTTACCTGCCTTTTCTGCGAGACAGTTCAGCGATTGGTGTCCCCACGCTCGTGCTCAAGTGCTGATGTTCCTGGAATGTACACTCTCTTCTCTTCTCTTGGTTTCTTTTTACAATCGAACATCTGTTCGTTCACCTGTTCTTCCTCCTCGTTGCTCTCCTCGCCCTCGCTCGGTTGCGTCGTGCTCTCACGCGGCCGAGGTTGTAGAGGGTGAGCTTTGATCGTCGTGAGCGACCCAATGTCCAACGCCGCCGACTCCTCCAAGTAGTCTGGTGCCCAAGTCTGGCGCAGACTTTGAGTGGTGGCCGCCCTCTTGCTCTGTGCATAGCACCTGCTCGCCTACCGGTCGTGGTTGTGTTTGGTCGTGCATGGTGAGGTCCTTGGCCCTGCTCAAGTCGTCGTCTCGCTTTCTAGAGCGCAGTTGGAGCAGAGGAGATACATCTGCCACAGGGGAACCACACAAAAAACATGAGGATGTGTGTCGTGTGTGTCGTGTGTGTCGTGTGTGTCGTGTGTGTCGTGTGTGTCGTGTGTGTCGTGTGTGTCGTGTGTGTCGTGTGTGTCGTGTGTGTCGTGTGTGTCGTGTGGCAGGAGGGTACCTGCTTGCCGATCTCGTGGAAGGCGGACCTCAGCACCCGATGGTAGGCCGTGCACAGGTCGATCCACGACGTGAGGTCGAACGGGTCCGCCAGCCACGAGCGGTTGACGTAGGGGATGGCCAGCAGGGGCTTGTTGAGGTGGCGCAGGTAGATGTTGTACCCGATGTAGCGCAGCGCCAGGCTGTAGCGCTCGTCCGACGGCGGCACCTGGGAGAAGAACTGCTCGGCCAGCCGGTAGTCCTTCTTGCTGTAGTGGTAGATCGCCTGTTGTGTTGTGTTGTTGTGTTGTTAGCAAGGGGTGCAGCGAAGGAGAAAGATGGAAGAGGGAGGAAGTTGATACCTGGTCCCAGGGTGTGGGGTGGACAGGTGGCATGCGTGGGCTGAGACCGTCTTGGGCGTAGGCGTAGAGATTGATCATGAGGAAGACGAAGCCGGCAGAGTAGAGGAAGAGGAAGATGAGGCTGTACAGGGCAAAAGTCACCAGTGAATCCCACCACCGCCAGTTGACGATAATCATACTTGCACTCTAGACTGCTTCTCTAGGTGTGGATTCGACCAAATGCGCATCTCCCTTCGTCTCTACGTTTTGATACCAAATCCAAATCTCGAGGCGCGAATGATGTGGGTCGAGGAGCTGTCGCGGCGGCAAAGATGAAGAACTGGATTGAACGTAGGGAGTGGGTGTTGTTGTGATTCCTCAAGTAAAGGGAAGTAGAGAAAAGCAAGAAAGGGGAAGCCGAAGGCGTTTTACTTTCGTCAAAAGCTGGACCAAGCTCGAGGAATGTCGCGAACGGACGCGCAAGCGCCCTCAACATTCTGCAAATAATCGCCGCGGCGAAATCCAGCAGAGAAGCGCACTCATGTTCGTTGATCTCCTTCCTGCCTATTTCTGAGAGCGAGAAAAGGCACTTGTGCTATTTTGGTTCCTTTTTTTTGGTTATTATTCGTATTATTATTTTATTTCGCATCGCATGAATTAAATAATGGCAGAGGGGGAAGGAAGAGGAGGTAGAGGAGACCAAACAAAATAACAAATAACAGATAAATAATAATTGTTTGTGGTGTGTGTCCTAAAATTACGTTACTGGCCCCTGATGATTTGCGTGAGCTTGGCCGTCAGCTCCTGTGGCAGAGCAGTGAGCACTTGCTGGACGGCGTCGGCAGGCACGGCCTGCACCAGCTTCTTCACGATCTCAATCATCTTGGCGTTCGTCTGCACATGCGGACAACAACATCGTCAGCATGACCATGTCGACCAACATTTGACGAGGATCATTCTTAGCGCAACGTACGTTTTCGGTGACCATGTTCGTGTTGATGGCAGTTCCCAAAATGTTGAGGAGCTGGGGCAGGTTCTGGAAGTTGTTGCCGAGCACCACCGACGAGTGCTGCTCGATGAAGATGGTGAGGTTGTCGTAGGTGACCCGGGCCTCGACCTCATCATCGCTCACGGGCAGGTAGGACAGGAAGACGGGCATCAGCTGGTTCATCTGGTGATCGATCGACCGAAGGAATTGTTTGTCAACACACACAGGTCACCACTACTAACAAAAGCTTTGGGGGACGAGATAAGGGCAGCTGCGTACATCGATAGCGCTCGACTGGAATCGGATGATCTTGGCCACGGCCGAGATGGCGTTCTCGGTGGCGTGCACGTTCTCGGGGCTGCGTGACTCGCTGTGCTTGATCACGCTGTCTAGTCGCCGGAAGACGTCTGAGCGGGCCACAGTGTTGGTTTGGCATGTCAGCACCCGTAACAGCAAATTACAAGCCAGGCGCGCGAGAGAGGGCGTACCAAGGATGATGGAACCCATGCTGGGGCCACCGAACTGGGCGCAAAGGCCGATGCCGAACACGGCGGCCTGACGGACCGAGGGGTTGGAGTCGGTGATGTAGTTGACCATGGCCGGCAGGAACGTCTGGTAGAGGGGCAGGGCGGCTCCTTCGCAGTGCTCCAGCATGTCGTCGAGCATGCAGAGACCGATCTGACGATCGTGCGGCGCCTTCTGGGGGTGCTGTGGGTTTGCACGAAACAGTACGACTCTGTGAGCACCAGATGAAGGCGGGACGAGATGCGGGCGGCCATGGCGTACCATGAGCTGAATGGCGATGGGGAAGAGAGTTTCGGAGAACGAGCGGAGCACGCCGGCCTTGTGGACCTTGGCGAGCTTGCCGATCACCTCGCCGAGCTCGGCCATCACTTCCTCCTCCTTCTCATTTTCGACCTCGAGCTTCTCGGCTTCCTCCTCATCGAAGTCCTCGCCCTGCTTCTCCTCTGTACGTACCAGCGGGGGAACGAGGAAGAGACGGGGGGAGGGTCAGGTGAGTCCATGATGATCCAAGAGGCCTTAATAAACAAAGGTGGGCGAGCAGTACCAAGACGACCCTTCATGCGCTCCTCCCGCTCGCCGATCTCGGCCTTGATGGCCTCAAAGACGGAACGGATCTGGGCCTCGGTCATGAGGTTGCCGCACACGTCAATGCACTCGCCGAGGATCTCGAACATGAGGGCGATGAGCTCGACGTCGATCTCCTGCTGGATGGCCTCGTTGAGGTTGGTGAGGATGAGCCCGAAGAGGGTGACCAGGGGCTGGTTGCTCTGTCCGGTGACCTCCAGGTGGCGCTTGACCGACTCGAGGAGGGCCGACATGGCCGACACGGCGGCCCGGCGGACGCCGTCGTGGAAGTAGAACTTGACGAGCGGGATGAGCACGGTGGCCACCTTCTCGACGTAGGGGAAGAAGCCCTCCTTCAGCTCGGCGGCGTACTGGTAGATCATGTTGCACGCCGTGGCCTTCTCCTCCATCAGCGTGGTGTTGATGCCGATTCGCTTGTCGCCGATGGGAATGTACTGCCAGCCGTCCTGCTCAGCGTTACCCTCATCTGAGGAAAGAAGAAGAAGAAGAAGAAAGAGGCAAACGTGAGCAAAGGCGCGAGATACAATTTGAGACGGAGAGAAGGGGGTCCGTCGTACCGTCGCCCTGGACCGTGAGATCGGGGTCGAGTCCGGCCGAGTGGAGGAGAGGAGGCATGACGACCTCGAGGTAGGGGACGAACTCCTGGCCGAGGGCCTTGCACACGCGAGCCCAGGCCTGCAGGAGGAACGAGATCTGGGGGTCGTCGGGCTCGAGGTTCGACTGCTGGGTGGCGTAGAGCACTTGCACGACGTCCTTGGCGTCGGCGTAGAACTTCTCCTTGCCGACGGCGACGCCGATGAGCGTGATGCACTCCATGGCCTTGCCGCGCAGCATGCGCATGTCCTTGCCGTTGGCGTTCCTGAGGACCTCCTTGAGGAAAGGCATGAAGGTGTCGTAGTAGCTGGCGAAGCGGTCCTCGACGACATCGGCGAGGGCAGCGATGGCGGTGATGGCCTGCTCGAGGACCATCTTGTTACCGCCCTGAAGCAGGCCCGCGAGCTTGGCCATAAGAGTGTTGAGGTAGGGATCCAGGATCTCGATCGTCGCGTTCTCGCAGAAATTGATGACCGCCGAGGCAGCGTGCGACTGCACTCTGTGGTTGCGCGCGAGAGGACAGAAAGGAAAGGAGATCAATACGGGCACTGAGCAGAGAGAAGAAAGAAGAGAAGAAAAAGAAGAAAGTAAAAATGATTTCTCTTCGCCGTGCAAACCACGAATGGCAAGTCCTGGTGGATGAGAATCGGGCTGGAAGTGACAGCAAGAGCCGGAGCCCCCGCTGGCACGCCCAACCGTAGTCTCATCCACCGGGGAGTATTCGTGGTTGAGTGAATGCAGGGCAGAGGGATGCCTAGAGGCCAATTTTACACAGCAATGACTCAGAAAGACTACATGGCCACCGAAAGGTGGATGAGCGCCTCGACTGACCTGTCTGCCAAGCGGAGAAGGCTTTCCCGGAGGAAAGGTTCACCGCTTGGCGAACAAAGCGAGGCGCAGTAGTCCCGCTCTAAGGGCCGTGTGACTGCAAACAAAAACAACGAAAGGGGAGGAATAGAACGGAAAAAATGATAATAATAATGATAAGCGGTGGTACCTCGGGTTGTCCCTGTCCTCCATGACGTTCATGAGAGCAGGCAAGACACGCGCGTGGTACTTGCTCTGAATGGTGGGGCCGAAGTCGGTGAACATCTGGCCGAAGGTGTTGCAAGCCGCCCATCGCACACGGGGGTGGGGGTCGGTGAAGTGGGGCAGGATCATGCTGTGTAGGAGAAGATAGGTAAGCTACACGTTCACCAACATAAGATTAAAAAGGCCTAAACCTAACTTCCAGATCAGTAACTTGGTCGAATCACAGAATGGTTCATGTAATACATGCGTTTAAGTTTAAAACATCATGTGCAAGAGGAAGCAGCAAAGTAATCACGAACGTGGTGAGAGCGGACGTACGTGATAACGTTGTCCAGGTGCGGGACAAGGAAACGGTGGCAACCCTCGCCAACAAGGGAGATCGAGGTGAGTCCGGTGAACCTCTGGGCCCACTCAGTGGACTGAAGAAGCTTGGGGATCACGCCGAACAAAATCGGAATGAGGGTCTTGCCACCTGGTGGACGACAGAGGTGAGCTCGGGGCTCGGTTTGTGGCGGGTGAGGACCTGAGAACGGGAGCATACCAAGAGAAAGGGCGAGACGGTCGAGGCACTCAGAACCGACGCTGTGATTGTTCGCGTCAACTTCATCATCATCGTCGTCCTACAGAGTTGCGAGATTAATTCGGAGATTGAAGCACAAAGTAATGCAAGTATAATGAAGGCCGGAGTGAACGTACGTCGTGGGCACCCCACTCAGGATCTTCCTCGATGTCGAGCATGAAATTGAGGACGACGGGAACGAGGTTCTGCACGAAATTGGGCACCTTCCTGACCATGCCGGCTCTTTGCTCGGCAAGGGTGACCAAGAATTCGAGGCCCAGTTGGCGAATGCCGTCTTGGAGCTGCTTTGTGTTGGCGATCGTGAGCATGGCGTTCACGACGGTGGTCAAATGAGGCCGGAGGAAGGTGGGCTCGACATCGGCAAGCTCAACAAGAATCTGAAGAGCATCGAGGGCCTCATCTTCCTGCTTGTGGTTGAGGCACGTGCTCACCACCTAGTGGGAAAGAATCCAATGAGCGCCAATCTTGCAAATTAAATTTGACTGAGAATTTCAATTGAATAAAAGAGGGAGAACACTTACGTCGAACATGACGGGGATCCAGTCCTTGAGCTGAAGCTTTTCGGCGTCGCCCTCGAGGAGCTGCACGAAGCTCACGCAGGCACCGAGAGCCGCCAAACGAACCTTTAAATGAATCGCGAAAATTAGCAACAAGATTGTGAATGAATCGTGAGTGGAACTGCGGGGTAAAGGCACCCTAAGGCTCTTCTGATCGGTGAGGCCGGCTTGCAAGACCTGCTTGAGTACGTCGAAGTGGCTTACGAGTGACTCGCCAAGGTAGAGGCAAAGTTTGCTGAAGATGTCCAAGGAGCTCTTCCTGTGTTCATCGTTCTCCGACTTGGTCAAGGTGAAGAGGAAGGGCAGGAGCTGCGGCCACTGCTGCGTGATGTCGCTCTCGACCTCGCCGAATGCAGTGAGGAAGAGAGCCAACTCGCTGATGGTGTCGCATAGCTTCTTCCTGCCCGATGCCACGGGCTCCTGCCCGACGGCCGCCAGCAGCTCCGTCTTGATGGTCTGTTGTGTTTGCTGATTAAGCTTCGACCAGAAACGCACAGTCTGCTTCTCCGTTGTCCCTGGCTTCTCCACCGATTCTTTGGAGATGAGGGTCTTTCGGAGCAGCACCATGCAGAGCTCCCTTGCCTTGAAAGAAAAGAAATGTGTTAAATGAAGCCCTAATTCAATGGATTGGAGCCATGGAAGGGGTGAATGGAGTGATTACGGGCTGATTCTGCGAGGTGCGGATGGCCTGGATGAGGGCCATGGTGAGGGTGTCGGGCGCCTGCTTGACCGCATCGTTGAATGCCCTCTCGGCCTGTCCTCGGGCAGCATTGTCCGAGGACATCAGCTGCACGATGAGTTGTTCGAATTCGGCCATCTTCTCGTTCTATTCGGATCGATTCTTCCCTTCTCTCCCTTGAATGAGGCTCCTACACGCGATCACTTGCGAGCCCAATTGAAGACGTGCGTGATCTGGATTTTTCGCGCCTTCTTTGATCCGCCGGCAAAAAAGAGCAACAAACCCCGCCTTTGGTTTTTATATTTTTTGCGCTTATTCTGTCTTGCCGCATTTTTCCCGGTTCGGTTCCCATTGCTTTCTCCCCCTTCTCCCTTATTTCCCTTTATGGCGGAGGCGAGACGATTGGCCGTTGCTCGACGCACTGCGCTGCAGCTCGCTGTTTGGCCAAATGTTACAGCGGACCCGTGGCAACGACCACCATCATCCACTCTCCTCCCCCGCCTCACTCGCTCACGGCGTATCGTCCCTGGCCTGTGTCCGTCGTGTGCGCAATGGTGTGAGCACGAGAGAGCGAACCAACCGAGCAACAAAACGAACCTAGAGAGTTCCAGACAAAGTACTGATTGCCGACGGTCTCGCGCATGACCACCACCTGCACCTTGGTGCTGGGGTTGACCACCACGCTCTTCGGGTCGATGTTGATACCGCTCAGCGTGTGGTCAATCACCTTGAAGTGAGCCTTGTGGGGGGGGGGCTCGGGTCGATTAGTACGTGTGCGGTGGTGTTGGGCGTGTGCGTGTGCGGTGCGCGTGTGCGTACCTGGACATAGCAACTGGCTCCGGTGCAGAAGGGGTCGAATATGTCGGTGGACCGCGATACGCCGTCGAAGACGACGGATGCGGGCAGGGCCACCTCGAGATTGCGCGAGGCGAATCGCTGGCCCACGTCCCACTTCAGGGTCTGCTTGCGGTCGTCCAGCACCACGCTGCCGGCCGTGGGCGATGCCTGCACGCTGGTGATCTGCCCGCTACACGACCGTGGCCCATTAACAGGCAAAATATATAAGAACGTCGTGTGTGTCGTGTGTCGTGTTGCGTGTCGTTTCGTGGGTGACGCATAGGGTACCGATTGGGGAAGGGGACGTGGACTTCGCAGTACTCGAAGTCGTTGTTGACGGCGTCGTCGAGCTTCAGCTGCGCCAAGACCTTCACCTCATTTCTTGTCGCATCAACTTCCTGGAACAGGCTCACCCAGTAAGCATTGTACGCGTGTGTGTGTGCGTGTGTGTGCGTGTCGCACGGAAGTGGCGCGGCCTACCTTCATCTGGTAGAATCCGCGCAGGGGCAGCTTGGGCAGCGACGTGACGGTGTAGGTGCACAACGGGTATTGGCCCAGGGGCGGGGTGAAGGTGAGCTTCTTGAGCGCGGTCACGTCGGTGGCCCGCACGCGCGAGTCCACGATGAAGTCCTCCACCCGCGCCGTGGGCTTGCCAGTGGCAGCCCCGGTCGGCAGCGACAACGTGACCGTAATCTCCGGCAGCCCTTCTATGTCCGCCTGTTGGGTCATTGTGTGCGGCGGTGCGTGTGCGTGTGCTATCAATGGAATGCCGAGAATGTCAACGAAAGAGTTGCGGAGCGGAAACCTTGCAAAAGATGGTGCCATGGACTTGCCAGGCGTCGGGCACCGTGTCGCTGTCGTACTGGGAGGCCTTGACCTCCTCGCGTATCATGAACTCCAGCCGCGGCTTCCCCTTGTACAGGTAGGGCTTCCACGCCGGCCGCTATACCCCCCCCCCCACAATCGGGGACACGTCAGCAAACACAACATGACAGAATTGCTGCGTGTGCGTGTCGTGTCGTGTCGTGTCGTGTCGTGTCGTGTCGTGTCGTGTGCCTTGAGGTCGGTGAGCGTCTGAAGGCCAGAGGGAAAGCCGAATCGCTTGATGGATTTGATGTTGGGCACGCTGGTGTCCGAGGGCGTTCCGAAGGGCATAAAGCAGTTGATGTACATCTGCAGCTCGGCCATGTGCTTGGCTTCCTACGCGTGTGTGGGTATTGGCGGCTCCGCATTAGTGACCACGCACGCACACGCATGATTGTGATTCGAGGAAACACGCACGTAGGGAGGTTCGTAGATGGAGGCAAAATTGGCGATGTCCTCGAGCAGACAGAGCGTAGCCGTGACGCAAGGCCTGCCGTTGTGGTTGTGGTTGTGGTTGTGGTTGTGGTTTTGAAGGTGTTGTGGGTGAGGCCTCAAGCAAGACACTATAGACCAGAAGGTGGCGCGTGCGTACAGTTCGAGGAGCTGGTCGTGCTGCTGCGTCGAGGCGGAAGACGTCGAAGTCGGCGTGGAGGAGGGCTGAGAAGAGGAGGAATGAGAGGAATGCGCAGTGTCGCTCAGGCGCGGCAGTGATCGGTTCACCTCCGGCAGGCCCACAAAGTAGAGCTCCGACCCGTCGGCCTTCCTTCGGGAGATGAAGACGACCGGGTCGAGCGAAAGCAGCGCCGGTGGCGCGCGTGGAGAGGGAGAAGAAGATGAAGGAGGAGAAGGGACTGATGTCATTGACGAAGAGGAGAGTGCAGGCGCCTTCTTGGTGATGACGAGGACCTGCTTGGTGGGCGACGTCCGCGCGGCGAGCGCGTTCACGAACAGCCGCGCAAAGTCGGCGTCGGGCGGTGGTGGCATGTACCCGCCCTCCGTGTGCGACAGCCGCACCCGGTTCTCCACTGTGGGGAAGCGTCTGTGTGTAGAATAAATAGATAAATGATAAGAAATAACAAAAATCAATATTGACACTTTTTCATTTATTTAAATCGAGATCAATAAAAGAGTACCGCGAGAGGATGGCCGTGGGTTGGCTATCTTTGCCCACGTTGATGAGCCACACGGCTCGCATCGTCGCCATCTCTGTGCGAAGTCGAATCGAATGTTTCTTCGTAAGTTTCCTATTTTCCTTCTGTATTTTCTCTTTGCTCGTTTACTGTGTTTTATTGGTTGTCTTTTTTGCCGGCCCAAAACAGGAAGGTGCCAAAGAAGGAAGGTTGGCGCGGGTCCTACTGGAAGGGTCAAGACTGGTGGGGAGGGAAAAAAAGAATAACAGTGGATCAAAAGCTGCCCTCTTTGGATCAAGAAGAGACACCCTCACATCGGGTTTGTAAAGAAAGGCGGCCTGTCAAGATCTCTCACCATGGACCTCAACAGAAAGTACGCACTGTGAAAGGATGATCATCCCAATCAACATACCCCCCCCCCTAACGATCGCCATCTTGGGTCATTAGGCCTTTCGCGGAGTACCAGCCTGAGCTCTATGACACCTTTAGCAAGATCATGGGCCTTGCCAGAGAGTGCGCCATCCCCACTCTTACTTGATCCCCCACTCTTTAATGAACGATTCCTGTTGTGGTCGTGTAGGCTGAACACCAGCCTCGACCCGCCCGAGTTCGTGTTCATCGGCCAGAACAACCACGGCAAGACAGCTCTCTTGGAGGCCATTCTCGGCCACTCCTACACCAAAGATATCCTCAATAATCACCCCCCCCCCAAAGCACCTCTCGCCCTTGCCGCACTTTCTATCACACAACACACCAGTCACACGCTCAACGACACACTCCTGTCTGTGTTTGTATATCCTTCCTTGACCCCTGTGCACGAAAGCCCACCAAGCGCCCGGTGCAGATCAATTTGCTCAACAACCCGGCCTGTGCCGACCCCAAGGTCACCGTCAAGCGCGATGACTTCCTCTGGTCCAAGTCGCCCGAGTTCTGCCGGGACGTCGAGGTATCTCGCCACCACCCACTCAACTACTACTTTATGTTGACATTTTGTTGTAAAATACGAATATGTCACCACAACCATGTAGGTTCCGGTGGACGAGGTCGGCAAGGAGATGCAGAAGAGGAACGTGTACAGCACGGTGCCGATCTACATCAACTACGAGTGGCGTCAGGTGTGGAACATGTGCCTCATCGACACTCCCGCGCTTGTGCCCTCGTCCAAGCACTTCCTGGGCGAGGACGAGGAGGACACCGACACCGACCGCGAAGACGAGGCCGTCGCCGGTTCCTCGATCGCGGCCGAGGGTGAAGGCGGCGCGGCCAGCGCCGCGTCTGCCGCTGCGGCCCAGGCCCTGCCGCCATCGCCGGCCAAGGCGCCGCCGTCGAGCGACAGCAGCGTGGCGGGCGGCGACGACAAGGCCGGTGCGGCGGGCGACGATGGCGCGGACTCTGGCACGGAGGCGGTCAAGGGCCGTGGCCGCAGGAGCAAGACCCCGAGCGAGGACAAGAAGAGCGCCCGCATGCAACAGACCATCCTGGAGCTCATCACGCCCGCCGAGCGGTTCATCGTGGCCGTGGAGGAGGCGGCGACACCCACCTACGTCATGCCGCGCGTGGTCCAGGCGATCGACCCTAAGTACCACCGCACTGTCTTCGTCTACACCAAGTTCCAGGCACGTAGCGCTCCTCTTTCCTCTTACATGTGGAAATATATGTTAAAAAAATGAAGTAGTGTTGTGTAGAGTGTACTAACGTGTTGTGTATGTCCAGGAGCACCTCAAGACGATCTTGACCTCGAAGGACGTGAACAAATACCTCTACAGCTTCCAGCCCAACTGCCGCACCTTCCTGACCAGCTTCCAGCCCGGGAGCAGCCCCGTCTATTCCAAGGCCCAGAGTGCGTTTCACCTTCACCCTCACCCTCACCTTCACCTCTCATGCTCCCCCCCCTTCCCATATACCAGCCTTCAAGGACAAGATCGCCGACTCCATCAAGGACGACCTGAAGCAGCTGGAGTCCCTCCAGTACGATAAAAGGTAGTCCCTACTTGAATTCCACCACACCCACAACGATGAGAAAGTCTAAACACCATGATCCATTGCACAGGCATATGAATGCTGTGGGCGCCCACGCGCTGAGGCGCTACCTGCTGGAGCAGGGCTGGCGCCACTACCTCGAGGTGATCCCCGAGATCCTGAAGAACCTCTCCACCAAGAAGAACTCCATCATGGCCGTACGAACACAGCGTCTTCTTGGCATGACCGTTGGTGAGGTCATTCAGGTGCTGATATATATATTGATGTGTGGCTGTACAGAAACTGCATGACGTGGCGGACCAGCTGCAGAGCATGGAGGCCGGCAGGCTGCGCACCCTTGCCACGGCCTACGCCATGTCGTTCCTGCAGAACCTGGAGCGCCTGGTGAAGGGCACCCTCGACGGCATTCCCACCCAGAACGGCCAGACGCTCGAGGAGGAGATGGACACTCCCGAGGTGGGCGACTGGCTGGACCTCAGCTTCCGCCCTATCATGCTCTACCCCGACGAGTGGAACATCCCCTACACCCAGAACAAGCTCTATGGCAAGCAGCAGTTCGAGCGTCTCTTATCACAGTTCCGCGCCATCACCGACCACACCGGTACATATCATATTGAGCCAACATAATAGAAATATGTTACAAAGTAACTTACATGTCGGCGCTGCTCTGTAAACGCAGAAATGGGACTGGTGACGATGGATGACGTGGCGTGCTCGGCCGGGCCGACCAAGATCTCGACGGTCTCGAACTTTGCCTGGGTGGCGAGCGATCTGGCCAAGCGCAAGGTGGAGAAGACTCTGAAGCCGCTCATCCAGCAGCTCAAGAACAGGGCCGTCTACATCCTCAAGAGGCTCGTCGACATCGTCGACAAGATGGTGGCCGTGCAGAAGATGAAGAAGAGTGCCCACCACGGCCCCGCAAGCAAGCTGGCAACCTCCACCTGTACGTCGCCCTCCCCCCCCAGCTCGCTTGGCCTGTGCGGCTCACACCCACGCGACCGCTCACGCACACGCACGAAACTCTGCAGTTACGCTACGACCCAATGCGGCCAGCGTGTCGCGGAACAACCGACACTCGACCGGCCACGCTGACAAGGTGGTCATGAACGAGAACTCGGGCGACTTCCCCTACTTCATCCACAGCGTGAAGGTGCTCTTCATGAACTTTGTGGACGAGGTGGCCCAGGACTGCTTCGAGAAGTGCCAGGACGAGTTCTTCTGCACCCAGATCATCTACTGGGACATGGTCCAGTACGTCGTCACCAGCTTTGCCTATTTTAGTAATTGGTTGCATGCAAGTCTTGCTGGCTAACCCAACAGACATGTAACCAACAGCTTCAGCGAGCACACGTTCCCGGAAAAGAGCAACTCGCTCAACCTCTACCAACAGAAGGAGGAGGTGACCGCCCTAGCCCGCATCCTCTACAAGGAAATCAAGGACCGCGTCTCCACCAACGTGCTCCTCAAGTTTCACAACTTCTTCTTCGTCCCCATGTACGTCTCCTCTATTTTCCCCACACAGAAAATTTCCACCGAAGTGAAGCTGTTGGCTGACGGGCTTGATTTCGTGTGCTGTAGGCAAAGCGACCTGTGGGGCGCTGTGCAGGGCAAGGTCACTTCGCTGTCGGATGCGCAGCTGGCCGAGCTGTTCCAGGTGGAGCCCAACAAGGTGGCCCTCAAGGAGCAGGAGACCAAACTGCAGGCCCAGATGAAGGCCCTCTCCGCCCTCGAGATCTCCTTCATGGAACAATCCTCCCGCTTCTCCCGCCCGCAGTGAGCCCGCTGGCATCGTCACCTGAGCTCTCGCACCATACCACGACTGGGCAAAGTCGCTCGCCCCTTATCATTACTGGGTTAAATTGAAGCCAGTTGTTCTTTTATTCGTTCCACAACAAACGTTCTATCCATACGAAAGATTGATTCAAGAAGAAGAAGGTCGATGACCACATTTCGAGTCTCCTATGCGACTCTTCTCGATCACTGATTCCGGAAGAACTGCATCCTGGAGGCAAAACTGCCTCCTGCCGCTGGTCCCGTGGAGCTTGGTGGCTGCGGCGTCTGGCTCTGGGGCCGGACGCCTCGCGCCACTCCGGACCCTCCTCTGCCGCCAAAGGTCGGCGGCGGACCAGATGGGGACGGCGCAGCCCCGGTGCCGGGCCTCCTCAGCGTGCCCGGAGCACCACCACCGCCAAAGGCCGAGCCGCTGGGACCACCTCCCGGCGCACCGGTGAAGCCACTGCCTCGCCCGACTGGCGGCCTGGCAGCTCTGCCCATTTGCGGCGGCGCAGTGCGGGTCGGACCGCCCGACTCCCGCCCCGAAGCTGCGGGTCTGCCGGCGGCTCCCGGCGACGGCAGCCCAGGCCTGGGGAACCCGCCCTGCGCCGGGCCGGGTGGGCCTCGGAGCGTAGGCGCCGCGCCGCCGAAGCGTGAGGCCACCGGCGAAGGCGCAGGGTCGGCTTGGGGGGCGATGCTGCCACCGAAGCGTGAGGCCACCGGTGACGGAGCTGGGCCGCTGGCGCCGCCTCCGCCGAAGCGTGAGGCCACCACTGATGGAGCTGGGCCGCTGGCGCCGCCTCCGCCAAAGCGCGATGCAACCGGAGACCGCGCAGCCGTGGGCGAGGGGCCGACGCCGCCGAAGCGCGGCGGGGCCGCAGCGCCGGTCGCAGGGCTGCCGAAGCGCGCCGGCCCAGTTGACGGCGGAGGGTTGCTGGTGGGCGCTCCGGCGACGGGCGCACGCGCAGTGCCGCCGAACCTGGGGCCGGGAGTGGGGCTGCCGCCAAATCCTCGTCCTGCTGAGGCCCCGGCAGCCCCAGTCGTTGGTCGCGTGTTGGGGTTGGGTCCGGGTCGACCGTCGCCGGGCGGCGCTGCAGCTGGCGCTCCGCCGCTGAAGGAGGGTCCAGGCCGAGGGCGGCCGACGCCGGGAGGCCCCTGCAACGCCGGCCTGAAGCCTGTGTGCGGCACCACGCACGAACAACGAATGTTCAAAACTGTGCGAGTCTTCCGAATCATGGCAGGGCATGGTACTATACCTCCAGGAGACGGGGCAGGCCTGGTGGGTGCCGCAGCGACTGGCCCGGGCGACGGTCTGAAAGCTGTAGAGCAGAAAAGAAGAAATGGTTGGCCAACGCAACACGCCTCATGAGTGGTCTGGCTTGGGGCTCGTACGGGCAGCTCCACGACCGGCGGGAGCTCCTCCGAACGCCGACGGCGAGGCGGAGGCCGACTTGAGCTTCGGAATGCCGCCCGCAAACAGGCCGCCAGCCGAGCCAGCCGATGCGCCTCCGCCCATCGGGGCTCCTCTGCCCGCTGCATTTGGTTCTGTGTAGCCGACATTAGTATCCACTCCGAGTGTGTCGTGTGGCGTGGGTGGCGCGTGTGTCGTGTCGTGTCGTGTCGTGTCGAGTGGCGCACGCAACTGGTGATGGGTGTGCTGCGGTCGTTGGTGGTCGCCTTCTTGAGCTTCCCCTTGGAGAAACCTTCGATGCTGCCCAGCAGCGCTCCGCGGCCCTTTGTGTCCGGCATGGCCGACGCACTGGCCACCGGCGGCGGCGGCGGCCCAGGCGGAGGCGGTGCTGCAGCCGCAGCAGGGGGCGGCCCAGGCGGCGGAGGCGTCAGGCTCCCGCCTGCACCTCGGAATCCACCGCCGAACGACGGCGGCGATGGCCTGAACCCAACCGGCGCACCATAGGGAGTCGGGGTCGGTACCGGCGCCTGCTTGGGCGCGGCCGGCGAGTATCCAAACGGGGACGAAGCCGGGACTGGCAGTGACGGCGGTGGGGCGGCGGGCTTGACGGCCGGGACCATCGGGGGCGTCGCGAGTGTAGGTGGCTGCTGCATGAACGACGGGGCGGCCGGCTTGGGCGGGGCAGCGGTCGCTGACGAGGAGCTGTAGCCGTAAGACGGCGCGGGCACGGGCGGCGGGGGGTTTCGGGGGGCCACCGGCGGTGGCGTGGGCTTCGCGGGGGCCTCCCAGGCAGGCTGGACAGCTGGTTGCGTGTAGGAGCTCTCGGAAGCAGCAGCAGCTGGTTGCGAGTAGGAGCTGTCAGAATAGGAGTAGTCGCCCGTGTCGTCGGTCGCCCACTCTTCGTCGTCATTGTTGTAGTTGTTGTGATTGTAGTCGTAGCTGCTTTCGTAGGACTGTTGTTGTTGTTGCGGCTCCTCGGGCTGGGCGGCGTAGCTGCCGTATTGCTGGTCCGCGTAGCTACTGCTGCTGTAGGCAGGCTCTGGGGTATACGAACTACTGTACTCCTGGCTCGCGGGTTGTTGCTGTTGTCCTTCCTCTTCGACGAAGTTACTGGGGAAGATGCCCTGGCAGCCGTGCACCTCGCCGTACCACCAGTCGCCTGAAGACGCACATCATCAGAGCACTATGAGTAAGAACGCGTACGTGGTGGAAAAAGAGAGCCACCTTGGTCCTTGGACAGGATTCTGACGCGATCACCGGTGTTGAAGCCCAGGTCGCCCACCTCGACAGCCTCGAAATCGCTGAAGGCTATGCAATAGCCCAGATCGGCACCAGCTCCTCCTGCTCCTTGAGCTGCGAATGGTTTATCATCATTAGTATGTACCCATTCATTAAGGGGCATTTGAAAGAAGAAGAGGTGAAGAAGAGCCTACGTTGAGAAGAACTGTTGTTGTTGTAAGTGGTGGCGGACGTGGGATTGTAGCTCGCTGCCTGGACAAGACTTGCGTCGACCGGCTCAACGTGGTTGCACGGAAAGACTCCTGTGAGCCCGTTGCACGTGCCCTGCCACCATCCTGGGTCGCCCTGCCAAGTGCCGTGGTGGTGAGTAGCACCAAATGGGCACGGAGTAGAGTTATCAGGCTTTGTGGGGGGGGCAAGTACTTTTGCGATTAGAGTGATGTAATCGCCTTCTTCGAAGCTGAGATCGCCGGGCTCACACCCCTCAAAGGAGCAGACAGCCACAAACACTAAATTGCCGCGAATCGCCGTTAGCACTTGAGATCAATGACAAATCTGTCTCAATTGGGATTGATTTGATTAAAGGTTACCTTCCGGGGCGGCGTTGGAAGCTTGAAAAGAGGCGTAGATTTGTTAGAATGGAGTTGTTAATGGGCACCAATCAACGTTGCCTTACAGGAGCCATACCTGGGGCGTACATGTCAAGCATTCAGCAGCCTCTTGTAGGGGCGGTGGCCACTTACACTTCTACACAGTTCTTGTTGGGGAAAGAGGCGACCTTGCTTTTTTCGGTTTGCTGACGTCAGCATCGCCCACGGCAGCCAAGTGGTGGCGGTTGCACGCAATTTGAGGCGTTTTGCTTGGGGTACACAGCTCTTTTATTTTCTCTGCAGCTCTTCTCTTGCAGGCTCTTGGTGGGTTGTCGATGCGGTGCTTGCGCCGTGCACGAGAGAGTGGGTGAGAGAGAGTGGGTGAGAGAGAGAGAAAGAGAGAACTCAGTTCTTGGACCAGGAGGCGATCTTGCCACAGCTGGGGCACTTGGTTCCGATGCGAGCCTGGGGCGTCGAGTGGCACAAATGGCAGACGGTCAGGGTGCAGCCCGCCTTGCACTCGACCTAAGCCGGCGATGGTTAGGTTGTGAGCTTCAGAGAGAAGGAAATGAGTCGAGCTGTGTCGGCCTACGCACTTGGTGAGACTTGACCATCGATCCGCCGCAGCCTGCGCAGGAGCCCATGTTGGTAGGTTGGTAGGTAGGAAGGTGAGGAGTAAGGTGTTGGTGCGGGTATGTTTGTGAAAAGAAGAGAAGGGTGGCTTCTTTTTATTGTGGCCCCCCTGCACTTTGGTTACTACTCGTGACCAATGGCGTTCGGTCAAACCTGGCTTTCCCGAACGGTCAGGACTTTCGCTGGTGCAGGGAATTTGTGTCCACGGAAAAGCGTCAACTGACCACGGCAACATGAAGGCCTGGGTGCGCATCACCTCCACGAGCGAACCAGCTCCAAACCGTGTCGGCGGCCTCTTCCGCTACTTCGGTTACGAAATGCTGCCGTTCGTTGGTGATAGCCCCCTAACACCATATTTGCATAAAGTCCCCTGTGGTGTAGTTGGCTAGCATTTCCGCCTGTCACGCGGACGACCCGGGTTCAAATCCCGGCGGGGGAGTGTCAATCTTTTTTGCTGCACCTGTGCTGCATAAAGTTCTCTTTTTAACTGACAAGTTGTAACCCTCTCCACCATCACGTCACGAGCAACAACATCATTTTGTAAAAAAAATACATAAACTGGGTAATTTTCGCCCTACATCTTGCTGAGCGAGCTGATCAACTTCTTGCTTGTGGGCCGTTGTGTGGCCTTCTTGTTGGTGCACTGCTTAAACAGCTTGATCAAGTCCTGCCAACACATCAAACACCAATATCCACTCTTTGGTTAGAAAACGCGAACCTATGTATGTTGTTTATGATTCCTATTTCTAGAGAATGAATACTTTAATTAAAGAGAGAGAGAAGACAAGTACCTTGAATTCAACTTCGTCCAGGTCCGCCGGCAAAGCAGGACGTACTCCCTGCGCGTTCGTCTCCGAGACTTGAAGGGGCGCCACGTCGTGGTAGGGTCGCTTCATGGTCATCAGCTCGAACAGAAGCATGCCGAACGACCAGACTGTCGATACAATGCGGAGGACCGCCGATGAGCAACATCCCAAACGTGTGTGTCTTGTGTCGTGTGTCGTGTGTCGTGTGCGGGCAGAGCGCAGCAAGGACAAGCGCACTATCAGCTTCAAAGCCGTAGGCCTGGGCCTTGCTTCCGTCGCTCTGGCTCATGATCTCCGGTGCGATGAACCCCGCTGCAGTGTGCCAATAAATAAATGAGATAAGATAAATAGATCTGATCCAAGCGATTGTGTGGGCCGTGGCCGTACGTGTGCCGACGTTCTGGGTGAAGGAGATCTTGCCCTTCTCCACCATCTTGGAGACGTCGAAGTCGCCGATATGCATGCTCTTCGGGTTCTTCTGACCGTCCCACGTAACGAACACGTTGTCGCTCTGGTGGTGGTGGTGGTGTGCCATCAACATTTGGTTATACTAAAATCCATAATTATAAATAAGAAAAATAATTATTAATAATAATGCGAATAATTATTATAATTATTATTATTGTAAAGATCAAGAGGCGAACCTTGAGATCGCGGTGGATGATGCTCTTGGAGTGCAGGTAGTTGAGCCCTTTGGACACCTGGAAGGCCCAGTCGACGATCTCCCGCTTGGTGAAGCGGCGACCCTGTACCGTCCGACTCTCGATCACGTCCCTCAGCGTGCCCGAGTAGAGCTCGATGAACAACCGCACCTGTTACCAATCAGAACACAACACATTACAAACACAAACACACAAACACACAAACACACAAACACACAAACGCAAACATAAACAGCTGTGGTGGTGGCGTACTTCTTTCTTGGCCATGTTGCAGTCGCTGCCGATGTAACGAACGATGTTGTCGTGGCGCAGATCGGTCATGATGGCGATCTCCTTCATCATGGGCTCAATATCCGCCGCCTGCGCGTAGGTGAGGTCCATCACCTTGGCCGCAAAGGACAGTCTGCATTGACAGGTCGTGGAAATAGTCTTAGCCTTGGCCACCACGTGTCGTGTCGTGTCGTGTCGTGTCGTGTCGTGTCGTGTCGTGTCGTGTCGTGTCGTGTCGTGTCGTGTCGTGTCGTGTGCGGTGGCTGACACGACCGGTGCCGTGTGGTTTGAGGAGATGTTCACCCTTTAACTGTACATCTGTAGACATTGGCTCCGCTGCCACCGCCGCCCAATCTCTCGTGAAACTCGACAGTGTCTGAAGAGAACGTTTCCATTAATCGCGTTAGATGATGATGATGGCGATGAAGATGATGGTGGTGAAGATGATGAAGTGTACCTCGCTTCACATCAATGTTGATGCCCGTATCAGCCACCATGAATTCGACGGAGGCCTTGCCTATGAGGTCCGACGCAGACGTCGTACGCACGGGGCCTGGATCACAAAAGCAGAGGGAAAGAGAGAGCAACAACAGCACAACGACGATCCATGGCTTTGTTCAGCGCTCGAGCAACGACGCAATGAAGAATAGGAAAAGAAAAAAACGAAAAGAGAGTTCTCTTGAACCATGAGACCGTCAATGGCTATGAAATGAAGAATGAAGAATGGAAGGAATGAATGAATGGACGCGATGAAAAGGGGAGAGGGGGGGGGTAGGCAAACCTGCGCTGGCGTCCTTCTGGGCTTTCTCGAGTTTTCGCGTGAGTTCGATGTTGGCCAGCTGTAGCCGTTCGACCTCCTTCTTCAGCCGCGTCACCTCGTCCGACTCCTTTCGGTCTCGCGGTGAGGCGGGCGCGACCGACGACACATCAATCGCTCCGCCCGACAGCCCTGTGTAGTCGTGTGGTCAGCGCCATGTGTCGTGCCGTGTCGTGTCGGCGTGTGTGTCGTGTGTGTCAGTAAAACGTACGGGAGGGGCCGTTAGCAGGCTTGGAGGCGGCGGGGGCTGCGGGCAGCTGCTTGGGGTCCTTGCCCAAGCTGCCCCGGCGCATGAGCTGCCCCGACGTGGGCGCCGCTAGCTGCTCAGAGGCCGCGGCAGCGGCGGCGGCGGCCAGCTCGGGGTTGCCGCTGCCGCTGAGCCGGAGCCCCGAGCCCGACTTGTGCGATTCGCGCAGGTTCTGTATGTGCGTGGGAATGGGCGGCACCGGCACCGGCCCCGGCCCCGGAATGTAGGACCCGCTCGACCCGCCCACCACCGTGGCACCCGCGGAGGCAGCCATGTGGCCGTACACCGCCGACGCCGGCGGCGACTGTGTGAGGGCCTGGGCCTGGGCCTGCGCGGCCGTGTGGTAATGGTAGGTGTTGTACTGGTACTGCATCTCCTATTGTATGTAAGGCCGATGGCCGTTAGCTTCATGCCTCAACATCATCCGGACGAACACGCACCACCACACACGCACTACCCGCACATGCACCACCGCACACGACGAACCTTGTTGATCTTGATGACGTCGTTGAGTGCGTTCAGCCACTCCTTGAGCGCGGCCTGGTTGATGGCGTTGAGGAAGAACTTGGTCTCACCCGGCACGTCGACCGCAATATAGCCGTCCTCCAGTTTCACCACCGCGCTGGCAGTGAGGTTGATCTGTCACCACCACCACCACCAACCCCGAGGTAAACAGCATTAGCCGTCGTCGTCGTCGTCGTCGTCGTCATCATCATCATCATCATCTTCTTCTTCTTCTTCTTCCGTTGTCGTCGTCTCAGCAACTGGGAGGGACCGGGTACCGTCTTTTCCTGCTTCTTGTCCTGGCGCTCGGAGAAGCCGAGGCGGCCATCGGACTGCAGGCTGCAGTACAGCTTCTTCCAGGCGGCGGAGTCGTTGAAGTAGAGCGGACCCTCCTTAACCATCACCGGCTCTCTCTAAACACAACAACGTAGACGAGTAAGCACACATCGGTGTGTGCGTGTGCGGTGTGCGTGTGCGGTGGTGCGTGCGCGTGCGGTGAAGGTGAGACCTTGGGAGGTGGGGAGGCAGCGCTCGGGGCCATGGCGTAGGCGGCAGCGTAGGGAGGGGCCATGACGGTGCCGTAGGGCGACATGGTCGCAGCGCCGCCGAAGAAGCCCGTGGCGTCGGCGTAGGCCATCGGCATGCCGGGTCGGCCGCCGCCACTGGCAGCCGCATAGGGCAGAGCCGTGGCGTAGGGGAGGGGCTGCTGGTGCGCCTGCGGGCAGCAAGATAATTTATATTATTAATATTATGAATATATCGATAACACGTGATACAAAAAATGTTCATAACAGAAGAGGAGTCTTTTAGGACCGATAGATTGCCCTGCCTGACAACACAGCTTTTGTGAATATTGATGCCCAGATCAGGGGATTTATATAAATCGCACCGCTAATTAAGGGCATTTTTGTTTTCCTTCATTGATGGACGAGTAAAGGGTGTTTTCGATTCAGCTCGCTTGATATCCCCCCCCCTCTACCCCAAAGCTGCGCGGCAAAAGAAAGGCTCGCGCCGCATTTCTGGGAAGAATCTTTTACCCCCGAGAAGAGAGAAGGAGTTGGGAGGGGGCGTGGTACCATCCAAATCGACTTCAATCTCCTCCCGCTTCGTGGTCAGCGTCGTGGTACTTTTTGCTTCTTTTGGTCGCCGGAATGTATGGAATTGGGTGTGGGCGGCTAAAAGTCGCAGCCGTGGCGCGTGTGGTTGATGCGAGCCACTCCGCCGCAAGCACGGGACAGCGGTTTCAACTCCGCTACCGGTTCAAAAGAGCTTGTGGTATGTAACCGAGCCTATCAACGCGGGCGCCGCTTCGGGTCGTGTCTTTTGCCAATAAGGAACTTGAAGGTGAGATTTCTCGCACTGGTCTCTTCTTCACAGCTCCCTAACTGCCGTTCGGTTGTTTCGGCGCCCTCCGCCCACACCTCCGAGCGTGCAACCGGCGGGTGATAAGACTTTGTCAACCCACCACTTCACTGTTGCAACCACTTCTCTAACAAGCCACACCTCCAACATCAACATCAACATCACCATGGCGTGCACCTCTCCCACAACCACTCCGGCCGCGGTTGACGACGACGCCTATCGACCTCAGAGGCGCACGCAGAAGAGAAAGCGGGTGCGGAAGAACGATGGTCGATTGAAGAGGCCCATCAACAGCTTCCTCCTCTTCGCCAAGGAGTACCGACCGGCCCTGCTCAACGAACACGGCCGGCTCAACAACCAGCAGGTCTCAAAGCTACTCGGGGTCAAGTGGAAGTCCATGACCGAAGATGAAAAGGCCCCCTACACCCGCGAGGCCGAGGCCATCCACACCAAGTTCATGCTCGACCACCCCGACTTCTCGTGGCACGGCGACAAAGATCACCACAACTCCACCACCTCCAACAACAAGGAGCGCAAGGCCTCCTCGGCCGCGGCGGGGTCCAAGAAGCGCAGCCGCACCTCGTCGACCTGCGCCGAGCCCGGGCCGCGCCCGGCGGCCTGGGAATCTCTGTCACCTTCTCCCGAATTCGACGTCAACTCGCGCAGGGCCAGCGAGGGGGACCTCTTCGACTCCCTCATGCGGCTCAACCACCCCCACAAGTACCTCTCCACACCGCTCCTGTCGCCGCACCACGACCAGTTCGAGGCCCTGGGCGCGGTAGGCCACCACCACCCCTCGTCGGACGACGCCCAGTACTCGCCCGCCTCTTGTTCGACGCCGTCCCCTGGGTTTTCGCTCGGCTGCGACCCTGGCGCCAGGGCGAACATCACAGCCTGCGGTGAGGAGGTGGAGGTGCTCCAACGTGGAGCGCTGGCGGAGCGGCCCTTCACGGTGTGGAGCGACCACAAGCCGGCCCCGGTCGGGTTCAAGGTGGTCTACGTTCCGCTGCTGGTGCCGGACCCCACCACCGACCCGGGTCCCGTGGAGGAGCCGTTCGGTTCGCCCCCGTCGGCGCTGCGGCTTACAGGAGTGTCGGAGCCGCGGTGTGCAGAGGCCACGGGCTATGATCTCGGCGAGCAGCTGACCACAGACGACATCAGTGAACTCATGCAGTGCCTGCACGATCTCGACTCTCACACATCAACGGATCCAACCTCGGCCGACGAGGCTCTATCGTCACTATTCTTCGGCGATGGTCCAGACTTCTCCACCAACCTAGGGATGCACTTTCCAAGCTGAGTTGCCGCGTTATCGCGGTGTAATTACTGTAATAAAAACTATTTTCTGACTCGTCTAGAAAACAATTTTTAGTAACAGGTTGTTCCTTGAATGAAGACCTTTATCAGCGTTGGCACTCAACCGAGATCGCTAATTCGCCGAATTTGCCACAGCCGATTCGAGTCAAAAAATAGAATGAACAAAAAGAAAAAGAAAAAGAAAAAGAGAGAAAAGCGCGGAACAAAGGACAGCACGGCAGCGATGTTGCGGTGTGCTGCGAGATGGAGACCATCACCGGTACCTACAACCCGCACTAATGTCGCATCCTGTGGGGAGTGGTTGCCGCATAAATCTGCCAGCATGCGGTTGAATCAAGACCGAGCAATTCGAGAGATTTCGAGTAGCACGGCTCGATTTGTTGCGACGTCGGAGTGGCTGCAACGCTCTTCCCAGCGGGGCCTATTCTCGTGGCTGAAGGGAGGCAAGGGGTACCAAACCTCATCCCAACGCCACAGCCTGGCCATTTTTTCTTATTTTTCATCTTCACTCCGAAGGCGAAAACGTAGAGCGAACGAGCACCCTGCAGCTGCGCCCGAGTGGCCGGCCAAGCCTCAGGTCGTACAACGTACCTTACGGTCTGAGGTACTACCCCACTTGTCTTGGCGCCCGTGTTGCGACCACCTGCATGATTCGTTTCGGCTTTGGCGCTCTAGGAGGAGGACGATTTCGCATGGCTCGAGGCTGCCGAGGGTGAGCAAGAAGCCCGACCCTATATCGACGCGGAGAACCGGTACAGCCGAGAGCACTGTGCTGACCTCACTTGCACTGATTGTCATTGTGTTGTGTCGTGTTGTTGTTGCTGTGGCAGATACACCAAGACGGTGATGAAGGACTCACGTCCCATTCAGCAGCTCCTGTACGAGGTATCCACGTCAACCCGTGCAAGAGAACACCATCACCACAAACAAGCGAACTGACACATTGTCTGATGTCTCATTTGCTTGACTGGCTCTCCAGGAAATGGCAGACCGCGTCGAGCCGGAGGACACTGTGCCGGAGGAGATCGATGGCTATCTATACTATGTGCGTTTTGTCGAAGACGGGCAGTTCCCTGTTTACTGCCGACGGAAGGCCGACTCTAGCAACGCGCCCGAGGAGGTAACCCTGCCCAAGCCCAAGCGGAGGCTGCATAGTTATAGTTCGATTCTCGCTTTTCCTAACTGCATTGAGAACATTCTCTATGAATGCAGATATTGGTGGACCAGAATAAGGAAGCTATGAACCACCCCTACATTTGCATCAACTTGCTCAAGGTCTCCTCAGATAACCGCATGTTGGCCTTCACCATGGACACCACCGGCGGCGACTCCTTTTCGGTGCACGTCAAGGACCTCAAGACCGGTGCTAGGCTCAAGGTACAATTCACTAATCTACAAATTAATGTATCAATCTATCTATCAATTGAGTTCACACTTGGTCTGTAAATTGCCAAGCTCATCAAGCCAGAGCCCTGACGGTATTTAAAATCAACCGACACAACCCGGGTCCCCATCATTCAGAGTGACACCATTCCCAACGTGGTCAGTGTGGAGTGGGCCGATGACGGCAAGACCTTGTTCTACACCGTGCCCGATCACCTGAAGCGACCGTACAAGGTTCGGGCCACCTCACTCGCTGGCTGGCTGGCTTCTTAGGGCTCGACGCTAATTTGCGCCTCTCTAACCATTCTTCTTCAACTCTCCTTTCCCAACAAACCAAAACAGCTCTACAGGCACGTCCTTGGAACACCTATCAATCAGGATGAGCTACTCTATGAGGAACACGACCATGCCTTCTTTCTGCACGTTGACCGGACCAAAGACAAGGTAATTGCAAGGCCCGGAGTCTTCCCCCCTGATACGGGCATTCACGTAGCCCCTATCTTTCTCTCTCCTCTCTCTCTCCTTCTTTTTTGTTGCTTCAATCCTACGTGTACCCTTCAAGATCAAGCTCAGGGCATAGCGTGTTCGTGTGTGTATGGCGTGATGCATCACGCGTCACAACGTTGTGACAGAAATTCATCACGGTCATGTCGAACGCCAAGACGACATCCGAAGTGCGCGTCATCCCATCAAACCAGCCCACCGCATCGCCCGTCCTCATTCATCCCCGCGAGCCAGGACTTGAGTACTACATCGACCATCGAGGGGTGCGCTACCCATCACCACCACCATCACCACCACCATCTTTTCTTCTTTCCCAACTCCCCTGGATTCCCCTTTCATCGCTTTGCTTGTTTGATTCTTTCTCATCAATCTAAGTGTTGTTGTTTGTACATGTTTGGCTGATGTGATACATCCGCTTCAACTTGAACCACCAGGATGACTTCTTGATTATCACCAACGTGGGCAACCAGATGAAGGACTACGCCATCATGCGCGTGGCCGAGAAGGACGTGGGAAACGGACGCGAACACTGGCAGACCGTGCTGTCTCCCTCCCCGGGCACGCAAATCGAAGACGTGGACGTCTTCTCCTCCCACATCATCTGGTACGGCCTCACACCATCATTTCCTTTAGACTCTTCGCAAAGCAGCCACCCTTTTTCTTTTCAATTTGAAGGACGGCAATGGCCGTTGCCAACAGCAGTTCGCACTGCTCTGTGTGTGGTTGAGATTTCGGGCAAATAGGTGGACTATATATGTTGGTGTTTATGATTTGCCTAATCAGCAGCGTATTCATATACAGCTACGAGCGATCCATGGGTCTCCCGCAAGTGCGGGTGTTCAATCTGGAGAACCAGGAGGTCCACCTGGTGCCTTTGCCAGAGGCGCTGTGCACCCTGCACCCGGGCGGCAACGGGGTACGTACTTATTAGTGCCTGTTCTATTTCTTTTGTTTGAACTGGAGATCAACACTGAAAATGGTTGTTGGTTACAAGTTGACTCTTGGAAGAAACTTTCCATAGCCTTTATTTGGTTCGCCCTTAATTTGGCTAAACTCTCCTCGTTTACGCTTGTAAGAATTTTCACGCCACTAGGTTTCGACTCTCGTACGCTTCGCCGATCACACCCGAATGTGTGTACGACTTCGACATCCGCACGCGCGAGCTCCGGCTCCTCCGCTCGAAGAGTGTTAAGAGTGCGTACGCCGCACGTGCTTCTATTATTGTTTGTCATTTTCTGCATTCCACCGTTGCGTGCTGGCTTGGAGACTCACACGCCGCCGCATGCGGCGCAGATTTCGATCCCACCATGTTCGTCTGCAACCGAGTCCAGGTCAAGAGCCATGACGGGACCGGCATTCCACTGACCTTGGTCCACAAGAAGGGCCTACCCCTGTCGTCCGAGTACGCACTGGCCCTCCATCCCTACTCGACTCTGCGTGCGTCACGGAATTCATTTCTTTTATTCTTTTTGTAATCTTGGCCGATTGCAGCAATCCGACCCTGATGTTGGGCTACGGCGCGTACGGCCAACCGCTCGAGGCCGACTTTCGCGCCCACCACCTGCCGCTGCTGAACCGAGGCTGGGTCATCGCTCTGGCGCACGTGAGGTACATTTGCAGCCGCGGCATTCCCTTTGTCTGGCTGGTGCCTGGCGCTGACGGGCGTGGCATGTGACAGGGGCGGCGGGGAGCTGGGGCGCGAGTGGTACCGTCAGGGCTGCCAGCTGAACAAGCACAACTCGTTCCACGACTTTGTCGCCTGCGCCGAGCATCTCGTGAGCAGCGGCTACACCTCGCCCTCGCGGTTGGTCGCCAAGGGATCGTCGGCCGGCGGCCTGCTCATCGGTACGCTGGACCGCGGCTTGCATGCATCGTCAATGTATCATGTGCGCGTGCGCTGACGATGTGTGTCGTGTCGTGTCGTGTGCGTGTGCGTGTGCGTGTGTGTCGTGTGTTCACCAACACGGATGCAGGAGCTGCTGTCAACATGCGACCCGACCTGTTTCGAGCGGTCATCATGGGCGTGCCCTTCCTCAATCCCCTGGCCGCGATGACCAACGAGTCCCTCCCGCTGACCATCCACGAGTACGACGAATGGGGTACGGGTCCTAGATCCTGTCTGTCTCCGTCGCCAAGGTTCTGACTGGTGCGTGCGCCGTGTCGTGTGTTTTGTTTGATCTTATTACCAGGTAATCCCAACACGGACGAGGAGGTTTACAACTACATCAAATCCTACGACCCTTACATCAACCTCTCGCAGCCCAACCTACGGTGCGCAAGGGGGGTTCGTTGCATTGGTTTACGTTTTTCTACAAATTGTTTAACAAGTGACCATGTAAACGACTCACGCGCGAGCAGGCACGGCCGCTATCCGTCGATGCTGGTGACCACGTCCACGCTCGACAACCGCGTTCCCTTCTGGAGCCCCGCCAAGTACGTGGCCAAGCTGCGCGCCCTCCAGCGAGCCGAAGCCCCCCACGGTACCGCAATCCCCCCTCTTTGGTCCCAGCCCATCTCCGACTGCGGCGGCTCATACTTCTGCCCACGCTGCGCCCGCGCAGGCGAGGAGCAGGCGAACGGTGACGCCAACGATGGCGAGGCCGAGCGCGTGGTGCTGCTCAAGGTGAGCGACTCGACCGGGCACGGCGGCGAGGGCGGCCGTTACAACAACCTGAAGGAGGTGGCCTTCGACCACGCCTTCCTGTTCAAGAGCCTCAACATGCAGTAACGGGTCGACCCGTGACCACAACTCAGAGCTGGTCAACCCCAGAGCCTGTTCTGCCGGCTGTTTATCTGTGGCCAACCAATCTGGTTTATTTGTTTTTAAACTCCTCGTTGCTCAAGGGTGGTCCGTGGTCGCCATTGGCAGCCCACAGAAGCAGGTTACGCGAAAGTCATGCCACGGACATTGAGTGACGGTTGTCGGCCATTGGCGCCCAGACCGCATAAAACGCGCTCTGCCCAGCCACTGCTTCTTCACTTTGCTCAACCACCAGCAGCTACCAAACCACCGCCTACCTTCTTCTTCACCACAAAAACACAAACATGTCTGGACACAGGCACCTGCAGGTGAAGGTCAAGGAGGCCAAGGGCATCCCAGCGGCTGACTCGAACGGCAAGAGCGACCCCTACGTGGTGCTGACGATCAACGCCCAGAAGAAGAAGACCAAGACCATCGAGAAGACCCTGGAGCCCAAGTGGTACGAGGAGTTCCGCTTCGACATCGACGACGCCAAGCCGAGCGTGCTGCGCCTGGAGGTGTTCGACCACGACAAGTTCAGCAAGGACGACTCGCTGGGCCACTTCGAGCTCAACCTCAAGACCGCCAACATCCCCATCGGCCAGTGGACCTCCTTCACCAGGAACCTCCTCCACGACAAGGTCTCTGGCGAACTTCAGTTCGACGTCCTCATCTCCTAAGAGCCATGTTGTGCCCTGGCACTGTCACAATATTAATAATAATAATAAGCACACTTCTCGTTGCTGTATCTCCTAACGCCTGTGAAGGTGGTGGTCAATTAATTTGGCTTGTGAGCGAGAACGGCTATGTCCTGGGGGACTCGCGCAGCTTGGCGGCGAGCCAGTCCATGCCCTCGAACAAGCCCATGCCTGTTGTGGCGTTGGACGGCTGCACCTTCCACGCGTGTTTCCTGTGAGAGGAAGAGGTAAGAAGAGAAGACCACGGGATGACAAAAAAGAGAAAAGTCATAATTAAAATAAAGAGAGTGAAAGAAAAAGAACTCACCTGTGGTCGTGCAGCTTGAGGTGGGTCGTGAGCTGGTCAGGCGTGAGACAGCCTTCCACGTCCTGCTTGTTTGCAAAGACAAGAACCGCCGCATTCTGCACACACACACACCACACACACACGCACACACAAGTGCTCTCTTAGCCAACTTGGCCATCACTTCTTTGTGGAGTCAAGTAGAAGGCCAGCTGGCCACGTGGCGCACCTTGAGCTCCGTTTCGCGTAGCATCATCTGCAGCTCTTCAGAGGCCTCGTCGATGCGGTCCTTGTCTGAAGAGTCCACCACGAATATCACACCCTCTACACCCGTGTAGTAATGTCTCCACACAGCACACCAGTCAGCACCTTCATCATGATGAAGAGGCAGGACAAGGTGAGGGCTGGCTCATGTACCGCCACAGGCCTCTTATGCGGTCCTGCCCACCGATGTCCCACACCGTGAAGCGTATGTTCTTGTATTCGACCGACTCGATGTTGAAGCCGATGGTGGGCAGGGTCTGCACCAACTCCCCCAGCTTCATCTTGTAGAGGATGGTTGTCTTGCCCGCCGAGTCCAAGCCCACCATCACGATGCGCTTCTCCGTATGAAACGAGAACAGCTTGACAAACCAGTTCCCCATTTTCACCCTTTCTCTTTCTTTTTTCGTCTCTACTTGCTCTACTTCCTCTTCTTCTTGCCTTCTTGCCGGCTCTTCTACAAGAAGCTCTTCGCCGTTTCGTGGCTTTTATTTTTTATTCGGCGACGTGGCTTTTCTGTAGACATTCTTTGATCTACATACCAGAGGTAGTCAGTTGATTTTAATGTTATGCATTTTTCTCATACCCCTCGCGCGTGAGAACGAAGAACGAGGAACGAGGACGACCCGGCCGCAGATTACCGAAGCTGCCGGCAGTGATTAGAACGAGATGGGCAACTTCCAGTCAGTGGTGTGGGCCACCGACGACAACGAAGACGTTCGGTATTGACGCCACTTGGCCACCCCCCCCCCAAGCACCGGATGCCGTGAGCATAAGACGTTTTTTTCTTTGTTTATAAATTAATGATAAAATATATTAAATATTAAATAATATTAAATAATATTTATGTAAATTTGTACTTGTTACAGTTACTCGCTGGCGATCATCATGGGGTTCTACGTGGTGGGCCTCGTGCTGCTGCTCATGGTGATGCAAATCCTGGCCCTGGCCTTCCCCTACCGGTGGTACCTCAAGCTCTTCTGGTTCGAAGGTACCTACCTACTACGTCAACGCCCGACGACCGACCCAACGCGCGCGCGGTGAAGCGCCGCCACCGAGTCTTACCTCAGAGGCGTGCATCTCTAACCACCTTCACCCACGTATGAATGCCGTGCCTTCGTCGGCATCCGCAGACCGACTCAGCTTCTACTTCACACGCAAGACCATAATCGCCGATCGACCCTTGGCCATCTACTATGTACTATCTCGTTTCGTGTGTGCTGTCTGTGCCGTGAGTGTGCTGTGTGCTGTGTGCTGTGTGCTGTGTGCTGTGTGCTGTGTGCTGTGTGCTGTGTGCTGTGTGTGTGTCGTGTGTGTGTGTGTGTGTCGTGTGTGTGTGTCGCGTGTGTGGGTGCCGCGTGTGTGCCGTGTGTGCCGTGTGTGTCATTGCTGACGAATGACTTTTTCTCAAAGCTCACTGACTGGTCACGACTCTGATAGGAAGTGTTGGCCATCGCGATGTCGCTCATCTCGTGCAGCCTGTTCATCTACCTCACGGTGGAGGTGTCGATGGACAACACCGCCATATTCAAGGAGGCCTGGGTGATCTACCTGGAGCTGGGCATGAGCATCTTCGCCATCTTCGATTATCTTTTACACTTCTTCCTCGCCGAAACCAAGTGCGCGTTCACCACCCTTCGTGTGCGTCGTGTGCGTCGTGTGCGTCGCGTGCCGATGGCTGTTAACTCACACACGAGAGCGCTCCCGAAAAACAGAATCAAGCACATCATGGACCCGCTCGCCCTTTGCGACCTCATCGCCGCCTTCCCCGGCCTGATCGCGCCCGGCATCGGTACATATCCCCTCCAGGAACCAGCGTACAAGACTGCCCTTGCCTCACCGCACACACCGCACACACCACACACACCGCACACACCGCACCCGCCGCACACAGGGCGATTTCTCTACGCATTCCAGTTCTTGCGGTTCCTGCGCGTGCTGCGGGCTTTGCTTCTGCTCGACAGCTACGGATTCGCGCCTCGCGTGTGGCGCTTCCGCGCATCGGCGCTCTTCATGGTACCCCCCCCCCAACGCCGTGTGCGTGTGCGTGTGTGGGTCTTCGTGTTTGCTAACCTATGTGGTCGTCGTCTTCATTGTTGTCGTGGCGCAAATGCAGAGGCTGTTCACGCTCGCGCTGGCTTTTGTGTGCTTCGTGTTCGTCATGGCCGGCTTCATGTGGATCTCCGAGAACTCGCACCAAAACTCTGAAGGAATGCTCGACACCTTCCTCGACGCCTGCTACCTCATCATCGTCGTACGTCAAACTCCCCCCTCGACCGTGTGTGTCGTGTGTGCCGTGTGTGCCGTGTATCGTGTGCGGTACGTGCGGGTGTGTTGTTTGTGTTGTGGTGCGAGCTGAGAGAGGTGTCGCGCTCTACAGACCATATCGACGGTGGGCTACGGTGACTTCTCGCCCAAGTCCTACATCGGCAAGGTGGCGATCATGATCATCATCATCGTGGCCATCGCCCTTGTGCCCTTCGTGGTCAACATCCTTCTCACGGCCTGGCACGACTACAACGGTGCCCCAAATATTTTTATTTATGTATTATTTTATTTATTTATTATAATTGGATTAGTAATCTTATTCTTTCATTTTTGATCTTATTCTTTCATTTTTGTGCACAATTTGACCCTCCACATACCATCAGCGGACCGCCAGTACTCGACGACGCGGAGCCGCAGCTTTGTGCTGATGTTTGGCGGCACTTGTACGTACATCTGATCCCCGTTCGCCGATTGATTGATGTGTGGGTCATGGTCGATTCACCATCATGTTTGCCACAGCCAAGCTCGTCAACTTTGCGAAAGAATTCTACAACGAGGTACCATTGCCTGACCACACACACACACACACACACACACAACCGCACACACGACACACACACACACACACACACAAAACCGCACGCAGCGAGTGCTGACGCTCGGATTTGTAATAACAGGAGAGAGACAAGTACCCGCGAGCGCATGTGGTGGTGATGAGCAACAGCGAGGTCCCACCGGCAGTCGGCACGTTCGTGCGGAAGCCCTTCTTCCGAAACCGGCTGCGCTTGTACACCGGCGACCCGACCGTACGCTCCGCCTGCTGCTCCGTTCGCGAAATTAGGGCCAACGACTCACAAACGACACGCACACGCACACGCACACGCACACGCACACGCACACGCACACGCAACCCAAAGTCACCATATCACCTGGGTAGGATGAAACTGACGAAGAGCGCGGCGTGCTTCATCGTTCCGCCAGAACGGCACAACTCTGTCGAAGACGAAGATACAGGTGCGATACGCACCACCGCACACACGCGATAAGACACACACACACGCACACACACCAGACGGCCAACTCCAAGATTAGGTGTGTGACACTCACGGCACACGACGCGCGGTGTAGAGGTGGTGATGACGGCGCTGGCGGTGAAGTCGGTGAGTCCGCAGACGAAGGTATTTGCGATTGTCTTCGACTCCACCAATAGAATGCTGCTCAGCGAGGCGGGCGTTGAGGTCTCTCTCGGGACAGACGAGCTGAAGCTGGTACGCTCAACCGCACGACACACACGGCACACAGCACGCACGGCACACACGGCACACTCACGGGCGCTTGTCAACACAGACGTTGCTGGCGCAAAACTGTCTGTGTCCGGGCTTGAGCACGTTGTTCGTCAATCTGATGTACAACCACAACTGGTCCGACGGGTTCACCCACTCGTGGGAACGAAAATACGGTACATACGCAATCACTCGCTCTCTCACCCTGCGTTTTGTTGTTCTTACCACACCACCGCACACACCGCACCACCGCACACATGTCAGCTTTCGGCTCAAGCCACGAAGTCTACACGGCGCCGATTCCTGAGTGCCTGGTAGGGCGGGTGTTCTCCGAGGCAGCGTTGGTACGCGTCCTGGAAATACGTGTCTCGTCATCCATACGTTGAGATTCCATTCTCATCCAACACCACACACACACACACACACACACACACACAAGGTGATCTACCACTTCACCAACGGCGAGGTGCTGCTGCTAGGCGTGAAGGGCGGCAGCGTGTGGAGCCACAGGTGATTATCATTCGCACCATCGCACACGCACACGCACACGCACCACCGCACACACGCAGAGCTTTACCAGATGTGTGTTGTTCTCTCCCGAGCCAACAGGAAGAAGCTGCTCTTGAATCCGCAGCCGCGCTACAAGTTGCTCAGCGGCGACACGGCGTTCATGATCTGCAGCAAGCAATCTCACGCCGATCGCATTTTGAACCTCACCCCCGATGCCGTGCGTCAGTGCATGGAAGGCACGCACACACTACACGACACGACACGACACGACACGACACACAACACACGACACGACACACATGCGTACACTTGGCAACCTTCTGATCGTGCACACAGGCATTGGCGACGTGATCCGCAACATCGAGGAGAAGCGAGATCGCGTGAGTGAGGAGGCGGTCAGCAACGACAGCATTCCGCAGGCCTCGCGCAAGAACAGTCGCGCCCGCAACGACGCGCTGGCGCTTGACCGGACGCAGGACGACCAACACATCGACATCGTGCATAGCCCAGGTGCGCAACCCGCACTTGTCTTGTGTTCGCACACTCGGTTTCTGATTCTTCTGGACGTGTGCGTATGCGTGTGTGCGTGTGTGCGTGTGTGCGTGTGTGCGTGTGTGCGTGTGTGCGTGTGTGCGTGTGTGCGTGGACGTGTAGATGCGTTTGATTCGATGGAGCGCGGCAATCTCGAGCGGGAGGCTGATGACGATCCGGCTCCTCGACCACGACGCAGAAAGATCCCCATCGTTCGCTCGCCTGTACGTTCGTCTCCGTCGTGTGGTGTGCGGTGCGTGCTGACATGTGTGTGTGTGTGTGTGTGTGTGTCGTGTGTGTCGTGTGTGTCGTATGTGTCGTATGTGTGTCGTATGTGTGTCGTGTGTGTGTCGTGTGTGTGCCGTGTCGTGTCGGGTCGTGTCGTGTCGTGTGTTCTTGTACAGGAGAGCCGGAGCCTGATGAATTTGATCGGGCACGCGGACAAGGCAATCCTGATGAAACTCATCAAGGAGGAAGAGGCGGCCGCCGGGGGGGACTTGAACAAGTCCGCCGGCTCGCCCGCTCTCTACGCGTCCGGCCAGGTGTCGCCCAGACGGCGCGCAAGCCCCCGCCACAAGAATGAAAGAGAAAGCGAAAACGAAAACGAAAACGAAAACGAGGAGGAGAGCGAAGACGACACCGATCCCGCCAGAACGAGAAAGCAGGTGCGAATAATGGATGCTGACAGCGACAAGGGCTTCCGACCGCAGCCGGAGGAGGGGGACGTAAAGAAGAACGAAAGGGGAAAGAACGAAGACGAAGTGGCGGAGCGACGAAACGACGAAGACGACAACGATGACGATTACGAGGTGCTGCACGGCGGCGACGTGACGCGCATGCCGCTGGCCCAGAAGAAGCGATCGAAGAGCACCGGGCTGCTGAACGCGCTCGGAAAGCGGGCGGGCGCCAACCGCGTGGACCTGAGCGACGACAACATGCTCGCCCTGCTGCCCGTCCCGCCCGAGCGGACCAACACCTTTCAACCCATCGCCTCCTCTGCGTACCCTCCTCCTATCTGCTCATTGTGTGCGGCTGTGTATCGTGTGTGTCGCGTGTGTCGCGTGTGTCGTGTGTGTCGTGTGTGTCGTGAGAGGCAAAGATGTTGAATGGTGCGCGATACAGCAGGGGAGTGCCGAGGAAGAAGATCAATCTTCTGGAGCAGTCCCAGGCGCAGTTTTCGCACGTCGTGCGCCAGGACACTCCCGCCAACAGGAACCTCCGCACTTCGTCCGAAGTACGAACCTTTTCATGATATATTCCTTTATCCTTGATTTATTCATTTTATTTGTTTATTTGTTTATTTGTTTATTGTTGTTTTTATCTACGCACACGACGATGCTGGGAATGTTCGAACCTTACCGGGCGTGGGCCGGCACAACGCGGCAGATGGCAGAGCTGAGCGTGGCGGACATCGAGGTGGTGGATGTGCGCGAGCTCGGGTGGGCGGGCCACATCGTCGTGTGCGGCTGCCTTCGCGGCATCGCCCAATTCATCGCGCCCCTCCGAGAGGTCCCACGTCCCTTTTGCTCCTTCGATCTCTAATTATTATGCTGACCGTGTCGTGTGTCGTGTGTCGTGCGGGCGCGGGCGGTGGTGCG